CGTCACCTCCGATGAGCCACGCGGGTATCTCCGGCGTCGGAGGACTAAAACAGCGAAAATATTTCACTTATTGGACTAGTTTGCGACAGCCTCCACTTACGGGATTAAAATGATAAAGGGGTCCAGTTACGGGACTTAAAAAAACAGTTTACCCCAATATATAATATATATTATTTCTCTCATTCAAATCTTTTTTTTTTTTTTTTTGTTATTGTTGTTGTCATAAACAAATATTTTCATTGTCTTTTTAAATAAAAAAATTATGGTAAATTATATAACACTTCATTGTATTTTAATAAGAATGCACAAAATACCCTATGTTTTATTTATTGCGTGAAACCCCTTGTGTTAATGTAAAGTTTGCACGAAATACCTTCATTATCAGAAACTGATGTTTGATTCTAAATAAAACTTAAATTACGCAAGTTTTATATAAATAAAAAACGTAAAATATCTTAAATAATTTTTTTTGAATAAAATAAATAATTGATCAATCATTTATTTCTATAATTTTTATTAAAATCATATAACAATTTGTCTCCAAAAACTATAAAATGAAGGGTTAATCAATTATTTATTTATTTATTTATTTTATTCAAAAAATTATTTAAGATATTTTGCGTTTTTTATTTGTATAAAATTTGTGTAATTTATGTCTTTATTTAGAATCAAATTCAAGAGTGTTTCATGTAAAATTTATACTAGCACAGTGAGTTGTGCATTTTTACTAAAAATACAAGGGACATTATATAATTTATCCAAAAATTTTTTTATATTTTTATATTTTTTTACTAAAAAATAAATAATTACTAATTACTTTTATTAAAACGAACATACAATTGCATGATAGTATGAACATATTTTATTTAGTCACAAAAAATTAATAATTGAATAGTAAATATAATTTTTTTTTATATATTAAATTCCTTGTATCTAAGATAAAAAAAAAAAAAAAAAAAGAAAAAGAAAAACATTTACATATAAAGACACAAAATTGAACAAACTCAGTCACATTCAATATTTATTTATAATAAACTAAGTATTCCATATAAGAATAAATACATTACTTAATTATTCAACACTCTTCATCTTTTAAAAACTTTTCAATAATTTTTAAAAATTTTGTTTGGTTTACAAAGCAATTTTGAAGATTTTGATATGATTTAATTTTTTAAAACTATTACATTAAATATATATTTTGTACAATATTACATTAAAAATTGTTGTTTCGTCTCAAATATTCTGCAATATTTTTTTTATATATCTAAAAAATACTGCAATATTTCTAAAATAAAAATTAATTAAATATATTTAACTCATATATCACATTTCTTTTTCCTTACAACTCTCAAATAAGAAAATAAATAAATATAATTATTTTTTATCACATTACTTAAATTTTTTTAAAATTATTTTATTTAATATTATTCACCTAAATTATACTATTGAAAACAAATGAAAAAATAAATAAATTATTATTTTAAAATTTTCAATACTCCAAATAATAATAATAATAATAATAATAACCGCTCAGATAATTTAAATATGACCTAAATTCTCTAAAATCACGAAGGATACACTCTAAGTCCGTACAGATTAGAAAAACAGTTATAGTCGTTGTCTTTACTCAATTATCTCTTTTATTCACGTCATATTAATCTCAATATTTATATTATTCTATTTATCATTCGTTATAATAAATCACCTCCAACACATTACCTTTATTATTTTATAGGACCCGCAATAATTTATTTATTTTTATTACATAATATATATAAATTATTTATCTATTTATACATATTTTTATATATTTTATTGTCCAAAATATTTTTATATAATATTATATTTTAATTTTTAAATATTAATCTATATAAATTTAAAAATTGATTGAAAAAATTAGTATTTCATTAGTCATTTCGTTGAATTAAATATGAAAAAATAAATAATTAGTTAATAAAATTTAAATATATTTATAGATAATTTATGTTAAATTTAAATTTTAAAATTTTGAATAATTTTTAATTTATTTTTATGGAAGGTGACGAGTACGAATATATCGTGCGTGAAGGTGAAGCTCTACTTTGAAAATTTTGTCCAACTTGTTGGTCCGTAGAATTTATTTAATTATTTTCAACGTACGAGCCACTTATATTTTGACACGTAGACTATATATATTGTGTATGTATGTATGTATGACTAGGGGGACTTTCTCCTGCTCCTCCTATTAGCCAGTTGGCATGTACCCTTGGCAACAGCATGTGACGCCACGTGTCAGACAATGGTGATCACAAGTACTTTGGGTCATATATACTTGGCTACAAATCTGCCACGTGTACCCCATTGTTTTCTGTCCACAACGTGATATCTGCCCGCATTGAATTGGACAACTTTTAATAATAATTACTTCTAAGCCCCACCAACTTCAAATACGCAATCAATAAACACTCTATAGACTCTGTAGATTTGCATTATTCTATCTTCTATTAGTATTATTTATTTATTTATTTAGGGTTTATTTGTCGAGTTTTTTTTTTTTAATACAATTTTTTAATAAATATATATTTTATTTTTTTATAAAATTAATATTTAATATATAAAATATTATTTTTTGTATTACCGGCACCATCTTATGTATTCCATCCGTCCCAAAATTACAGTCTTAATTGGATTTGGTACGAGATTTAAAGAATATTGATATTATATTGATAGTCGGTAAAAAATATAGATAAAAGATTTTTTTGCCCTTGTGAATGTATTAGTGTAAAAAACAGTGACAATTGTGAAATAAAAATGAAAAAGTAGGGGTAATTTTATAATGATATGGTTATTTATGAAAATAAGACTATTGTTTTGGGACGGACAAAAATAGCAAATAAGAGTATTGTATTGATACGGAGGGAGTATCTCACATCAAAAAGAAAAAATACAAATCAAAACACTAAACAAATAATTCATGATTGTGTTATTTTGTGAATTTTAAGATAAATTTTTACTATTCATATTATTCTTTATGTCCAAAAATATTAAATCAAACAAGTAAATTTTCTTTTCATATTATATTTCAAATTTATTTTACATTCAAAATATCACGTCAATACCTATTTATATCACATCAAACAACTATTCAAATTCAACTTTAAATTATTCATAAATTCAAACCTCAAACTCACGTACAAACACACCCTATATGTTTTACTCACTATCTTAATTTAATGTATTTTGTTTTTTTAGTAATTAAAAAAATAATACTCTCTTGTTATCCGGAGCACAGATGACTCTTTTTGTTTTTTTTTTATTCGTCTTACATTAAATGATATTTTTCTATTCTTAATAAATTTAATAAATTTAAATAAATTTAACAAATATAAATCAATTTAATTAAATTTTAAACATCTTAACTTACTCGAAACATTTTTATATATATGTCCCCTCAATAAACACATATTTTTATTTATATTTAAAACTTTTTATTTTTATAAAATTAGTTTAGATTAATTATACATAAATAAATATATTATTTATTTACTTAGATTATATTAAATTTTATTCTTATAACATAATACCCATATTATATAGTAGTATATATTATTGAAATATAGTATTTAAAATATTTAGAAACATATATATATTAAATTTTATTTAAAGTACAAATTAGCGATAGCTATGACTTATTTGGTATTAATTTAAAGGTAGTTTTCTAATTATTTCATTTATATAATTTCTAATAAATATATATATTTATAAAATGTTATATTTAATTTTATTTTTTTTTTTAAAGAAAAAAAAACTTTTAAAAAAATTACCAACCAAACAAACCCATTATATTATGACCCAGTTTATATTCAAACAAAGTCTAAACTTGTCCCGAGAGATGACATGATGGTGTAGGTAATGAACTTGTGACCGTAAAAAATTTAAATTTGTACTATTATTTCAAAAATCATACAAAATACAAGCATTTTGTTTTGGTTTTTATCACCGTACATTTACAATACTTACTTCATTCCACATATAATGTCAAACATACTTTTTAATTTTGTATATCTCATATAATGTTATTTAAAAAAAAAAAAAGTATTATGTACAATTTAATCATATTTTAATTTTTATAATTTATATTTTATTTTTAATTTATAATTATTTTTACTAATATATTTTTTATTATTTATTAATCATATCATTCATAGATTCTCGTATCTACAGTTCACTGATATAAAACCTAGTACGGATGGAGTACTATTTTTGTCCGTCAAAATTATATTATTTTGACAAATAATTTTATTATTTTTATTTCAATAAATAAATAATTAATTTGATATTATTTTCTTTACCTATTATCTTTTAAATAGATGAAATACTTTTAACAATTTATCCATTTTTTCATTTTGGTCCGTCCCATAACAAAGTATCTGTTTCTTTTTTTTAGTAATTGTACTATCTACTTAACATTACAAATACCTTTCTAATTTACAATATATTACACAAATGTCATTACCTTTATATCATACAGGGTTAATTTAGTCTTTTTATCTTTAATTATACTTTATCACAATATAATACTAATATTTCTAAAACTTCGTGCAAAAAGCAAATGGATAAATAGATTGGAGACGGAGGGAGTAATATTTATTAAATTTGGTGTAAAAAATAAATTTATATTTATAAAGTAGGCATATTGAATATATTTTTATTAAAATTATGTAAAATAAATAATATATATATTTTTGTTTGAAATTATGTTTGTTTGGGGATTAGATTTTCAATCCATCGTTCATCCTATTTTTTTAAAAAAAAATATCAAATCAAAGATCTATTTGTCATTTTTTATATTATATTAAAAATTAATTTTACATTCAAAATATCACATAAATACCTATTTGTATCATTTACAACTATTCAAATTCAAAAATTTTATTATTTAAATCTCAACTAAAAATCAAAACCCCAAACAAAAGCAACCTTAATGAACGACTAGAATCTATATATATAAAGTCTAAACGAATGGGATGGGAAGGGGTGGGTGTGTACTAACCACGGCGACACCTTCTCCATCCCCTGCTCGCCCCTTCCCTTTATATATATATATATATATATAAAAATACCAAGAGTGGTATGAATTGAACCTTTGCCTTTGAACTCTGAATTCCCCTCCCCTTCCATTCCCTCCTTTCATCACTTCTTCGCAAACTCACAAATCTGAGAATCGCCTAATAAGGAAGAATTCAGAGGCAGAATCCTTCAATTTCATCATACGATCATCGATCTTCGATTCGCTTTCTCCACTAATAGATAAGCGGTATGTAACTGTAACTGTAATTGTATTTGTATTTTTAATGGCGAGGGAAAGTAAGAGAGAGGCTCTAGAGGTGGGGAGAGTTGTGGGAGATGTTGTGGATCCTTTCACCCGATCCATCAGTCTCCGAGTGATTTACAGCAGCTGCGGAGAGGTCACCAATGGCGGCGATCTGAGGCCTTCGCAGGTCGTGGCTCAGCCTAGGGTTCAGATTGGGGGGGACGACCTTCGCACCTTCTATACTCTGGTACGTACATAAATACGTATACCTATACATACATACATACGTGTAGAGAGATTGAGAGAGGCATACGGATACGGTGCTCCGATCCGAGCCGATCCGACCGATGAGCTTGCTTTTGGCTTTAATCTGGTGATGTTGATGATGGACGGCTGAGATTAATTTCAGGTTATGGTGGACCCGGACGCTCCCAGCCCCAGCAATCCCAGCCTCAGGGAATACCTCCACTGGTCACTCACACTGTTAAACCTTAATAATACAATACAATACAATACATCTCTTCTCTTATTCATTCAATTATTATTATTTATTTATTGAATATTATATACTGATGTTTGATTTAATCTTGATATTTGTTGACTCAATAATTCAGGTTGGTAACTGATATTCCTGCAACTACTTCCGCCACTTTTGGTCAGTATTTATTTAAAGGGCAAGTTTCCATTAAATTCCGAGTAAGTGGTCTGAACCTCAACACTTCAGCCCCTTCTCTTAAGGATCTTTCATGCAATTTCATTTCATTTTTATATATATATGTTAGAATTATTATTACTAAATGATAACACAACATGAACATCCTTATCTATAAACTTACGGACTTCAGGACTTAGGAGTGTGTTTGTTGTAATACAAATAAAGTTTTTTTTTGTTTTTTTTTATTATGATGTGGGAAACCGCAGCGGCTATCCGAAAGCGCGCACTGGATAAACCCCAGGCCCGACGGGAAAGTCGAACCATGTGTGGCAGGTGACCTGAGGCGTCGGGGGGTTTGAACCCATGGCCTCATGGTCACAAATCCAACCGCTACACTACCAGGCTATGGTTCTTTTTATGAGTTTGGAAAAATTTTGGTTTGAGTTACGTATTAAAATAATATGTATGATGAGATATTTTGTGAGAGGAAAAAATATATATAATTAACATTTTTGAAAATTTTGGCAAATTTGAAAATAAAGTTAGCATACAATGTTTTATTTTGAAGAAAAACAAAAGCGGTGTTTCTTTTTAGTGACTTTGAATTTAATATTAATATAATATTTAACAAAATATTTTATGAGAAATATAAATATATAATTTCGAAAAATATATAGTTCAAATAGTAAAATTTAAAAAAATTTGATTAAAAAAATAAATATATTTTAACTTATTTTATTATATATATGTATAAATATATATATTGATTAGGGCAAGAGATAGTGTGCTACGAGAGCCCCCGGCCGACGATGGGAATCCACCGGTTCGTACTGATGGTGTTCCGGCAGCTTGGGCGGCAGACAGTGTATGCGCCAGGGTGGCGCCAGAACTTCAACACCCGCGAGTTTGCGGAGCTTTACAATCTCGGATCTCCCGTTGCCGCCCTCTACTACAATTGCCAACGGGAGACCGGCACCGGTGGCCGAAGATTAATGTCGACTTCATCGTCATCTTCCTCGAGCTACACTTCGAATTAATTTATCTCTATAGGCTTTGCTTTGTGTTTGAATTTAGTATTAAAATGATGTACGATAACATATTCTGTGAAAAAAAAAAAATTTGAAAAATACAATTCTTCTTCAAATCATCATGTTATCATTTAGGGAACATTATTATTATTATTATTATTATTGTTATTATTATTATATATGGATCTTATATTATATATATATATAGTATCCAAATCGTTGTTGTTATTATTATTATTATTAATGATAGTAATTTATTTAGTTTGGATGTATTTTAGGTTCAGTTTAAATGTGAAGTTTTGGGAAGTTTTGAATTTAATTTTTATTTAAGTGAAAAAAATGAGTTTGGAATTTAACATGTGTTTAAAGAGTGAATTTGAAATTTTAAATGTAATAATTGTTGAAATGTGTTTTAATGTTTTGATGTATTTTAAATTTAAATTTTCTTGAAGTGAAAAAAAAATAAGTTTGGAATTTAACATGTGTTTAAATAGTGAATTTGAAATTTTAAATATAATAATTGTTGAAATGTGTTTTAATAGTTTGGATGTATTTTAGGTTTAGTTTAAATGTGAAATTTTGGAGTTTTGGGAAGTTTTGAATTAATTTTTTTTTGTTTAAATGAAAAAAAATGAGTTTCGAAATTAACATGTGTTTAAATAGTGAATTTGAAATTTGAAATATAATAATTGTTGAAATGTGTTTTAATGGTTTGGATGTATTTTAAGTTCAATTTAAATGTGGAATTGTAGAGTTTTTGGAAGTTTTGAATTTATTTTTTTTAAAAGTGAAAAAATGAGTTTGGAATTTAACATGTGTTTAAATAGTGAATTTGAAATTTTAAATGTAATAATTATTGAAATATGTTTTAATGGTTTGGATGTATTTTAGGTTCAATTTAAATGTGGAATTGTGGAGTTTTGGGAAGTTTTTATTTATTTATTTTTTTTAAGTGAAAAAAATGAGTTTGGAATTTAACATGTGTTTATATAGTGAATTTGAAATTTTAGATGTAATAATTGTTGAAATGTGTTTTAATGGTTTGGATGTATTTTAGGTTCAGTTTAAATGTCAAATTTTTGAGTTTTGGGAGTTTTGAATTTAAATTTTTTTGAAGTGAAAAATATGAGTATAGAATTTAACATGTATTTAAATAGTGAATTTGAAAATTTAAATATAATAATTGTTTTTTTTTTTATGACGTGGGAACAGCAATCGCTACCCGAAAGTACGCACTGGGTAAACCCGGGCCGAACCTAATATTCCTGCAACACAGGATTTAAATGTAGTAATTGTTGAAATGTGTTTTAATGGTTTGAATATATTTTAGGTTCACTTTAAATGTGAAATTGTGGAGTTTGGGAAGTTTTGAATTTAAATTTTTTTGAAGTGAAAAAATTGAGTTTGAAATTTAACATGTGCTTAAATAGTGAATTTGAAATTTTAAATGCAATAACCGTGGAAATGATTATATGATTTGATTGGCTGAATATTTTATTGTTGATATAACAAATATTTCCTCAATCTTGGAAGTATAGTATTGGATGTATTGGACATGAGATTTAAGGAATATTGATATTATATTGACAGTGGGTAAAAAGTATATGTAAAAGATATTTTTGTCTTTGCGAGTGTATTAGTGTAAAAAATAGTGATAATTGTGTAATAATAATGAAAAAGTAAGGATAGTTATATAGTGATATGGTTATTTATAGAAATAAGAATATTATTTTTGGACGGAGAAATATAGTAAACAACACTATTGTATTGAAACGGATGGAGTATAATTTTTTATTTATAAATAAATAGAAGAATTGTTATGAGATGGAATATTTTTATTTATTTTTTTAAAAAATACTCTTATTAACAAAAGATGATTTTTACAAAGGTGGGGTGGATGGTATTATTCAATCATTTGTGAAGAGCCTAAATAATCAAAATATATTTATTTATATAAAGTACATAATAAATTTTTAAGAATAAATAAGGAATAAAAAATTTTAAATTTTTCAAAAATTATCTTTTTGGGTTCAAAAAACTATTTCAAAAAATTAATTTACCAAATATTTAAATTAGTTATTTGACTAGTCAAACAGTTAAAATTGTTCAATAAGCTAAAAGCTATTCAAAAAACTCTTTGTTAAACACCCTACAAATTCATGTGATAGCAACTTTGATCCTAAAATTATAATTAGGGGGCGTTTGTACCGGACAATGAAATTGTAGAACAAATGAAAGTAGACAAAGAGAAATGTGAGTAGAAAATGAAATTGAGAAATTGAGTAAAAAATGAAAATTAATTATCTTGCTTGGTAAAACGGAGAATTAAGTTGAGAAACATAAAAAAGAAAAAAAAATGCAGCCATCTGAATTGATCGAACAAGAATAAAGGATTAAAATGACAAAAGAGAGTTTTAACAAGTGAGAATTTATGAAAAAATATTTTTTGTGATTTTTTTTTTAAAAAATTATAAATTACATAGAATTTTGTACGATTGTATGTTATTATTTTTTTAAAAAAATAGTAAAAATTAAATTCCTGAATAATAAATTTATTGTGATTTTTTAAAAAAAATTGAAATAATATAATTTTTAAAAAATTATAAAAATTAAATAGTACAAAAATATTTCAAATAATAATAATAATACTGAAACATTCATTTCTGTCTATTTCTATTTCTATTTCTCTGGATGTAGGAGATAAATGAAATCAAAGAAATAGAATGATTTATTTCTCAACTTCTATTTTCCTAACTCAAACAATAAGATCTCTCATGTTATTTTTTTGTACCAAACACAATACTTCTTTTGTGTCACAATTATCTTAAATATGAGAATTTAGAAAAAATATAATTAATAAATAATTAAAAATATATTAATAAAATTAGTTATAATATAATACAAATAATTGACAATTTAAAACAACTATATAAAATATAAAATATAATTAATATCTAAAATAACTTTTCAAAAGAGTAAAAATAACATAAGGCGTGACACATTTGAGTAACAATTAGGCGGAAATTATTGGAGGAATCCAAAATATACAGTACAAAAAGAGTTCTGTGTGCTAGTCTTTTGAAAGTGTTGTCTTGTCATAAGAATTAGTTTGTTTGTTTTTGTTTATTTTTATTTATTTAAATTTTGGCAAGTTTAATATTTTTGAAATGACATAATTGGAGAATTTTTTAATAATGAAATTATAGATCTATTTATACACGACAACCGAAATAAATATTCCATTTGTCACATTTTTTTGTGTCTGGTTTAACTTAAATATGAAAATTTAGATAAAATATAATTATTAAGTTATTAATAAATGTATTAGTAAAAATAATTATTATATAGTAAATTAATTATAAGATTAAAATAATTAAATATAATTAAAATTATAAAAATTAAAATATGATTAAAATATATAATTATATTTTCTAAAAAAAAGACAAATAAGGTGTAACGGTCGTAAATAAAAATAGTTAACAAAAAAGGTGAGACAAAGGGAGAATAATAACATTATTATCGTTTACTTTTTGCACGTAAATCTTTTAATATTAGTATTATAATAGATTGTAGTGAAAAAGACGAAAATGTCCCTATCGGTATTGTGTAATATAAAAGTAACGACATTTGTGTAATACAGTGTAAGTTGGAAGAGTATTTATTGTGTTAGGTAAGTAGCACAATTACTAAATTAGGAAATAATAACCTTGTTTTGGGACGGACAAAAATGAAAAATAATAACCTTTCAATTGGACGAAGGAGTATAACAAAGTACATATTTATATATATCAATATTCTTCAAATAGAATTTTGTGAAATACACCCTATAGCTTCACTTTTAATATAAATTTACTTGCTAATATATTATAAAAATATTTAATTTAAATATATTCAATTATAATAAATTGGGCCGGGATAACTTAATAGGTCTGGGTAGAAACTTTTTGGATCTATTGTGTTAAATACAAAATATGTTTTTTGTCAAAATTTAGATTGAATTTTTGAACCATATTAATTTTTGTGGGCTTTAATTGAAACTCAATACAAACATAAGACAAGCCCAACAATTTTTTTCACATTGTCTGAACCGGCCTGAGAGGTGCCCAGTCACGTGAGCCAGCCCGCTTGAAGGTCCGGGCTTAGGACCGGCTCGATCAAGGGGCCCGGCTGGCAAGTCTCGACGCGTGCCACTTGAAATCGTGTAGCGGCGGACAAATGTTCCAAATTTAAGCGCCATACTGAAATGTTGTCCGCCTTTTCGTCGACCCCCGGCGGGAAAACCTTTGATTTTTCTATTTCCTCTCGAAACGCCATTTACTCCCACACATCAGCATTCCTCGTAATTGTCGACCCAAAAAATAATTGCATTCGACGGAATTGAAGGGACACGGGCTTGGGTGGGTTTGCTTCACAATTTTCGTTCTCGAATAGGTTTGGGAGGAAAAGCTTCTGGATCTGAGGAAGAAGTATTATTCGTTTAATCTCGAGGGTTTTTTGGGTTATCGTTGGTGAGATCTTCTGTTAAAAATTTTGTATTGGTTTGCTATTTCCGATTTCTTTTTGTAACTTTTCTGGGTTTATTGTGTTGTTTGCTCATAGTTCGGTTCATCATCTATCGTCGACGGTGGAGAGTCCAACGATTAGTTGTTGTGGTTTTTATCTGTGTGCTTTGGAGAGTTAGTTCCCGGCAATCAATCAATGGCGGAAGTTGAACATAGAAAAATCGACGTTGCTGCTGATGAGAAGCCGGCGTCGGTCGGTGGGTCGTATCAGAAGAAGAGGACGAATAAGAGGAAGAGTATGGAAGCGTGTCAGTACGCCCCAACCGCTGAAGAGAAAGAAGCTAAAATTAAAGCATTTCGCGAAGAAATCAACAGTCTCGTTAGGTTTTGTAATGAGAAAGTGATGGCAAACAATGGGGATTTGGTGGAAATTGAGAAGGTTGGAAGTTCTGCTTCATTGAATGTTGTGATTGCGTGTCTAATGGAGGAGAGAAGCCTTCCCCTTTCAAATCTTGTTGATGAGATTTTCGATGGGCTTAAGAGTAAATCTGGAAATGGTGATTGTGTTAGCAAGGCCATTGTGAAGAGTTCTGTTCTTAAGATTGGGCAGAGGTTGTGTTATGGTATGACAAGTGCTGATGCTGACATATTGGAGGATGAGGCTGAGCATGCGCTTTGGTGTTGGGAGGTATCTGTTACAATTTTAAATCTATGTGTTTTGGTTTATGATTCTTTTGAGATTCGGAAATGATGTATATATATATGTGTGTGTGTGTGTATATATATCTTTTACTTAATGTGTTTTGCATTGTGTTTGATTGTTTAATGAATGGGTATGCGCCTTGATATTCGCTCGACTTACTGGATTTGCATTATATATATTTGGCCTTTATAACAAAGGCTGCTCTAAATAATTACTTGGAGGATCGAAAAGTTTAAATATCGACCTTTCTCCCTATTGGGTATCATATTGAACATAATGATATCTTTCCTTGTATTTCAACTATGTATAATGTTTGTATGTTTTTTAGTACTTTGATGGTGATAGTTCAATCTAACTGAGTAGTTCTTTGTCGCAGACGAGAGATTTGAAGTTGATACCAAAACTAGCACGGCCTGCTCTGAAAGTTCGCCGCACTTGCCGCAAAAAGATTCAAGAGAGGATTATGGCTGTATGGGGTAAGAATTTGTTTTTTTGGCCTTAAAGTTACTTATGTGATTCGGTATTAAATTTTATTGGCTTTATTACTTGCTTTCATTTGTTGATTCACTTTGAAATGTGGTAGAAGTTGAGCTGAAATTTTCATGTTTGAGTGAGTTTCATCACTGAAACCGCATGATATATTTGTATAATCTGTTTTATTTGTCCAGCAATATTGACATTATTATTCATGGTTGGATTCCTTTTCTATTTATACATTCTCATTGTGCGGCTCATTTGACGATTTTGATCTATTTCAGCTATGATACGCGCACTGGAAAAGTTAGATAGCTATCAAGAGTTGATGAAAGCTTCAGAAAAGCTCAGTAAAGTTTTAAATGAGGTCGATATCCGGTTGCTAATGGAAAACATGTCATGTAAAAATGGTGCTGAAATGTATGTATTCCAGGTTATCATTTTAACAACATACTTGCAAACCGCATAATTCTAATCAGTAGTTTCTTGGTGAAGGGCTGAGAAGGATGCCCAGAGAGGAGGAATAATGTTGATAAAACAATTGGAAAAAAGCAAAAAGGAAATGGAGAAAGAGAGGAAAAAGATGGATAGAGAACTTCAGAAGGAAAAGTTGCAAAATGTATGCTGTGTATTCTTTTTGGTCTTTTATTTGTAGTTGAATGCAAGTTTATCCGATTAAAGATAGTAGTTGAACCAATCTAGTGGATATCTTGACGCAGGATATTCTGAAATTCTGAAGTATTACAAACATTGCAGGAAAAAGAGCAGAAGCGATTGCATGATGAGGCAGAGAAGGAGAGGAAAAGGCGTGAAAAGGACGAAAATGAGATGATGAAAAAGCTCAAAAAGCAGCAAGAGGAAGCAGAGAGATGTCAAAAGCGCAAGGACAGGGAAGAAACTGAATTGCGAAATCAACTTGCGCTTCAGAAGCAAGCGTCACTCATGGATCGCTTCCTTAAAAGGAGCAAAACTAGTCCACCTTCTCAAAATGAGAGTTCAATGCTCAACGATACCTCATCTGGATCATCAACTAGCAATGTTGAACAATTCTCCAAATCAGTTACCCTGTCGATGGATTCTGTCTTAGCTCAAGTTGTTGGGATTGAGGTGGAAGATATCTGGAGGTGAGGGCTCACCTTCACTCTTCGAGTCTTGATTTTTTTGGCATCATGACGTAGCCAACAATACTATCCTTTTGTTGTTACCTTTTTGCAGATCACACTTGAATGCTTGGCGCTGCATTGGGCCTTCCCATCTGAGCAGGAAGGCTCACTGGAGCATTCGTCAGAAACCCAAAATTGAATTGATCAAGGAACTTAAACTTACAACGACTAAAGAGTTAACTTCTGATGAAGACTTGAGCATAGAGAAGCTTGTGGTTGGATGGGCTGACTCTAACAATGATGGAAGATTTTCTCAAATGAATTCTGACAGTAGTCCTAGTGGTCAGAAGAGACGTCGTTCTAAACAGCTGTTGCAGTTTGACAAGAGCCATCGGCCTGCATTTTATGGAATTTGGCCCAAGAAAAGGTAATCCTATTAAATGCCACTTACCCTTTTCATACTGTGCAATGACTGAGTTAATAGTTGACTCATGTGAATTTTGTGATGTCAATTTTTGTCAGATTTTCTCCATCTGTTCACTCATTTTATATTATAAGTGTCCTGAATTTATTCCATGAGAGATCCCCACCATAAGTTATGGTTTTTCTTGATAAGCATGTATATGAATCTTTCATGTTTTGTTGGTACTGAACACTGCTGTCATGGCGTCCTGACTGTTTGGGAAGCCCCAGGCTTCACCACTCCGCCTTATGAAATATGGCGGTGTGTCCAAATCAGTTCAATCTTTTGATCCCAATCCAATTAGCCCTAGCCCAAGCCCAAGCCCAAGCCCAAGCCTAAATTAAGCCCACACTTACCCGATGGCGGATCAAGTTGAGTGTTCGGTCTAAAATCTAAAACCATTTTTTTTGGTTATGATTAAGGCCCATAAAACTTTAAAGATTAATAGAAAGTTGATAATGTAAGATTCCTTAAGATTTATAACATATATAATTTTAGACATAGTGTGCCACACTTGTCATTTTGTTTCCATGGCCATCCCCGGCACCGTGCCGCAAAAGAGCGCCTGTGACAACCTTGGTACTGAATGTTCTTAATATGCTTTTTTTCTCATGGTGCACTTCTTTTATTTCAGTCAAGCTGTCGGCCCCCGTCACCCCTTTGCAAAGGACTTGGATATAGATTATGAGATTGACAGCGATGAGGAGTGGGAAGAGGTATTCTCCTGCTGTTTAACTATGGCTTTTCTCATGATTGAATTTGATCTAAAACATTTGGTTACACAGGAGGAACCTGGCGAAAGCTTATCAGATTGTGACAAGGATGAAGAAGATGAAAATGTGGAAGAGCTTGTAAAGAATGAAGATGAGGAAGAGGATGAGGATGAAGATGGATTCTTTGTTCCTGATGGATATCTTTCGGAGAATGAGGTATTCTATCTATTGATATCAAATCCAATTATTTTTTCCTGCATTCCTCTTGTCGGTCTGCGTGATTTGTTTGGACAGTTGAATGTTCACACAAGCAAGTGTTTCTTGTTGCATTGGGCAGCCTTTTCCCTTGGTCCTATAATCACCTGGGCCGATTGAACCTCAATTATTTCATTGTTTTTGCATTGTAGAGTGCTGGGGTTCGGATTGAGGAATACTATATTATGTGAAAGCAAATTGCCAACTTATTCAATTCTACAGATTTCTAAAAATTTGCATCCTCTTGTTTATTTATTTTCACTGCAGGGATTATCGAATGATGAAATGGAATGTGATGATTTGGATGAGGAAGTAAGAGGTCAGCCAAGTACTGAACAGACAGTGCAGAGTGAAGAATTCTGTACCCTTCTCCGGCAACAGAAATATCTCAACAGTCTGACCGAGCATGCCCTCAAGAAGAACAAGCCTCTGATTATTTTGAATCTTATGCATGATAAGACTTCATTGTTGCCTGTTACTGAGCTTTCTGGTGCAGAAAAGCTTGAAAGGATGTGCTTGCAAGCTCTTTCTATGTGTCCATTGCCTGGTTTCTCAGATGCAGAAATCTCAATTTCGATAGATGTGAAAGAGGATCAAGAAGCTTCCTCCTACAAGTTGGGTACAGCACCACCTGAAACTCCTGCAGCAATTCTGGATTCCAACTTACCAACATTGGTAAGTAATTCTTAATATTGCAGATTTAACTACCTCTATGACCAGTCTGAATTTGCTTTTCAGTGTAACTGGTTGTGGGTGTAATATATCAATTCACACAATACTTTTGGTCCACACATTACAGGTATCAACCATCCAGATTGGCCCTAATAGTATCGGGAATATAGTGAAGTCACTGCATACTCAGTTTCCAGCTGTACCAAAGTCCCATCTAAGGAAGAAAGTGCATGAAATATCTGAGTTTTTGGATAATCGTTGGCAGGTGATGAAGCTTAATTTGCTTACATTTCAAATGTCCATATGCAGAAATTTCATATTTCTTCTACTTTTTTCCAATATACTCATTTCAAATCTAAATTGCGACATGATTAAATAAAAAATAATATAAATTAATGATTAAATAATTTTAAAATATGATTAAAATATATAACTATATTTCTAAAAAATGAAATAACAAAATATGTGGGACGGACGAAAATAGAAAAATAAAACAAATTAAATAAAACGGATAAAATATAAAAAAGAAATTAGTGTGTAAAACAAATTAAATGAAACGGATAAAATATGCTAACTGTTCCTTTCATAGAATCTGGTTTGTTTTTAATGACCATACAATGTTTCTGCCATCTACATGTGATTTTGTTACTGACATAAATTGTAATTGCACTCAATTTTAGTTAGTTGTGAGGCTGATGTACTTTTAATTACCTGTCTCAGGTCAAGAAAGAAATTTTAGACAAACTTGGCCTATCTACATCACCAGGTAATTCCTCCAAACATGGCAAAGGGTCATTTTTACCTTCTATTTCTTTCTATGCCAATTGTTTTGTGTCGTGGTGCAGAAAAGAGGTACGGTAAAGTGAAGAGCATTGCTACATACTTAAAAAAACGATGCCTGCCTCCATCTAGGAAGACCCCACAGCTGTCAAGGGAGCCTGCTGCATCCCAACAGCAGGAATAATTGCCGCCATATCCATCCAGGTATTTCTAGCTGTATGTACCTACCATACCTAAATCGTTGTCGGCATTTTGTTTTGGATGGGTGATGTTTTTGGCAATGCCTGGTTTACATCAGACAGTGCTTTACTTGAGATAGATAAAATGTTTTGGCAAATGTATGCTCTGCAACTGAGTTGAAATCGAAATCGGAATTTGAATTGGTGCTTTGTCCAAAAGAAAATGAAAGAACAGAAAACTGTGATGTGATGTAGTTGGTATTTTGTATGACAATGACTATGTAAGGATGAGAGCATGAAAGCTCATTTAAAACTTACAAGACTTCCATTTACATATAAATTACATTGTTTTGGGGTATTATTTGAGTTGAGCTACCCTATTTAGTTGCATTTTCTTTTTACAATTATGCCATGAATTTATTTTCATGGTGTAGAAATGTAATAATTTGTTATGGTTGTTATATTGAAGATGGTGTGATTGTTTTAAAATAATGTAGTGGAGTGCTATAAAGTTATATTGAGTGATGTATTTTTTAATTGTATATTTTTGAAATTTTAATTAGAATTGGGAATATTTTTGTAATAAATATATTTTTTAATTAGAATTAGAAACAAACACACCCTTAATTGCTTTTTGCGGTGTAGAGTGCTGGTATATAAATACTTTTTTGCATTGGGTAGCCTCTAATTCTGTTTTGGTACTTATATTCTACTAAAATTGATTTTTAGTATAATATAAAAAATAAAATAATAAATATTTGATTTGATATTTTTGGAAAAAAAAAATTTAAAGAATAATAAAATTTGAAAAAAAAAATTTCAAACAAACACAAATTATTCTTTTTTAAGTTTAACATAAAAAATAAGTTGAGTTATAACCACGCCAAATTAAATCTAGAATTATGCCTTATATTCAAATTGGTAATGAACTTTTATTAAAACATGAAAGGCAGTTCCTGTCTTATTTTTTATCCTTCTTTTTTTTTTTTTTCCTGAGAAGTAACAATTATCCTTAATTAAGTTGGCACTAGTGCTAGCCACAAAAATGGAAGCATTGAATCATTTCAAATTTGCAAGAAGTAATAAATTGTAAGGAAACACAAAACAAACAAAGCCCATACATGTAAATGTCTTCAAAGCTGCCATTGGCAATGAACAGAACAGCTTGTAGCAAAACCTCAGCATAAAATTACCAAAAGAACTGCCATCTATTCCCATTGCTAATATAAACTGAAACTTAACTTATACATCTTGTCATAATAGTAATAATAATATTAATAATCATAATAATATATAATATATACACATACAATTACAAACACATTTTCTGTGTCATACTGCAGTGAAAGTTTGTACTGTATCAATCTACCAAGTTCAGAAATTACGAGTAACCAACAACTATCCAATATCGTCGCCTAAAAACAGTGAAAGCCACTTTACTTGAAGAACACCATAACCAACCTTGTTCGCTCGATTCCCAGCCTCCACAAAGAATAGCACCGTCATCACAAAGTTCAATTTGATTCAAAAGTCGGATTTCAGCAACCGGACTCGAGGTTTTATGGCAATGTCGTCAAAGGGATCATGTTGCTCCACATGAATGTAGTCCCTTGTTTTGAGAACCTATCAACACATGAGTATAATGAAAGGTGAAAGTTAAAAGAACTGTGCCATGACAAGTGAATGCTCAGGGAACACTGTGAATACAGTAAGAAAAGATTTAAGATATTACCAAAGCTTCAAAAAACATCCTAGATGCTTCCTTGCGAGATTTCCCGGTTAAAAGGTTGTCCATAGAAAGCGCTTTCTTTCCATGCTCCGCCTCTTTGATGAAAAGTGTCTGAAGATACTTGGAAACAGCCCTGTCGAAGAAGAGGAAGAATGTTTGCACCTAAATACTAAACTTTGACGAGGCTAGGGAATGATTATAGCAATTCTAATCAGAGAACGTCTAAATTTAAAACGAAAACACGTTAATTAGCTTGGTTAAAATTAGGCTATCTTAACTTAATCTTATGACACAAGTAAATACGTCGTATGTTGTATATTCTATTTCTTATTTCTTAGCCTCAAAATATAATCTTAGCAACCAAGAAGTTTTGAGCTGCTTTTTCTTTTATGCGCACCTTGTACGTGAAGACCAACCGGTGTTTTCAGCAAATTGCGCCTCCTCATCATCAGGATTAATATCATCTATCTCGGTTAGGTCATCATCATCAACATTTAGAAACTCTGATTTCAAAAGACAATGTTTGATAGATTGGTGAGAAGGTCAAGATAATGTATCAGATATTGAGAAGATAGAATAAAACCTGTGTCATTGCCAGCAGCATAGTAGTTCAGATCCTATATTTACAGAAAGGAAAAATAATCAATATAACTCGAAAAGACATGAAAACATATTTCAAATGGAAATGCATACATGCTTGAAACTCAATTTGTAAGTGAAATAAATAGAAGGGAATATGCAATCATTCATAAATGCCATCTATGTATTACTACCACGGGTAATTCTGAAAGAATAAGCATTAATGAAATTCCGGCTCAACTTTACGCCGATCAAATCCACTTTCTATTTTTCAAAATACCAACACACCTTTCAGACAATATGTGTGAGAACCAAAGCAACCGATCAACCAAGACAACTTCACATGAAACACAGCTTCTAACTCTCTAGTATTTAAAAATGACGAATTCCAACAACAAAAAGGTAGGTTGTTTCGACAAGACACCTCCAATCCTTTATTCAACTATGAGAAAACTAGAGTACCTAGTTAGGCTTGTCAAACTGCGTAGAAAGAGGAGGTGACCAGGAATCTAAGGTTGTGTTCTTTTGTGAGTTTTACCCCAAATTTTTACTATTCACATTATTTTCTTCCTAAAAAAATATCAAACAAAGAATTAATTTTCTTTGCTTTATATTATACTATAAATCTATTTTACATTCAAAACATCACATCAACATCTAACTATTTCATATCAAACAACTATTCAAATTTCAACTTTTGACTATTCAAAAATTCAAACCTACAAACAAACACACCCTAATTGTTTGGCACAGGTATCTGGCTAATAATACAGGCTGGAATCTTACAAGTTACTTTAATCAATGGAAGGTAGAGTTATCTGTTCTATGAAAAAGATGACTCTCTCTAGTGAACTTCCCTTGCTTAGGTTCGCCGCAGCAAAAGAGTCGATTCAAATATAATTGTTTCGAAAATAGTACCTCAATAAAAACTACAGAATTGCAAATGATCGAGTCGATCAAAACAAATAGATGCACAGGATTTCACAACATACCTCTTGACCATGCAGATCAAAACCAGATTCTTCATTCAGCATGTAGCTTTGATAAGCTTCTGTAGGTTCAGGATTCTCACCATTATTCATGAAACCATCATCTCCCATATCAATATTATCCGGATACAAAGAGGCCCCAATATGCTCGTTTTCTGCATTAGGAAATAACTCGACATTTCCACCATCACTTACCACTCCCAACAGAAAATCCTCCTGCGTGACAGGCTCAGTATCAACTGCAGCATTAACATCACCATCCTTCTCTACAAGTGAATGCGTGTCAATGATCTGTTCATTGTCAATATCCATTGGAGTAGAATCCAACCCAATGTACGGTACATCTGTCTCTGCAGGAGGTAGAGCAGCTGAAGTATCGGCTTCAGCAAGTAGGTTTGCCTCACTGGTCTCCTTAATAGAACCATCTTGAATCACATTTGAAGGATTATCTAGAACATCTACTGAAGCATCCCCAGTGGAGTCTGGTGGTTTTCCTCCAGCAGAAGCAGAAGAATTTACATCATCATTCTCCTTTTGACTTTTTTCTACTCCATTTTCGTCCAGAAGAAGCTCCTGTACTGAAAAACCAGCATCCATGTGGTCGGTGGCTTCAGGCTGTTCATTATTGACTTCGTATATCTCACCAGGTTCCTTCATGCTAGTGTCACTTGGTTGAGAATTTACAGTCTGCTTGGCCACACTATTGTCTCCATCCAACAGAACCTCTTCAGGAACAGTCATTTCACTTTGTTCTGTAGCATTAGGCTCTCCTGAACCATTCTCGGATTTTGTGTCTGGGGTTTGATCGTTTTCAGCATTTTGAGAATTTAGATTTTGTTCAGCTGCACCTGTAAGAGAATCATCGTTTTTGACATCATGAGAAGTAATGCTTGGTCCAGCTGTTGTGTCATGGGAACCGGCTTTCTCCTCAGTTACTGTAGGCATCCCTGTTTCAACCATAGCTTGACCCAGAAAACCATCAAGATCATTCTTGCACACTGTGATTCTCCTCAAGTCCCATATCTGACTGTGCAAAGATGACAACTGATCCGATACCCCTAAGAAAAGAAACCACAATATCGTAAAAAATCAACACAATTTCCCAAGGGAGTATTAATTACCACATCAGTGTGACAAGATATATTACGGATTAGGAAGAGAATTAACACTGCTTAAACATATTGACATTATGAATAGATAAGCAACTAAAATGCGTGTATAATTGATTTTTCTTTTAAAAAAAAACAATAATCTTAAACAGAATAAGCTCCAGTTTATCGGGATGTATCTGAAATATTCTTCTGTTTTAGTACATAGGAACTTTAGATGCTGCTCAGAACCAGGAAACCAGATTCTCTAGTCCCCACAATGTGGCAGTGACCAACTGCAGTAACTTTAACACAGATAGTAACATGATTTCTGAAATGAGGACTCTGGTACATATAAACAATGCCAAAAAGAATCATATAAACTCAATCAACCAAAAGAAAAAGGGTTCATTGGCATAACCTGTAAAGGGTTAAGCAGGCGAATAGCATTTTAAATTGACAAGTACTATATAATCAAGAGCACTTCTCAGAACTACAAACTCACCAGTTAATATGGGTCCAAGAAAAATTTCATCTTCCAAATGCTGTTTCTGAATCACTGAAATTTCAGGGAGAGTGCAAGGAGCTTTCTTTCTTAAGCGGCGAATGTCCTCAGTGTTTGTAAGCTGCTGCCGTATTGTACTATCAATGAATAGACATAATTTCAGGTTTTATTTCTTAACAAACAAGTAAAAAGTTCTGCAATAAAATACTGGATACCGGTAGGGAAAAAAGGGGGTTTAGTGTGCCAGTCATAGGTTTAAAGCCAGTAATAGACAGTAATATCAACAGAGGTATTGATCAGGGAGTTGTAGCTAATGATTCAAAAAATGAAACCAACCATGCCTTCCTAGAAAATTATTCAGAAAAGTTATAACATACAATCAAAATAAATATAAAATAAATATGCACAAAATGTCCATGATGTTTGGTTAAAACACTGGCACACTACCATGCAATTGAAATATTCAAAAGTAAATACTGTTCCAACTTGGTAGTTCCATTCCCACTTCCATATTCAGAATTTCCACAATCCGAACCCTAAATTCACTTCCATATGTGATTGAGTGCGACTGTCGACCATTATAGACTGAGTTATAGATTTTGTATAGTCCACAATAATGATTGCTATATCCAGTTCATCATCTACAGCTTGATCAATCCTACTTAATTCTTCCGAGATGAAATCCCCAATAAAATTTTCACATGCTAAACTACAAGAGGGTGAAAATTATCATATGGGATTTCTTAAGTAATTTCTAATATTCAACAATCAACATTTCACAGCTATTTAAGCATAAAACTACATGATAAAAAGATAAAAGAAGTGTAAAACAGAACATACTCGCCATGCAACACCATCGTATCATCCATAAGCACTTTTCTTTTGGGAGCAGCAGTACGGGAAGCCAAACGCGTACGTTTGACAGAAGTTGCCTCAGAAAGACGAGGTGTTGGTTTTACTTTCAGGACCGAAGATCTTCCGACTTGAGCAACATTCAACATCAATCAGAAACACAGATTTGAAACTCTCAAAACAAGTAATATAAGGAATGGATAAGAGAAGAGATACCTAAAATGGAGGACAACAGATCATCATCGTCAGGAACAGATTCAACCTTCCTTTTGAAATGGGCTAACCCCGAAGATTCAACTGAATTCAGACTTTGTTCCGTCAGTGTACTTTCAGTGAAGCTCCGCTTCTTTCCTGAAAGGTTTTTACTGCCAGCATCACCATCATCAAGTGCTCCGGGGCTCTCTTCTATTAGTATGTTCTTCTGTTGATCCAAATGGCCATCTGGAACTGACAGTAACTTCTCTGGTGCAGGCACTTCAGTTTCTGCTGGCTTATCTTGGTTCTCCATCAACTTATCATGTGAATCTTCGGGATGTGCTTCACCTTCCAGCTCTCTAGAAGATGCATGAGCATCTTCTTGCACATGATTGGTCTTCAAACTTGCTTCCAGATCATCAGTGGTGAGGCATGCCTTATCTGCTCAAGCAAAGTAGTCCAATTTAAAATCGAAAGGATCTATCTGGAATTTCAACAATCATAGCAAGTTCAAGCTTGACAGACAAACCTTGCACCTCCACCCCCTCAGAAAGATCTAACGCAACATCCTTAGATTGCATCTCAGAATCAGTTGGCCTAGGAGATCCGGAGTCATGGACATCAGCATTCAACAAGCTCGAATGAGGGGGCTGGGTATCGCAATTCTGTGAATGCAGCTCATCTTTGTTTTCTGAATCTAAATTTGATGCAGGCTGACACAGTTTCTCCTGATCACCAGCAGCTTCAGTCCCAAGTGATTCAGGATCATTTGCTGAGAGAACTTCAGGAGCTTGGTGGGACATACTGGTCTGGTCATAAGCTTCAGATGAACTTTTTTCCAAGCCAATGTCAATGACACCTTGGTGATCATCACATGGTTTTCCATCAGGAAAAGAAGAGTCTTCACCTTTACTTGCAGATTCAATCTGCAATCCTTCTATGGAGGGATCATCAGTCACCTCAGTAGTTTTGTCAATCAATTCTGACGCAGGATTTAGTACATTATCTAATAAATCAGAAGCAGGCTTAGATCCTGACATGGGTTCATCAAGTGACACATGCTCCACATTAGAATCGACAGGAAATTCTCCCTGTTGCTTTGAAAGGTCTATGTCCATGCTAATCGGTTGATGGCTATTCTCCTCGGTTTGCGCTGCAGGAGTTGCATTGGAAATGTTAGTATTGCTGGAAAAACAATCAACCTCATGCTTATCCTCGTCGGCACTTTTAGCTTTTTTCGTCACTTTTGACTCCACTAAATGGCATTCTGATTCTAGGTGATCATCGCATGCTGAAACCTCTTGGACATTGGATAAGTTGGGTTCATCTACCAATCCAGGAGTGCATGGAGCCTGTGCGTAGTCCATAAGATTAGCATTGTCATCAACATCAACCTGCATGTACAAAAACGAAAGAGAAAAGAAAGAAAGAGCTTCATTTAAGAAATCTTCATTTCCAAATTTTTTAATTCTTCTTATCTTATGCAGATGCATATGGTCAGCATTACATTCATAGAATACAGCACAAGTATTATGGACACCAAAACATACACCACCACATCAACCGAGTACTAAAAAACAGCTTATAGTGTGATAATTACCGCATCTACATTATTCAGCATCCTAGAATCGGGTTCGTCCTCTGGCTTAGGAGGGGTCATTGACACAGTGGATGCCTGTGGATCGGCACTGAAATACAGGGAATACAGTATCAGATATCAGCATGCAGCTATTTTCAAGAACTGTTCAAAGTCCAAGGGCAATAAAACCCCACAATCAATCGGTGAATTAGATATGGAGACACTTATCAATTCTAGTATTCTACAAAATATTAAGGGTGAGTCTGACCTTTCATTTAATGGCCCTGCAGCACCAATCTTGCCCATAAGTAATTCCTGCATTCAAAGTATTAATCATGCAAAAGAAACTCATCAATATTCAAAAACATAAAAAATATGCATTATGTCACTTTGAGATTCAGCTGCGCAAAGAACAGTGACTATCATGTGCTGTGGCAGAATTATTGGGATGCAGACAGCAAAACTGCATCATGAAGTGGAAGCATTTTTGTCAAACCCCAGAATGCGATTTGGCAGGTTGTACTAAGTCCATTTTTATTTTTGGTACAAGTAATAAAAATTGTGTAACTAGCTACAACTTGACTACAAATATAGTCATCTAGAACAGTACAGGCAAACAGAAAACATTGAAACAATAGCAGTGGTGTGATCTACCTCCTCAAGGTCTAACCCAGAAGCATCGCCATCTCCAAATCTCTCTGAGAACAACACAAGCCACATAAGGAAGAGACTAGAACCATTATTTTAATAAACAAAGAACATGTTTTTGTTTCTATGCATTCAGAAAAGAAGACGTAATAACAATAATGAAACAAACCATCAAGACCAAATGTTGATGTTGAGTAAGTGACACCCTCCATGGTATCCTGAAGGGTGATTTGCTCTCTTGAACTAATGTGGTGATCCACAAAGTTGCTGCAAAATTTGCAGATGGCATTATAGAGAAACAGAACAATTGCATATTTATCAAAAACAATTGATAAAAATCAGCTTGTCCAGAGATGTGAAAACATTGGTCAACATTTTAGACTGCCTCAAAGGAGAAAACCACTCTCTCCTTAATTAAGCATGCCATAAAATCAAGTTTCAGTAAATTTAGGTCATGTCTACCATATCTAATGTGCTCACAAATCTTTAATTTCATGAATACGCATAACTCAAACTAACCTCTGGAAAATGTCATTGTCTGGCAGCTCGAAATCATCAAGATCAAATGTTTCAGGCAAGGTGATGGAATGATATGGTGCCTTTGACTCTTCTGGGGGTAGGTCCACAGCAGTAGACCGAAATGCCTGCTTAATTTTCAGCAGAGCCTCGCTACAGTCATCAAAGAGGTAATTCACCTTTCTGGAATATATTCTCACCACACCAAGGAGGAGATGGCTGGACAGCCGAAGTGCAATAGGAACATCTGGAGAAAGGATTGAGTCTGCACATGATAACACAGTTAACTTATGTGAAGGTACAATAATATTTCCTCTGGACAAGGATAACGGAACAAAGGAAGAGGCATAGAAGTTGCATAAGTTTTCTCGAGATGATTACTCAGTCAAATTTAAGATGCAGAACACAATGAAATCATGGATCTTCCAGTAACTACAGCCCCCTGAAGATTTCAATGCTACGCGGTCTCATTTTTCCTTTAACCTTATGTAACATTTCTGCAATTGAAACATCTATACATATACTCCGAGTAATTGGTTTACAGCTATTCATATACTCTTAAGCATGATTATAGCACTTCAACAATTTGATCTATAACAATGGAATGGGATGAAAAGAAAAAGAAAAAAGAAACACGTAAGACAGCACCCGCCAACTGTTAAAACTATCATACTTTTTTTAACACTACCCATACTATATAAATCCAAACCCATGAATATCATTAGATCATGAGTAATGATTACGTGCGAAAGTTACCAATCAAACACATACAGCTCATTTACGATAGGTTCGTGAGATTACATTTGCCGCCATATCTGCCACACTAAATGCCTATGGAGAAAATCTCACCGCATAGCAAAAGCTCACACCATCCAACAAAGCAAACTAAACATTTTCTTTGCTTTCCAAGATTGTTTGAGATCCTTTCCTATTTCGAACTAGAAATGTCTATTATTAATCCATCTTCAATCAAAATAATATTACTTAGTTATGCAAGATGTTCCTTCCAACCATACAACTACCAACAATAACCATAATCTTGGAAAGATTGAAAAACATGTATCTAACGCAAGCATTCCTTACTTTCAAGTTGCATATTTAACAATATCCCTACTTTTATCAATCTAATATCCAAAAGTTACATCCACTTGACCATGAGTTCAAGATCCAAAGAATCCACTAGCAACAAACACGAAAATTATCAACTCTATATTATGCAAGAAGATAAATTGTAAACATAACAAAATCCAAGTAAACCCTTACCTACGGACACTCCAATATCAGTATCAGCAACCTGATTCTTTCGTAGCTTTCGCTCTAAATGCGCGGCTATCCAAATGGTCCCCAAAGGACCCTTTTTTGCCAATATGAACTGCGAATAGAACATATTTCCAGTTCCCCCCACTCAATTATCAATCCCAGATTAATCTATCTCTTCTCCTACAAAACAGAAACTGTGGCAATTCTTGTTATTTCTCTCAACCTACACAATTCATACATTCAAAAACCCTAGAATCTAAACCACACCCCCAAACTTACCTTAGCAAAAGCAATAAAATCTACTGCCTTTTCGCTTCAATCAGGACCCACGTGCAAAACCAAACACAAGCTCCACTTAATTCCCATCGTCGTGCAAACCCCCAAATTGCAAAACCCTAGACTTCATAAATTATTACACCGCTCCACGAAATCGACCGAGAAGCTCCCACAACCAACAAATTCCCTATAAATCCACCACCGCAGCGAATCACAAAAACGCAAAGTAAGCCCTCAAAGCTTCAATTCTAGCTGAGATCGAAGCGGACAGCAGCACTGCTCGGTAACTCTTACACCTATCTATGCATACACGTGACGTTTATCCGCATCTGGAGAGGCAGCCAACGAGGTGAGAGCGCAAATCTTGCATTCCCGTGTGCAAAGAAAAAGATTCAATTTCGATTTTTGCGAGTGCGTGAATTCGCTTGCGTTCTCTCTCTCTCTCTCTATATGTCGAGTTTATTTATGTCGTTTAAAAAGGAAAGCGCCTTTGGCTTATGAACTGGGTAAAGTCAATCGATTGCAGCAGGTGAACGGTCGAGATTTGTCGCTGGGGTATCGATTGACGGCGTGGATCGGAAGTAGAGCTGGTTTCGAACTACTTGGGGCAACCAATTCTGGTTATGGTGACTGGTCTGGTGTGGCTCTGATACAAATTTTTATTTGAAAATAAAATATAGAAACAAATAGAGGCATATGAAAATTTCGGACAAGACGGCCGTGTTTTGTCTTTGTTTGGTTGAAAAGGTTTTTTTGAGATATGTTACAGATGTTTTATAAATATTATAAAAATATATTAGCATTAAAATCCGTTTATATTTAAATTTAATTATTATATTATTTTTATTTAATTTTATAAATATTTCAAAATAAATCAAAAAATATATATGTAAAATAATTATATAATCTAATATATTTATATTTTACTATTTTAGTATGATTGTGTTTTTTTATGAATTTTTTTCTATAATTTTACTTATGTTTTTATTCTAAATATTAGAATAAAAGGCAAATAATTAATTACTACAAATATTAAAAATAAAAATAAATTATTTTTTAATTATAATTTTATTGTTAACAGTTATCGAAAAAAACTCATACAAGAAAATGATGATAGATCATATTATCTAAAAAAAATATATAAAAATATACTCCATAAAATAAAATTAAAAAAATGTAAAACTCCAATTTATATTCAATTTCATACAATTTTTATATTATAAGTGATATAATCTACATAATCTATCAAATATTATTTATAATACATAAATAAATATTTTGCATAAAATCACTTAAATATAATAATAAATTAATAAACTAATATACAATAGATATATAAATCATAATATCAAACTATCAATATTTATAACTACAAAAATCTATAATTATGAATTTCATATAATTATCTATTTTTAAATTTAAAATAAATGAAAAAAAATTAAATTATATGTATAATAAAATCATCCAACCAAATTAGCATTTATAATTGAAATTTACAATTAAAAATATCAACAATAATTATCCAAACTTTTTTTATTTGAAATTAAATTATATATAAAATTATTATAAATTTTGTGTTATTGAAAAATAATCATTTAAAAATTAACCTAAACTATTTAAAATATCCAAATATATAATTAAATATGTCAATATAAAAATAAATAAAAAATTATATAAAATTATAAATACAAATATATATCTTTTTATTTTTTTATGAAAATTATATCAAACTGATTATGAACATCAAAATTAAACTTTTTAAACAAATTTAAAATAAATATGTAAATATATATAAATAAAATAATATATTATACAATATTATAAAATAATTATAATTTTATCATATTAATATATTTTAAATTTTTTTCCTTTTTTAAAGAAAATAAATAATAATAATAATATATTTATAAAAAATATATTCACCTTATTTGATAATACCAAACAAACAAATTATAATAGAGAAAAATCGAATTCAAAGTTTCAACTCATGCTAATAACTTGGTCTATCACAAAAGAAAATTGTGTTATATTTTATAAATATAACAATGGTACAAATTACATTTAATTTAAACATGCGGGTTTAGGGTCATATTCTCTATTTGGATCATTTGATTCTTTTTCTGAATTGATTCATTTTTTAACTTGAATTTGGATGACTTCTTGGTCCGAGGAATTTGATCTTCGGTTTGACTTTGCCGGCTTTTGGAGGACTTTTGTTACCGTGTGCAAATGCCATCGTGTCATAGAACATCTCATCCATAATTGTTTTATTTTTAAGACAAAGTCATGGAGTTAGACATTTAATTTTACAATTAGTATAAAAAAATATTCATTTAAAATACAAATTAACTCACTTATTATTTATTTGTTCAGTGTTTTAATTTGAATAGTTTTATCTATGTAAAATATAAAAAGTTGTGTTCGAATGTTGACTTTTTGTGAAGAAAATAAAAAAATATATATATATTGAAAATTATGTATAAAAAAAATATTGGGCAAACAAAAATGTTAATATTTATTATTTAAAAAAAAAACTTCTAAAAAACTTCAAATTATATCTCTAGGATATGTTCGGTTTTTATTTCAAATAAAAATTATTACTATTTAATCCGTATGATTTCATTAAAATTATACTATTTATTTTTTATAAAATATCAAATTAAAATATTATTTAAATAAAAATTTTAATAAAAAAACTGCTTTAAATCGATTTTAAACTATAACCAAATGAAATCAATTTTTATTTATTATATTATATTAAGATTTAATTTTATATTAGTTGTGAATATAAATTTTTTAAATGTGATATGCCGGAGTTAAATTGATGCTATGCCAACTCCTATGTATGGATGAGTCGGGTTGGATCATTTGAAATTGAATATAAAATAAATGAATTTATTAGATTGTTTATTGTCAATTATGTGCACTTTCAAGAGTCCATTTGAAAGAACTTAAGTTTCTAACCTCAGAAAAACTTATATTAATCTGTAATATTAGTCTACGTTTCCAATACACTCGATTGCATAGCTTTTGAGCCGAGATGCTACAAATAATTACATAGGGTGTGTTTCTTTAGGGGCGTTTTGGAGAAAATTGAATTTGAGTTTGATATTTATTTGAATTTTAAGATAAGTTTGAATTTATGTGTTTCTTTTGTGTGTAGGTTTGATTTGGGTCTAAGGAGTTTTGATAGTATTGATTCGATGAATAATAAATATAAAAAATATAAATGTGTATTAAATTTAAAATTTATAAAGTAATAATAGTATGATTTGATTATGAGTTTATGTTATATCTACATATATATATTTTTAAAATTTTATTTATTTATATTATAAAAAATTTTATTTTCTACAAAATGACATATATATTGTATATATTATATTAAATAACAATTATTATAATTATCAAATTATTATTTTATTATTAGGATAATTTTATAAATATTAAAACAAAAAAATAAAATAAAAAGCTTCACATATTGCAACGGTGTCGGCTGGAGAGAGATATTGGTGATTTGACTAAATTTTTACTATGCACATTAACTACACAGTAAAACTCCCCAAATCACCTTGGGAAACATCCCCATAATGTTTTATAAATAAGTACTATTTTGTTGTTAAGCACAGTAAATTATGATGATACAGTAAAAAATACTCTTTTAAATCCTAAATCAACAGACTTTTTTGGAGTTTTGTAATAAATTAGAAATTAATAATATTTTATTAATTAGTGAGAGTGTGTAAGTATTTTTGACATTTTTGTCATTTAATTTTATGTATAAAACAATTGTATATGTAATGGTAAATTTGTAATTTAAATAAAAATTAAGGATATTTTTATATTAATATAAGATTATTTTTTCTAAAATAAAAAATTGAATATTTTAAAGTGGGATAAACTAAAGTTAATACTTTAAATTAAGCCAGAGAAAGTAGTATTTTACTTCTTTAAATTGTTGACTTTTATTATATATATATAATTATTGAATTTTATTAAATGATATTTGTTGACTACTATTTTTGGCTAAAGATGGTGAGTAATTTTTATTTGGAAAGACACAAATCAAAAAAATAATAAAAGTAATACAACACAGATAAGGCGCTGAATTTAAAAATATACTGTATCAAGGGTGTGTTTGTTTGGGAGATTGGATTTTAAATATACTATTTTTTTTTTTTTCATTTTTTATATTATATTAAAAATTAATTTTATATTCAGACATCACATCAATATCTATTTATATCACATCATACAACTGCTCAAATTCAAAATTTTTACTATTCAAATCCCAACTCAAAATCCAAAACCCCAAACAAACACACCTAAATATAAAACAACATATAATATATATATATATAATTAACAACACATTTTGTTTTTACCAGTTATACTTTGTTTATGTTATTGCAATGTGTTGATTAGGTTAATCAATATAGTGATAATTAATCTCAATCAAAATCATAACTAAGTCAATATGTATTGTACATTTATATTTGTAAAAGAAATATATAATGATGATAGTTATTATGACCAATGAGACAAATCAGCATGTGAGATGACTACTCTCAATACTTGATTGTTGCATTCTTTGGCAAAAAAAAAAAAAATGGTTATGTTTTATTAGTGTGTGTTTGAGGGATTTTGCTAAAAATTTACTGTTCATTCAAAATTCTTTATTCAAAAAATTATCTCAAACACTTATTTTTTTAAAATTTTTTATATTATTTTAAAAATTAATTTTACATTCAAAATATCACATCATTATATATTTATATCACTATCATACAATTATTCTAATTCAAAATTTTTACTATTAAAAATCTCAACTCAAAATCCAAACCTCCGAACAAACACACCCTTAATATTCATGCAAAAATGTGAGCCTAGTAATGAACAATGGTGTGCAAGAGAGAAACAAATTTTCCACAACATTACTATAAAATCTTGATCAACACAACAAACTGAAATGTCAAGCACAACCTCACTGCATTGTACATTGAAGATGAGATAGTAATAAAACACAAGTTTACGAAAAATAGTAACAAACATCATCCCATAATCTTTGGTTTATAACATATACTACACCATCTTATCAATACCAAATCGCGATACTATGCAAATTACACTAATTTGATGTTAGCATAACATTCTTGGTGCATATATAAAATGAAGTGAAATCTATCTCTTTCTCAATGGACAAATTCAAGATTAAAAAATTCAAATTAAATAGACAAATTCAAAACTATATTAAAGAGGCAATTTAAATACCATCTAAGTTGAAAACGGGCATAAAATCTTGAAAAAATAAAAATAAAACAACTCAGTTGAATCACAATTACACAATGAATTATTAAACATTAAGTCAAAGTTCTGTACTTGTGACCTTGCTGTGTAGGAGTAAACTCGTGATCGAGGCCATAAGTTCAAACTTTGACATTTACAAGTCCACGATTAACCTCGTTCCGCCTAATTTGCAATACATTAAAAAATTCACAATTTTTATATTTTCTATATAATTTTTTTAAAAATTTTCCTTTTTCAAGCCCTTTTTATATCTAATTATCCGCTTCCTACAGTATCGCATCATATATTTGGGGTTATTCCCAAGCCCAGCCCAAACACAAATCCAATGCAAAGCGAAAGGGTTCTATAATTTCCCGTGCATTTGAATGCTACTGTATATCGGACCTCGATTTCCTGCACCAACCAATTCATCGCCCAAAAACCTTGAATCCTGACTTAGGTGAATCGGCTGGCTAGGGCTGGAATGTTGGCATTTTTGGAGTGATGGTGTTTGATAAGTTCGTTCGTATATTTTTGATTGATCTAGCTGATCTTGGTTCTTTGTAATCGATTATCTTGTTTCTTCTAGGGATTTGGTGGTGGACCATTTGTATTTGAGTGATGACTGTGTTGGTTTTGTCTTGTTAAGGTCTTGCGAAGGGATATTCCATGGGAGACTTATATGACAGCTAAGCTGATAACGGGGACGGGGCTTCAGCTGCTGCGACGCTACGATAAGAAACCAGAAAATTATAAGGCTCAGTTACTGGATGATGTATGTCCTCTTTAGTTGCTTACAAAAAACTTGTTGCAGGATGGTCCTGCTTACATTCGTGTTTTTGTTAGCATCCTGCGTGACATATTGAAAGAAGAAACTGTGGAGTATGTTTTAGCCCTGATTGATGAGATGCTCTCAGGTAAGAGCAACACGTAACCCCTTTACCTAATTTCCTGTTATTTCAAGCGGCTAATATCAGTACTTTCTTACCACTTCTCAATGGCAGCAAACTCTAAAAGAGCTAGACTCTTTCATGATAAGAGTCTTGCTGATGATGACATATACGAACCTTTCCTGAGGCAAAAATCTCTGTTCACTATTGTTGCATGTTATCTATTGCTGTTCATATAGGATTTTGAGATATGGTCACGTTTGTTTTCTGGTGTTTGTATTATCATAAAATAGCGCTATGTTCGACCCAACAATGATTGAAGATAGAAAACAAATAAATATTGTAAATATCTTCAAATTTTTACAGCATTTATGTACTTGGCCTGCATTTTGATATCTGGATGTTATTTTCTTACGCTCAAGTTTGGCGCGTCTTTTTTCTGCTGTAACATACATGTTTGCCATTTTTGTGTCATGTAATAACGGCTGAGTGGTAATCCTTCTTTCTTTTGCAGGTTGCTCTTTTAAGGTAATTGGTTTATACAAGAGAAGAGCTGTAAGATACTTTCTTTGATTGTGAGGTATGTGCTCTATCCATATCTTGTTAATAATACTTGGTTTTAGATATATGGCTTAGAACACCATTCGTGTCTCTGTTAATCTCCAGTGGAAGACCTAAAGCTCAGGATGGTGCCATTGCTAATGGCGTATCAGGTTCAAAGAAGAAGATCACTTCTATAGATGATGTTCTGAAGGGACTGGTTGATTGGTTGTGTTCACAGGTTTGTTTTTCTGCTCTGAAATGCATCAGTTTTGTTCAAGGAGATCATAATGGGCATATTATGTTCTTATTCCAAAGTTCGAGGGAGGTTAGTATATGATCTTATTTTGTTTTATGGTATCACTGCTACTACAACTGAGGCCTTAAAGCTTAAACTATTCATTTGTCTTAATATAACATTGAATTTCTTAGAAAGAAATCAAGGATACATGTTCTCTAGGGCCTTATATTATTAGATCTTGGTTAACAGTTAATGTCACCTTTCTAGTTGATCATCCTGGTAAGACACAAAAAATTGTGTCCGAATAACTCATGTGCATGGGATACACTCCAAATAAAAATGTAATCATAATACACTCCAATCAAAATATCACCACCGCTCTCTTACATGCAATTTTGTAACATGGTGTTAATGCAATGCAAGAGAAATAAATTATGTGAACTCATTTGATTCCTGTTTTTCCTACTATATAGTTATTGTTACACAAGTTTTTGTAGTTAGGGTATAGATGTTGAGTTTAGCAGTTACAATAAGCATCCATGTGAAGACTAAGCTACACCGAGTCCAAGACAACAACCCTTCAGCAAGAAAATATAATAATAATAATAATAATAATAATAAAAGATACAAATTCTCCATGTGTAAAGGCATGGACTGTTGATCTTGACATTCTAGCCATTTTATCAGTTCTGTCTGGCTATTGATATGGTTGCAGGTAATTCTTAAAGTTAGTAGTATCCTCTTGGGATTATATGATTCATCTCACATCCTATGTTGTTAATTTCACAAATGAATTTGACACATGATTAACTTATTCTTAACAAGGAAATACTTTTAGAAATTCACGTGGCAGTGTATCAGACAAGAAAGGCTTAGACCTATGCTTGTTTTTCTATGCAGCTGAAGAAGCCATCTCATCCTAGCTGTGGCATTCCTACAGCTATTAATAGCCTGGCAACTTTACTGAAGGTGCTCATGGTGAGATCTTCATTTGTTCAAGCAGATGGAGTGAAGTTGCTTATTCCTTTGATTTCTCCGGCATCCACCCAACAGTCCATCCAGGTAATGTTAAGTGTGTAAATGAGTGTTGATGTGATGTTTCAAATGTAATTTTTTTTAGTATAATATAAAAAATAAAAAATACACGTTTGATTTGATGTTTTTGGAGGAAATGTTTTTATGAATAGTAGAAATTTGAAGAAAATTGAAACGCTTACTTCCAAAATGATGATTTTTGTTTCACGATGAAATGAAAGTTATCCACCTAACGATATTCTGGTTCAGAAAGAAGAATAATAATAATTTTATTCCCTAATCTCAGTGTGCATAAGTGTAAAAAGACAGCAGTTTTCCTTACAGATTGTATGTGTATTGGATATATGTCAATTTGATATGTCCTATTTCATGTGATTGAACTATTGTAATAAAAAATTGTTCTATTATTAGTGAAATGTTTGACATCGACAACATAAAGGACAATTGTTGTTTAAAATTGCATACATGATAACTTCCCGAAGTAAAAATAGAAATTTGATACGTCCAACTGGTGGAAGAGATCCGAGTAGTTCCTACCATTCATTTACATTCAAGAATTCTTTTAGTATGATTGTGTTCCATTCCATTCTGCATGTGAAGTCGGCGTTTGCTCTTTATTGGAGTAATCTCTTCCTCCCGTTGCTTTATAACAGCTTCTGTATGAAACCTGCCTTTGTGTGTGGCTCCTCTCCTATTATGAGCCTGCAGTTGAGTACTTGGCTACTTCTAGGTGCTTGCCATTGATTGAAGTGGTTAAAAGTTTAAGGAAAAAATAAGTTATATAATTGTTAGGGTATACATGTTGCTAAGCTTCAGCTGGGTGCCAAGCAATCTCTATACCCTTTTGCATAGGTTGTTAGGGTGGTCGTCTTGACTCTGAGGAATTTGCAACACAAAGGGACATTTGGTGCTCAGATGGTGGACCTGGGATTGCCGGCCGCAGATTGTTCAGAACTTAAAAGCTCAGGCATGGAGTGATGAGGTGAGTATCTTTCTAGGTTTTTACGAACTCCCTATTGGTTATTTATCCTTTTGAACAGCAGCTATAAACAAGACATCTAAATATATCTTGAATGTTGATGCTACTCTCATACAAATACAGGCAAAAATGCAGCCAATGCTGTATTTTTTTGTGAAATTATCTTTTGAGCATCAAAGTAACATTTAAATGAAGGGTCGTGTTGTAATAAGCAATATCTGGTGTACTCGTCATTTGTAGCAAGAATAAGACACAGCTGATTTGCATAGTCTACTGTATACTCAGCTTTTGTGAGGTTTTATATTGCACTCATGAAACTATTTCCTAAATAGCTTTCTATATATAAATGTTTAAACTATGCATTTTCTTCTGCAGGATCTACTGGAAGCTTTGAATCAGCTGGAAGAAGGCCTAAAAGACAACATTGCGAAGCTTAGTTCTTTTGATAACTATAAACAGGAAGTTCTGCTCGGACATCTTGATTGGTCGCCAATGCACAAAGATCCCATATTCTGGAGAGAGAACATCACAAGCTTCGAGGAACATGATTTTCAGGTGCGATTCCCTGTTATTTAATGATCATCAAGTAATGCATTCACCATGAATTGTGTCAACATACTGCTTATCCACCCACCTTATTGTGCTCTTATTCATTCTCTTTTACCAAGACAAAATCTTAAAACTGATGATCGGATATGATATAATTGCCCTCATCGATGTACATATAATTTATTATGTGCAGATCCTAAGGGTTCTACTCACAATTTTGGACACTTCCACTGATCCCAGAACACTTGCGGTTGCTTGTTATTATCTCTCACAATTTATTCAGTATCATCCTGCTGGACATGTCATTGTGACCGACCTTAAAGCTAAGGACCGAGTTATGAAACTAATGAACCACGAGCATGCTGAGGTCACTAAAAATGCCTTGCTCTGTATCCAAAGGCTGTTTCTAGGTGCCAAATATGCAAGCTTTTTGCAGGCTTGAATGTTCATACAGTAATGTAATTATCAACTCTACAGATTGATTACAAGGTACTCTTGCTTTGCTTAAGCAGTCATGTTAATTATGTTGTATAAGAAAAAACTACTAAATTCAATAAGTTGACAGTGGTTGTTATCAGCTGTCACTCTGTAATCAATAATGAATTTCTATCTTTTCTCTAATTTATATCTATATTGCCATCTTATGTAGATAAAGTTAAATCCCTTTGTCCCGTAAGGGATGACCAGGTGGTATAGGGGTTAGACTTGTGACCGTGAGATCATGGGTTCAAATTCCCGATACCTCATGTCACCTGCCACATATGGTTCACCTAGTGTGATTTTTCTGTTGAGCCTAATTTGCAGGATATTAGGTTCGGTCGGGGGTTTACCTAGTGCGCACTTTCGGGTATTTACTACGGGTTTTCACGTCATAAAAAAAAAAAGAAAAATTTAAATCCCCTTCAAATTTTCTTGATCTACTAATGTCTTTTATTGCAATTTTCACATGTCTGAGTGAGGTAAAAATGGCAATATATTTCCTTCTAATATAGCTGCAAAATGGGAATGAATAAATAACAAATTTCAAATTGGTTGAATTCTACATGTAGTTGAAGTTGTGTGCAAATTGCAGGTCACAGGCACTCTTTTTATTGTAGCAGGGATCAAGAAAAATAATTACCATAAAAAAAATTGGGGTTACCATGTGAATGAGGGAAGTACATATGTTGGATGAGCCTCATACTTTGTAGCAAGGGATTGAACCGACGACAATGCTGCAATTTCACCAACTTTAGAAAGACTGAGTTCATCGGCATGGATCCCACAAGTGATGAAAGCTGAGGATATCCCGGCTTCATTTGCACCTTTTATGTCGTGGTGGAGAGAGTCTCCAACAGCAATACAGTCCGATGCATCGGCGCCAGCCATGGCCATGGCTGATTTATATATGATCTATGTGCAATTGATAGGGTTGATAAGTGGGCATTATATAAGCCTGCTTAGAAGCTCTCTAGCAAATAAATCAACAATATTTCCAGAAACATTCATTGGTCTATTAGAACTTTTTGGCCTAATATAGTCATACACTAAATACTGGCTACTTAATCAAACAAGGATAAAAAGGCAAAAATTGCAACAAGTTCAAGAGTTTATGTGTGGTGAAAGAATCGGAAAGACATATACTAAAGCATTTGAGAGAAATTGCTAGATCAGTGCTATTTATGAAAAGGACCCTAGAAGCAGAGCAGCTGTAAATTAGAGTGGCAAGTATCAAATCAATCCTTGGAGACCTTCAAGGGTATTTTCCCTTTCATTATTTCCAAGTTCATAGGCATTGAGTGGTAGAATCCTTGATCATTATTCACGCTCTTCAAGCCATTATAAAGCACTAAGGTCATCTTAATCCATCAACTTCATTTATCCAGTTTTAATTCTAAATATGTAGTTGCTACAGTAATTTTACTCAAACCATAACTCTATTTTTCACTATTATTCTTCAACTATTCCTATTATTTTAAACAACTTTTTATTTTTATAAATTTAAATAATATTTTTAAAAAATAAAAATTTAAAATTTTTTTAATAAAAAAAATTAGAAAGCAACGCCAGAAAATGGCGCACAACCAACGCCAAATCAACCAACCCAGCGCCATTTTAATGGCATTCGGTTGGAGATGCCCTAAGTCACCAAAAAGATCCTCTCCCAAAAGTAGTGGTGGAATGCGATTCAAAAGATGCTTTTGCACGGATTTAAAATTTAAATTCTAACTAGACGCACAAATTCCGTGGTAGATCACTTCACTAAGAGTGGCACTAGAGGAAATACTGATTTAACTATTTAGTTATAGCTTCTGCCTATTCCGATTCTCTTGTATTGTTATTGTGCTCTTCTTTTTCTTTTTTTTTTATTTATTTATTTTTATTTATATGAAGTGGAAACCCGCAGCCGCTATATGAAATTGCGAATTGGGTAAATCCCCGACCGAACCTAATACCCTGCAAACTAGGCTTGACAAGCACACTAGGCGAACCATATGTGGCAAGGGAGGAGTCGGGGTTTAAACCCATGACTTCACGATCACAAATCCAACACCCACACCACCAGGCCATCCCTTAGGTGACCCGAGACGTCGGGGTTTGTTACTATGCTATTTTCATTATCAATAAAGTTGCTTTACTCTTAGGAATAAATAAATAAATAAATAACCAGGAATATCAAAGATTCATATAACAGTAACATTACCTCACCAGGCTTGCCCATCCACTTCACTTCCCCTCCAAGCTTTTCATATGTAGCTGCCAAAGTTCCTGTTAAAATAAATATAATTTCAAAAAAATTCCAGCAATAAATGCAAAGAAGATGGTCCTCTACAAAGATGCTCAATCCATCATCATTTTCAGACAAGTAATACTTCAGACAATAAATATTACCAGGCATAACCCGGAGAGCTCTAGCCTCAACAGTGACAAAATCTGGATTAGCTACTACCATAGGAATCTTTTTAGCAGAGCATTTCTTCAATATTTCATTGAGCTCCTCAAGTTTCATGGGAAGTGCATCTCCAGAAGGCATCCCCAAAGCTTCAGTACCATGAGCTAATATAAACTCAGCTTCTTCGACATTATCTACTACATGAAGCCCTAAACCCTAAATAGAAAGCATTCACTGCCAAATATCATCAGAGAACATTTGGATAATTCAGATATGATTAAGGTGTTTCTTCTGATATTGTCACCGCTGATAAGGTATTGGAATGAGAAAAGTTGTTATATTGATAGATCACTCACGTTCCTAAGAAATATTGTGCTCAAACATTCTTTTAGCCCTATGACATATGTTTGATTGATATCAAGTGCATTTTAAACCTTCAAACCACTAATCAATAGGAACCAAAAGATTTAGGAGGGGTTTAGCTCCTTAGACAAGACCCTGTTAGTAAGCGGCATTTGAACCAGACAAGCATAGATTGTGTAGTTTGAGTATTCCATTTTTAATTTGGAAGAAGAAAGTTGAAGTTATGCTTGACCCAAAAAATGAGCGCCAGAACACTGCATTGAAACTAATATAACTTTAGCATACCTCAAGTGATATTGCACCCCGATCACTCCATGTCATGTGAATGCAGGTTCTTCCCAGTCCAGCAAACCATGGATCATCTCTCCTGTTCTTGGATCATATTCCCACAGTTAGAGATAGTAATGCAATAATAAAACTCCATGCCTAGTATCACTCTGAGCTTATCCTGTACACAAATTTTCTGACCTAAATTAAAGATTTGCAAAGCTGCCTAATTACATAGCTAAAACTGATAAAGAAACTTTAAGGGCATGTTTGGATTAGGTTGGGGGTTGAGAATAGTAAAAAATTGAATTAGAATAGGTGCTTGATGTGATGTTTGAATGAAAATAATTAATATTTGATGTAATATAATTTATTTATTTTTTTATTTGATGTTTTGAGCGGGAAAAATGTGATGAATAGTGGGAGTCCTGCCCCAGCCCTACATCCACACACACCCTAAATTACAGGGAATTTTTATGAAAAATTAAATATTTTCCATTCAAAAACATTAAAGATGTGAAACAATTTCACTTGAATGTTAAACTTCTAGCGTATTATTATTTACACTTATACTCTAGCATAAAATTATTACATTTCAAGGAATCCCACTCTTACAGAAAAATGAAGTGGTGCTATTATTATACATGTTCTTTAAAGGATTGGATAAGAAAAACACATTCGATCAAAAGCCTCTGTGTCTTGACCAATTTAACTAGCATAAACGAGCATTGCTTATCCTTCATCATCATAATTGAATTGTGGTAAAGCGAAAATTCTTGAGAGAAATTCAATGAGGAAGGTGATGTATGCTGGTATTTAAGATATTCGATTGCATGAGATGGCTAACAACTGTGGTCATAAATCAGGAGAGGAATATAATTACACCAACCTCATCATTTTGCTTGAAATCAGTGAATGACAGCCTTAAAAGTTTAAACTACTAGATATTTGGATCATTGTGATGTTTAATATCTATATGTAGTTGTTTTTCAATGTTCCACCATACTCCTATTAATAATTCTTTCAACCAAGTTTTTTAGCACATTTTCTAACCCATTTATATTTGTTTGTGAAGTTTTGGACACATTTTGTAGCTCTGAAAGATGGGAAGTAGTTGACGTTCGTCTTGCGTAAGATTTTTAGTAAACAGATTTTCGGCTAGTTTTGGTTGCTCCAACAGATTTCTACAGAAAAGTATTCTTGCAAATGGATAGAAAGCAAGTTAAAGCGTATTCTTAAAAAAAAAACTAAAATGAAAATCAAATTAAAAAAAATGTAATACTACTGGTGAAGGATCAAACCTCATAAGGTAATGGTGTGTTAACTCTCCACTGGTGATTGCTCCCAAAAAGAGTGAAGGATTAAACCCAAGGCTGCTCAACTTTTCAATAGTTGTGTCTGCACGCCTTGAGGAATTACTTATGATCACCATCTTTGCACCAGAGTTTGCTAACTTTTCTACTGAGACGCAGAGTGCATAAAAATATCAACCAAAGGGCAAAATATTAGTCTTTGATATTCATCGATGAGAAAAAATGAAATCAATCTTACCATAATGTCAAAGCTTAAATTTGAAGACATACATGCAGTTATGGCACCAGGGTATGGCTGCTTTCCATCATGTAGGACTCCAAACTGATCCAAGAACCATGCCTGTCACCATATGAAGATAAACATATCATATTGAAGATTATTTAATAGTGAGATGAACATGCACTAATACTGCTGATTATATATGGTGGCAAGCAAAATCCATTCACTTGAAAATAAAACCATCTTAAGATTGTCATATCCAGAATTGCATAATTTTTTTGCTTCGACAAGTTTAAGGGATTATTTTATCAATAACATGAAAAATCTCATAAACTACAATAGTTAGGATTCAAATGTGTGAAACTGCAAAAGCTATCGTATCTACTTTGGGTGCTGGCAATTGGCATTCTCTCAATCAACTATCAAATTAAGTTATGTACGCTAGGGTTCCACCAGAGTTTTATTGTGAGCAGAATTATTAAATTGACGAATCTTACAATCTTCTTCTTCAAGACATTTACCGCGAGCTTGCATATGGCGAACAATCTGCCCAATTGTGCGACGCATATAAACATGATATAGACGAACTAATCAACTGACCAATAGGACTATTCATACCGAAATGAGCGCTGCGGACATTCAAACTGAATAACAGAACTTTCGAATGAGTAGAAATGAAGCATTACCTTATAGCGACGAGGTTCAGCGAGGCTTTGCAGTCCGGTGAGGATCTGAAACCGCTTCAAATCGGTTGGAATCGAGGAGCAGCATCTTCCCATCATGTTTACCTGCCCTTTGTTCAGCGTGGGATGGGCATTGTATTTTTATTTTTATGCATAGGCTTGTATTTTTTTCGGAAACTATGGGGAAAATGAAGCAGGGCTGTTTGCTGTGGTTTTCAATCCAAGGGGTGTGTTTATTTTAGGTTTAACATTTTATTTTACTATTTCAATTTTTTATTTTTTTTCACCAAAAATATTAAATCAAATACTCAATTTTTATTTATTTTATTACACTAAAATTTAATTTTACATTCAAAACATCACATCAGCACATATCACATCAAACAACTATTTCAATTCAAAATTTTATTATTCAAAATCAAAACCCAAAACTAAAATCACAAGTAAACACACCTAATAATTATTAATTAATTTGTTAATAAAAAAATATTTGGTGTATTTTTTTTATAAAATATTTTTGATATGTTTTTGAAATAATATTAAAAAATAATATATATATATATATGTATATAATACTATAATGAAAGTAAATTAGACTATTTGAATTTAGTTTTAAAATATTGAATGAGAATATTGTGTATTTTTAACACAAAATTTCAATAGTAGAAATTTTAGGTTTCAATTGTAAATAAATACATATTTATTTTTATTTTTTAAATTATATTAAAAATAGATTATGAATGTATTCTTTGAACACATTTTTGGCGCAAAAAGCTTCCCAATTAATATTAAAGAAAATAAAATCTGTGTATATTTTGTATTTTTAGTTTTAAGTGTTTAAAAATGTTTCTATTATCTTTTTTCAATTTCAAATGTTTTATGTGTGTTTATTTTGTAATTTTAATTTAGAATTTTTTTTTTCCATATTTGAAATAGAGAAACATGTTTATTTTTATTTTTAAATGTATAAAATATATTATATATTTTAGTGTTATTGTTTTTAACATTAAAAATATTCTTATATATAATTTTTTTTATACAAATTTCATGACAGATACAAAACGGTGGAGACATTATTGTGGAGACAGAATAGTAAGAAAAGTCTAACTTCCATATAAATATACCTTCCATTTCCCTATTATTTATCATATTTTTATTTAAAATATATCATACAAAATAACAATTTTTAAAAAATATATATATATAATATTATTATTCAAATACCACATAAAAATTCATTTCATATACAAATTTCTATTATTTCTATGTACAAAAACTCCCAAAAAACATATACCAAACAAAAATTTAAATATTTATCATCATAATTATTTTTTCATTTCACAAAATATCACATTAAAGTTACTGTTCAAACTTAAAATAAAATAAATAAATAAATTCCAAAAAAACACACCTGCTTTTCTCCTTTGGGACCAATAATTGAAGAATTATATGACTAAACGATACTAGTTAAAGATACACACAATACTCGGCCACAACCAACTGTAGTATCATGTATGTATGTATGTGTTCTCTCAACAAAATAACTCAGTCCAGTGTAGTATCAATAATGTTGGTAGGCCAAGAGTGCCACAGATATAAATTTTGAATAAAATGCACAATCGCACCGGATTCAAAGTAGTCGAATACATCAGCAGCAGCTACGGGCATTGTTGGCCAGCAATCAATCATCAATAACCATAAATGGAAATCCCCTGGGAACAACACAATATTGTAAGACCGACAGAAATTCATTCGACTAGTAAATGTGTCTTTTGTGTCTTGGGTTCGAGAACATGTAAGAAACACATTCAATTACTTATTTTTCTTCAAAAGGATTGACAAATTAGAGAAAGCCTATTAACCGTAGGAAAAAGTGGCAAACAAGGAAATAGAATAAGGGCATTCAAAGTTTCATAGCAGAATTAATGGATGTGCCAATTCTTGATCCTTACTTAAATCGTTTGGACTACATGGCATGCTTAATTGAATAATATTTTGATTAACAAAATTTATCCTAGTTAGTAGGATTAGATAATTTATCACATTATTTAATCAATCATACTGCATCCTAATTCCTCATGGTAAGCATTCTTCAAAGATAGTGATGGAAGTTACATATAGCTCTGTTTATTTGTTGGATGTTATCCCGATTTTACTATTCCAACTTTTATTATACTAAAATCTAATTATATATTCAAAACATCACATCAATACATATTTATATCACATTATACAATTACTTCAATTCAAAATTTTAGTATTCAAAACCAAAACAAAAAACCATAAGCTTACAAGTAAACACACTCTGCATTCCTAGCAAGCATTTGAAAGCACTTGGCACGATTAAAATTATAAAAGTGATCTACCTTCCATTATTGTTTTAGTTTGAATTTTCATGAAGCACATATATTTCATGTTTAGGGCAACTGACGGATATTTTTCAAGATAAGATTATCATCTCACCAGCCCCCATGTCTGGAGAAGTAGTCATTATCAAGTGAAATAGCGAGTGCAACAGCAACTGCTCTTTCGGACAGAGTAAGCGACCTTGTTACCTCTAACTCTTGAACCTGCAAAACACAGAAGCAGCATTTAGGTACTCAGATAACTGAAATAAGAAATTTTGGGTTATTTATGCAGTGTCTTTACCCCAGGAGCAGGCCCGACACCAGAATCTGCACTCCCAAAACGAATCACATACTGACCAGCATCAGTGAAAATCTGCATTATCAAATTAGAAACCATGAATTGACTGCATTCTACTTCTTCGAAGGTAAAATGTACTATTTTGTGTGATCATTTTTTTTATAACACCAATGTATTCACTAAATCAGCTTGTTACAGATTCTTTCATTCTCCAAATACTGATAGTACTGAGACAAATTTAGGGTGTGTTTGTTTGGGGGATTTTCCCTAAATTTTACTATTTATTCGATTTTTTCCCCCCAAAATATCAAATCAAAACACCTATTTTTTATTTTTTATATTATACTAAAAATCAATTATACATTCAAAACATCACATCAACACCTATTTATATCACATTATATAACTATTCACATTCAAAATTTTTATTATTCAAATCTCAATCCAAAATTCAAACCCCCAAACAAACACACCCTTAATGATTAATTCAACCTTTTTCATCTATAGGGGCAAAACCATAAAATAGAACTTCACATCTATTGAGAAATAGCTGCAGCATGTATGGGTATATTGATTGCATCAACTCAATTGTTGAAACTAATTAGTAAAATCCATAACCTCAAATCCAAAGCCCCTCCAGTCACGATCTATTTCAGCCAATACATTTCCATCAATGTCCTTCAAAGTAAAGGTCCAGTTCCAAAGGCCAGGGTTCTCAACAACAGCAAATTGTTTGTTCCTAGAAAAAGGAGACCATATTTCAGACATACCCCTGCTTTAAGTTAATAAAAACTTGAAAAAGATGAACTGAATTGTTGTAGAGACTAGGATAATGTCTACTCCAACTGTCCAAACCAATAACACAATTTTACTCTATTTGGCATAATTGGGTAAAGAGAAAGAAATGTTATACCCTCAGCCTGTCAGCATTCAAAAAAGTAAAGAATAAAGTATCATTTAATGTCAAGTTTAACAAAAATTACACTATTCAAGAATTCTTAATCCAATTGCAATTTTACACCCCAATGTCATGATTCAAGAAAACAATTGATCATCATGGATTATTACATTACCCCAAGTAGAGATCATAAATTCTCCTCCAGAGATGCCATCTTCTATGGACAACACCAACTTCCTGACAGAAAAGAAAAAAAAAAAAACAAAAAAAACCACAACAACAACAACAACGACAAGAAGTCCATAAGATCTCTACTTCTAAAGATGCAGAATTTTGTTTGCATACTACACCATACAAAGATAATAAAACCTACTTTTCCATTTATTTCAGCATAGATTGAACTAGTGATCCACCAAAAGGGTCTTCTCACCTTGGAAGCACCATTACAAAATTAAATCAGCGGCAGCAAGATCACACACCCAAAAGAAGCCTGCAATTATTGGTGAGTATAAACAGATCGGTGTTAAAAGTTCTTACCCTGAAAAGTTCACTACCTAAACCATCAGTTATGTATGCAGTGAAAGGGCGTCTTAGCCGAAGCAACTGCAGAAAAAGTGAAAGTATTCAATCTTACCCACCAAACAATATATCCATGCAAAAGCAGTAAGAAATAAAGCAAACACATTTGGGGCAATGAGAAATATAAATGCTCCGTCTATCATACATCAAGTTGCCCAAACAGGCAGGACCAGCCCAGGTACAATCCAGTCCATGCCAGGCCTTGATAAAATAGATAGTCCCGGGCCAGGCCAAAATATGTATAAGTTAGTGCAGCTCGGCATGGCCTATCAACCAGATTACCACTGGCCGGACTATAATTTTGTATGAAAGAATAAATAATATAAAATATAATATAGAAATGGGTTGGACTGGTTTCGGGTGAAACAATCTGGGGCTAGATTTTAATGCATGAACCTAAATGGAGCTGATATTAAGGCCCAAAATCAAGCCCATGCTCGGGTTTATTATACCAGGCCCCATCATAGCCCAGGTTAAAGTGGGTTGGACTGGTCCGACCCACTGTACAACTTGAATCATACATAAATCCAGATGGATTGAAAATGAGCAGAAGTGGAATTGTGCAACTGTTAGTTGAGTAACTAAGATTTGGTAGAAGTTCATAAATACTTGAAACTAAATTTATCAAATGCCTATAGATAGGAAAAAAAATAATTCCACTGTATAATCCCCCCAATTAAAATAAAGTAAAAAAAATCTTTCTTTCACACCAGCTATAATCCTATAGCATTCAGTTATGCAACAAGATCCAAATTGGATACTGAGAATTTTTCATATACCCATGGAACCTTGAATTCCACAAAATCAGATTTGAAAGGAGTAAGGGTGTAAAAACAATCAATAAATTATGACAAAAATATATCAGTTGGTGTGCAATCATGATATTGAAAGAGTTTCAACAAATGGGGATGAACTCATGAAAGCAGGATAACGGATTTTATTCGAAAGTGGTGGAGGGATCTCCAGGGATGAGTGGCGGCATTCAATGATCAACAATTATAATAAGGGCCGTAGATCCAGCCAAAAGCATTTTGTGAGACACACAATAAGAATGCATGTTTCACCTATTTTTTTTATCTTTTTCCTTGGCTTCTGCCCCTACGTAGTTCTCCATCTTTTTAATAAATTTTCTCCTCTCCAAAAAGACAAAAAGAAAAACTAAGGATTTGTCTGCCATTTATTTTTTTTTTATTTTTTTTTATCAATATATATTTTATCTTCTCACAAAAGTCAATATTCAACATAAAATATTATATTTTATACGACACAATTCCCTATACCTCACATAAATAAAAAAAATTCAAATCAAAACACTAAACAAACAAACCTAACTAAAAAAAAAAAAAAGCCAAATGCAGTTGAGCATACTATAATGACCCTAAAATAATAATTGCGTTAACACAAATTCTCTATGACGTTTGATTGATGCCTGAACCCAATGACAAATGTAATATAATTTTTTTAAGGGTTATTTATATGATGCTTGATCAATCAGGTCACATAAGAGCCTAGAATCAAAACTTTCAAACGTTCAAAAGGTCACGCATGGACCAAACAACTAGATCTGAGGGGGAATTCATGTCTATTTGATGTAAACCCAATATCAAATTGATACCCAATCGGGTCACCATACATTAAAAAAAAAAAAAAAAAGTCAAGGGAAAAGGGGTAAATCACATCTTGTCTAGAAAGAACCAAAGCTCCGCCGAATCAAACTTATACCCGACCAAGTAACAGATATAACTAATGAAAAGAGACTAGAATATGGACAGGAAGCAGTTCCTAATTACCTGCCCACCACTCAACGGATTTGTTCAAGTAATTCTAGGCAGATATCCATTCCTTTAAATAATAAGTTTTAGATAGGAGTGTAGGACTAGACCTTCAATCAACCACACAAATCATATCATTTGATCAATACCTGTAACTTTTTATTTCATTTAATAAATACAAAATCAATGTTAGGTTTGTTCGCTTTGTGAGTTGTGTGTTTTGGCTTCTGAGAGAAATAGTTGTGGGATGTGAGGTTGTAAAGAGAAAAAAAAAAAAAAAAAAAAAAAAAAGAAGAAGAAGAGATTTCCTTAACTTTATTTTACAAGTTAGTACACTAGTTCAAATTTTACTATTTAATTTTATTCTTTTTCTGGAGTAACAAATAGCATTAAGAAAAGATCCAGCATTATTAGCCGCATGAAAATTAGAAGTAAGATTTATAAATATGATTGAAATGCTGCTGTATATACCTGTCTCATGATCACATTACTCTGTTCACGAATGAACCCTACAGGCTGCATAAATAATATTAAGATTATTCATGGCTGTGAGAAGTACGAGTCAAAGGCAAGTGTTCAATAAAGAGATTGTACAATAGTAGGTTCTATACGCAAGAAGAAGAATCACGTACTGCATGTGGGTAGCAGACATCAACAATGGCATAGCGATTTTCCTGCAGCACAGATGTATAAAGTTCATCTCATCACAAAAAGATACACTGAACAATGAATTTGTGATGAAAACTTATATATATATATATGTGTGTGTGTGTGTGTGTGTGTGTGTGTGTCTGTACATATATGATGAGAACTGATCAAACAATTATTATTAGCATTGAAACGACCGTTAAGATATTTTGAAACATCTACAAGTTGCAACAAAAATTTTGGAAAATTGCGAACCCTCTACCTCTGACACTCATCATTGTGTAATTTATAAAGTAGTTTCTGAGAAATACAAATTAATATCATGCATAAGTTAACTTACCAAAATTTCAAAACAGGATATCAAACATATGTTTACAAAAATCAAAGAGTGTTCCATCCTAGTTGTAGCTTGTTTACTACGTTCTTTGACTGAGATATCAATCTTTCCACAAACGCTAATTATATGTGGTGATGGATAGAACAACAGTTTTTATCATCCAATATCATATAGATAATATCTCAACAAAAGAATTGTGAAAGTAAAGCTTCTCACAGGTTTTGGGTGTTCAGTAAAGGAGAAGCATAGTTATTGAAACTGATTTGCTATTGATTTATAAGCATGGAACTTACCTGCTCAAAACCAAGAACCAAGTTGGCCCACTCTATATCCCTTGTTATCAGCAAATTGGATCTTGCAAGAAGGGGTGCAACCACGGACTGGAAGAAGTTTCAATCAAGCACAACCAATTTTACTTAAAAAGAACTACAAAACACAATTAAGAGTTTTAGAGTAAAGCTTAAAACACAAATCAATTTTTCTCGCAGATTGATATTTTTCCTACAATTGGACTATATGCATTTGATCTTTCACAATATAGATTGTTTAGGACTAGGAAACACTTCTTGATAAGTGTCAAACTGAACTTATTTATTTAAGAAAAACTATTTTTAAAATTACAATACCAAAACAATATAAATTGATAGGATAATAAATGCATAAAAACTAAAAGGACAGTCATCATATCAGTCCTGGACTGGTTATGTAAAGCATAAACTACCTCATGGTTGTTTACATTTAAGAATATTTTTAACAAAGTTGTTTTTAATATGTAGAAATTTAAGAAGAGATTTTATTTTAACTTGAAAAATAAAAGAGAGAATTCATATATAAATCTATATATATAAATATAAAATAGAGTCTATCTAAATCTAATAATCCTAATTATAGCAAGATACGAATCTATTGAGATTATATTTAATCTAACAAATTCCATATTGCTGGAGCAGAGGAAAACCACACTAAGAACTATTATTGCTCCCAGCTCTTTTATTTCTATGAAAAGAACTGGAAATCTTGGGGTCTACTACTGTTAATTTATTAAGTCACTACTTCACTATGATGAATCAGATAATTTTATTCTACGTTGTGTGAGTGGAGAAAAAGCGCACTAAGAGCTAGTATTGCCTGTAAACTTATTTCTGTATAACTGTTTATAAACATGTCTTGCTACACAATTTATTGCTAGTACAACCAAAATGTTCCTTCCAAAAGTTTTCGGGCCACCCTCACTAACAAAAGCAAATGCCATCCCTCATAAGTTAATTACTTCCACTTTCTATTAGAGTACATGAACTGATTCAACCTGCATCATAGTAATGATGACATCCCCATGGAATTAATGTAACCAGCTTAAGGAAAATAGCATACATCATTAAATTTGAAAATTAATACTATCATGTATACCACAGAAGAAAGGTAATCTCACCTCCTCCGAAGAAACTGGTTGCAATAGACCTGTGACAGATTGACTAGTAGGTGGTTGCTTCAAGTCTGACTTCACCTTTCTATGAGACATCTTATTGACAACGGAAGCACGTGAAAATGGCATTCCGAAAGATTCAAATAATGTTTTGGCATCAACATTTGCTTCATGAGTACCCTGGAAGTTAAGAAGTTTATGATTTTCTTTACTAGAAACCTTTCTTTTCTTTCTATCTGCAGTCCAAAGCCGTACAAAAAAATCTCTTGTCATGAAATCCTGAGGCAGCGTAGACATTGGCAATGAGTTATTTTCAGAAGGGTCTCCTGCTGGTTGACTTGAATTCAAGAAACATTTTTGGATGTACAAAATCTGATTCTGATCCCTATCCACTGTCATACAATGTCTTGGTATTCTCCATCTTGATTGCCTTGTAATACAGCTCCACCCCCTCATCCAGTTCATCTAACCAAAGTGTACAAGTTAAAAACAGGTATAATCAAATAATCAGGCAACTCCAACGCATACAAGTAAAACTTTATCCCCCTGCTACAGAAGTTGATATATGCAAGCATGTATATGCATTTTCCATTTGTAAAAAATCCTGTTCTTTTCACTAATGTTATCCACACCAATATAGTATACGCATTAACAAACATATTAAATGTTATGTAAATTTGAATGTTGGCTCAAAATATTCACAGCAGAGCATATAACAACAGAGATGATTACACCTATTAAAAAGTCAAAAAGAATAAAAAGTGCACACAGGACCCTTTCTGAATCACTAACTAGACCATTTGACTAATGCATGTTACAAGAAGAGTGAGAGATCCCAGGAATAAAAACTGCTAAATGAAGAGGAAATGAGTTGAATAAAGACCAGCCCATTAGATATTTATTTAACTTGTAAAAGAGGATTGCTCACCTTATCTAATTGAGAAAATGGATGGACCTTTCAATAAACTAAAAAATTGTCTGTGTAGTAGAATAGCTTCCAAATACCACCACAATTTCCACAACTTCAACCATTAACCACAGATTACCTACTGCATTAACAAAAATATTAATCCAAGTCCAATACCAGCCATTTCCATGGAAGTTTGATCCAGCCATTAGAAATTGATACCATAAAAGGAGCAAGGGAAAAACATTACTTGGAAGTTCTATATTTATTTGGCAGGACATTGAAGCAAAGTTAAATGCTGTAAATTTGTGAACTAATGGAAAATTGGAGAAAACATTAGATGAATACAATTTCTAGCATAATGAATGGGCTAATAAAGTCATCCATTTCACCGTTTACAGAACCATGAATGATTTTTAAAGTATCACTTCACGTGCTTTCTACTGCACAAGTGCTGCAATATTTCTTTTTTCTGTAAAAGAATTCCACATGAGAATTTTGAAGCAGCCACATACATGATACATCATATCTGCAGCCCTACTGTTAGCTATCAAAACTTTGAATTGAAATGGAAAGATAACATGATGAAGTTAGATATCCCATTCAATCTTGTATGATGTCAACGGCAAAATAGATCAATATCGCAACAATGAGGGAAAGAAACCTCTTCAATAGATACAGAAGAAATGCAGAACACAAACTCAAGATCCTCTCATTCAATCTCACAGGCATAAACACCTTGTGAGTTGTATGTTACAAGATTAAAATCCCTTCAGTTAAATGTAAGGGACTCAATGCATGATCAGTTTGTTAACTTGCTTGTTCAAGATTTCTTTATTATGCTTATTATGTAATTAAATGAATACTATTAAATGATCGGTTCACTTAAAAGCTTAAGCTCAAAAGGATACACATAATTTATTTATTTACATACGATAGAGTCAACCAACACGTCCTTCACGTGTAAGGAGGATATACGCCATATATAAATCTTGCACGTAGACAACGATGAATATATGGCGGTGAGACATGAACACGGGATGTTCCAACTCTGATACCATGTTAAATGACCGGTTCAACTAAAAACTTAAACTTAAATGAAGTAAATCAGTTAGGTACTTCCAAAAATTCTTTTTACTTAAATATCCTTAAATAATATGAACCGTTGTTTACTTTTATACATGGAGCATGGGGTAGTGAAGAGCACTCAATTTGTCTAGAGCTTGAGATAGTGTTGTTATTAATGCTCTTCCTTAATAGTTAAGGACCCGAATGATCTCTATGTACAGTTTAGTTCATATATATAATACTAATGCTTTGTCACTCAAACAATTTTCGACTGACTAGATTTTTAATATAATATATATTCTTTTCTCTCATAAAAAGTCAACGTCATTATCAACATAAGGTATTATTTTTTATATTATTATACGATTCCACATTAAATAAACACACCCCGAAATCATCATTTTCTTCAAAGAGCAAATTATATACACCAAAGGTTATTAATTTTTTCTGTAAGTTGAAATAGGTGGTGGTAGGTATATATAATATGATGGATAGAAGTTTTTATTGTTCAATTTATTTATTTCTAAAGATAAAAGTTCATGAACAGCTTGTTAGTTTGTTATTTTTTCACAAACAAAAGTATTCAATCAAAGACTTAACATACGAATCACTCATTTTGTAAATGAACCCGAACACAAACAGAAACCTAGGAGTGTAGTTTTGGGGTGTTTTTGGATTTGAAGTTTTTATAATGAAACATAAGTTTACACTGTCATGTTTTATGGCAGGAAACAATAAAAAAATTTACTTCACTGTAGCTTATAGTGCAAAAAGAAAAAGAAAAACAGAACATAAACATACACAGCCATATAATTTCGACAAATATGTACATTTTGGTAACAATCAAACTTATAGTCCTACTATATCCGTTCATACTCATTTAGTGACACCCTTAAGTACATTCCACTATCAAATGACCAAGACTGTCTGGACTCTGCCACTATACATAGAATCTACTAGGCAATTGTTAGCACATACTTAAATTCGAATACAATAGTTTCATCTTAGGAATCAATTCTGGTGTTAAACTTACTCAAATGCCTCTTCCAGGTAGAAAATGGAGAAATTCCAATTTTTTAAAGTGTGTATGGTTTATTGAAATTCCCCATTCGAGCAAAAAGGAAATCACAACAAGCCTCTCACATTTAGCAAATTAGGGCAAAGTAAGTAAACATTACTAAAAATAAATCATTCGGCCAGGCTGTTCGTGGTGATAACTGATGAACTCGTAAAATCGTGTTCCCACAAACACAGAATTCAATCGTTTACATTATGAAGGAATGGATCAAGAATGGGCAGCACTCGTGTTTTCCTTGGTTTCAATTAGCAAACAAAACGGAGAGCTTGAAATGATTCCCACCGACTTCCGATCGGTTCAAGCCAACTCATTTGGAATCGAATCTAACGATAAAAATTTAGTGATCATACCTGGCTTCCATTCAATTTCACATATTCTTCAATGCATTCTCATATCTCATTTCTGAAATTTCTTTCACTCCCCCTTCCTTCAATTCAGCCCTCTTAAGGAACAGGCATTTCAAAATTTAATAACAAATACGAGTTGGAATTCGTCTGAAGCGAAGGAACGTCGAAATTGATGAGAAAAAGCATGGAGGAAAGAGGAACGCCAGGAGAGAGGAAGAAATTGAAGCGATGTGACTTTGGCAAAGGGCGGATTCGGGTTGAACACAGACCCGATCCGACCCACTCACGGGTCCGCCGGCTCCATATTCAGAGACAGTAGACTTGTCCATTCGGGTTCGAACCGGCGGTGCGGTTCAAACTGTCAAACGGAAATCCGAAACCGGTTTTTATACACCGTTCATTTCGATTCCTATATTATCGAACCTTAAACCGTAGGTTTGAACAGTCGGTCTATCATTTATTTATTTATTTTAATATATAGGTAAAATAACAAAAAAATTCCTTTAATTTTTCGAATTCACTGAAAATCCGTTGTATTTTATCAAAAAAATTTATTTGTGATTTCAAAAATGTTGCACACTCATACTGAGAGACGTTAAATTTTACCTTATTTATATTGTTTCTAATTTATTTTTCTCTGCTCTTTCTTTCTTCTTCTGTATGCACTCATATCATTTTTTATTTTTTTTTCTCCAATTTTCTTTTAGAAGTTAGGTGAAAGAATGCTAGACACAGTTGTTCGGAGTCGAAGCGGTCGCTGAATGTCTGTTTTTCTTCAATTTTTTTTTTACTTCTTCTTTTCCAATTATTCTTCGGGGAGAACGGTTCTTTTTTTTCTTTCTTCTTCATCAATTTTTCTTCAAGCGAGCAAAGTTATTTATTTATTTCCAATTTTTTTTCTTCTCCCCCAATTCTTCTTCGGACAAACAGGTTTTTTTTTTTTTTTTCAATTTTTTTCTTCATTCTTCTTATTTCTCAATTCTTCTTCAGGCGAACACGTTATTTATTTTTTTTCCAATATTTTTCTTCCTTCTTCTTTGCGAACAATGTTCTTTCTTTTCTTATTTTTTTCCAATCTGTTTTGTTCCTTTTTCTTTTTCTTCTTCTTCAATTCTTATTCAGACGCACACGCTCTTTTTCTTCTCTTTTTCTTCATTATTTTTTTCCTTCTTGTTCTTTCTCAATTCTTCTTCAGGCTCATCATGTTTTTTTTATTTTTATTTTTTTTCAATTTCTTTTTCTTCATCCTTCTTCTTCTTCAATTCTTCTTCATCAAGGCATATCAGGTTCAAGAAAGATGGTTTAGAACCAGATATTTATAATTTCTGAGCTTGAATAGACAAATAAAAGAAGGGAAATAAGAGAAGAGAAAGAAGAAATTAATGTTCAGATGGTCATTTTAGTTACATCCCCGAGAGATATTTATCATTTTTTTTGACAAAAAATTGCCGCCTCATATACAGTTTCGGTTAAGTCTAAGGGAGGGGTTTAATGCAACTTAGATTTTTTTAAGTTTTAGAATGAATTGTTTGCAGTCAGTATTAGGAGTATAATAGTATGCTACTCCTCCGTCAACATATTATGTCATTCCTTGTCTCAGGTATCATGTCATATTTTATTTATTTATTAATGATACTCTTCATAAATTATTTTCTGTTGTAAACATGATACTATAATTAGGAGTATAATAGTTGATATGTTTTTTTAAAGTAAATTTAAAATAATTAATTAATATAAATTAATTTAATGAAGTTTTTAAAATTCATTTAAATAAATTTTATTTTATCTTTCTTCAATAAATAATCATTTTTATTTATATTTAAAACTCTTTATTTTTTATAAATTTAATTAATTGTAAATCATAAATAAATATATTTTTTTATTTACTTATATAATATAAAATTTTATTCTATGTTCATATTATATGTATCTATTTTTTCATTTTCATCAAATATATTTATTTTTTCTTTTTTTAGTAAAACGATATTCCATCTAAAAATCAAAATACCTCTACTTTTTATCATTATTCATTCAATACTATTTATATCAAAAGTAAAAAAAAGACTTTATCTACGTGCAAAAATCCAATTGATACATATGGGGAGTAAGGAGTATGTTTTTATTAAGATCTAGTAATATTTAAAATATTTAAACATATATTATAATAAAAAATAAAAAATAACCATATACATATATATAGATATATACAAATTTTTATTTTAAAAATAACAACAATATACTCACATAAGAAAATAACAAAATAATTCAAACCCCTATGCTTTCAGTTCCGACGCCTCCAGGTTCATCTGTCACGTCCGATTCCCCTAATATGGCTTACCTGGTTGTCCGGCCGAGAATTTATTCAGTGTGCACTTTTGGACAGCAGTTGCGAATTCTCGCATTATAAAAAATAATAATAATAACAAAATAATATCATATAATATACTATTATTAACCAAATTCGTCGGCCCCAGAGGTTACCTAGAATTAAGTTATGATATTTTATAAAAAAAATTATTCATCAAAATAATTTTTTACTAACATAATTAGTTTAATTTAATATTAAAATTAAAATGAATAAGTAAAAAATAAAATGAAGTATTATAAAAAAAAATTATTAAAAATTAACAAAAGATAGTAACAAATAAGTAAAAAGGTGATAGAAAATTAGTTACTACTCCTTCCTTCCATCCCAAAACTATAATCTAATTAAATTGCAAGAAATATTGATATTATATTATAGTCGGTAAAAAGTATAGATAAAAAACTTTTTTGCTCTTCCGAATGTATTAGTGTAAAAAACAGTGGCAATTGTGTAATAAAAATAAAAAAATAAGAATAATTTTATGGTAATATGGTTATTTATGAAAATAAGACTATTATTTGGGACGGACAAAAATGGTAAATAAAACTATTGTATCGGAACAGAAGAAATATTATTTAATAAAAAAATAATAATAATAAAATTGTTGGTGAATAAAACATTTAAGTATACTAAAAAAGTGTCATACATATAACCTATTATGTCGCCAAAAATCAACAATAATATACAATATTATATTTTATATCAATAATACAATTTTTCTTATATCACATAAAAGAAAACTAGCAAATTAAAATACTATACAAACAACCCAATATATTAATATTAAAAAATTATATACGTAATATAAAGAAATTAACAAATGTCAAGGAGAGACAGCTATAGCTATTAAACTAATCCAATAGTTTGCGAGCCAAATTCGAATCGGTTCGTTAACGGTTCGACTCTAGCTCATTTTTAGAGATAAACAAACCGAATTTGAGTTCAAAAATTATTTTTTTATAAACGAAATTTGACTTGCGAATAGCTCAATTGAACTCGTTAATGATAATATATTTATATTATTTATATATTAATATGATATATATAATTTTTTATATCAAAATCTTCATTTATTATTAAAATTTAAATATTTTATCATAAAAAATTATGAATAAAATAAAAGATTTTAAATTTATATATTAAAAAAATATATAAAATATACATAAAATTCAAGCCAAGCTCGAACTCAAATTTGAATTTGAGCCTACTGAACCGAACTTGAACTACTATTTTGGTTCAAATTCTTAACGAGCTAAGCCGAATTTATACCACTAACAAGTTCGAATCGAGCTCGAACAACCGATACTCGAGCTCGCTCGGCTCATTTAACAGCTCTAGTAACACTAAAATACTTGACATGACATGACATTCAAATGATCAACAGCTGAAGCAGCAGCAGTAGGGGTGGACATGGTTCGGATATTTGCAAATATGCAAGTACTTAATATTCGAACCGAACCGAACCGAACCGAACAAATACCCGAAATCATGAACCGTATTCGAACCGAAAATTTTGGTTAATTGAAAATATTTCCAATATTTGCAAATAATTCAATCGAACCGAAATTAAAAAATACTCCCTCCGTCCCAAAAGAAGTGAGTTGGCACGAGAATCAAGGAATAATAGTATTTAATTAAAATGGATATAAAGTAGAATGTAAATGACTAAAATATCCTTGCTTTTTGAAAGATTTTAAAAAATATTAATAATTAGAAGTAGTATGAAAAAGTAAGAATAATTTTGTTATAAAGTGAGGACCACGACTACTAAGTAAAAAAACAAGACAATTGTTTTGGGACGGACGAAAATGAAAATACAAGATAAATCTTTTGGGACGGAGAGAGTAATATATTAAAAAATAATTAAAATTCTAATTAAATTAAAATATTTGCAAATATTTCAAATATCCGAACCGAAATCGAACCGAAACCGAATCGAATATAATTATTAATAACATAAATATATAAATATATTACCGAACCGAAAAAAATATTAAAAACCGAAACCGAACCGAACCCAGCAAATATCAAATATATAGTATTTGTATTCGAACCAAACTTGCTCGGTTAACCGAAAATTCGGTTCGGTTCAACGGTTCGGTTCGATTTTTTTGCCCACTCCTAAGCAGCAGCATCAATCCTGTGATTAAACCAGGCTTGTAACAAAACACACAAAAAAAAAAAAACACATCTAATGGGCTATCCATTGAAGTGCTATTTTTATCATTTTACAAGAAAATTACACAAACAACAAACTCAAATTTGTCCCAACAATCAATCAATGAATCAAAACAGCAAACTGCATGCATTCCATACGGATGTGATTCCCAATTCAGCTGGGTTTTTTAAATAATAAAATACTAAGAAATACCAAAGCTGGGAAGTAAATGCACAACCAAACAAAAAATACGACATCGATGGGAATGGAAACAAAAGATATAAATGCTTCAAGGCAAGATGCATCGTTACCAAGTAAATAGACCAATGTATGTATGTATGTATGCGTGTATCCATTTGAGAGTTGGACTTCCGATATCCTAATGCAACAGTGTGTTCAATTGCACCCTGAAAAGCTCTGTAAGAGCGCAGCGAATCTCCATCTGAAAACGGACTTTTTTGTTAGAATTCTAGAAACACGATATCCAACATTATCAGTCACTTCTACTCAAATGTAAACATTTATGGTCTCTGTAATTATTTTAATAGTCATATTTCATGAAGAATGGTGTCGGATAGCTCTGCTAATTTAGAGTCGTTATTTATTTCCTTTCTAGAAAAGTAAATAGATAGCTTTACTGATAGGAATGAATGCAGAAATACATCTAATAGCTAAATTTTCAAGCTGCTGAGCGCAAATTTTTACCCGTAAAGTGGAAAGAAATGTAGCATTATATGAAAGTCGGGTGGCATCGGAAGAGGGATATATTTGCGCCTTGAGAGAATGAAAGTTTACCTGGTCACAGCAGACAAGTTTTGTAATATATGGGTAAAAGTCCCTGAGGTGACTTCTGAGAATACGAGAATTCATTTGGCACATGCCTTTCAGTACCTGGAATAGCATGAGTTCAGAAATCTGACGAAGGAAAAAGTATAATTTTCAAAAACTGTAAATCTTAATAACATACTGGCTAGGATAACTTTACAGGCAACTACAAAAAATAAAATAAAATACGAAAAAAAGTTCAGCATGGAAAGTCAAGCACAGATATGTCTGGCAACTAGTTGTATTCAGTCTGTTCACTTAGCATTTCTTAATAGTACAATTCCCTATAAATATTATTAAAAAAATACAAATATATACGCACATTAATATAATATATATCATCCACTCATAAAAAATCAAACCTTCAACACAAAATATTATTTTTATATTACAAACACAGTTTCTCATACCACACACAAAAAAATCAATTCATCTAAAGACGCTGAGTGAATAGACTGTGTGTTTACTTGTAAGGTTTTGATTTTGAATAGTAAAATTTTGAATTGAAATAATTGTTTGATGTGATATAAATATGTATTGATGTGATGTTTTGAATGTAAAATTAAATTTTAGTGTAATAAAATAAATAAAAATTGGATGTTTGATTTGATATTTTTTGAGGAAAAAGAAAGTTAGAATAGTAAAATCAAGAGTAAAATCTTACTAAGATTACGAAAGAAATAAGCACTGACAAAAATTCTATACAGTAGTCATCCATAACAAAGTTGTACCTTCACAATGATTGGAGATCGAAGTTCTAGAAGCCGATGGACATCCATGTTAGTTGTCTCTTCCACACTAGATTGAAAATCGGACGCCTCTCTAAGCACTTGTTCACAAAAAGATGTAAGCTTTTCTTCAGCTACTCCTTCAAGTTTCTGTCCTTTGACATCCTCCTCTCTATGACTATCAATCACAGCTGTTGTCTTTTGTAGGATATCCAAATAGATACAAGTCGCAGCCAACTCCTGACGGAGAAGATTTGGCGGTGGCCTATAAGGAAAATTATCCATTAATCATTGTAAAGTTCCATCTCATGGATATAACCAACACATAAAATTAGGTTAACAACTGATACAATCTATGTTCTAGCACAGATCAACTAACCTTTCAGGAGGAATTTTGTGCATTCTCAATCGGAGATTACTAAATGAATTGTACGAGGCAGCAAATTCTAGGAGAGAGAACAAAATTTCCATGATGGAGATCTTTTGCTGTGTATTCAATCTGCTCCAGTATTTCTTCTGCAAGTGTTAAGCCGAGTATGTCAGAAATATTCTTGTATCTAGGAAGTTTCTGAACTCTGCGTGACTAAACAAATCAGATCAAACATATAGGATTGATTGAAAAAAACAACACCAGATGCAAGAATAAGAGACCCATTCTCATACCTGAATACTATCGATGACACCCAAAAGCAATAACTGTGTGATGCATTTACTTCTAATGACAACCACTATAGGACTTTCCTCATCCTGGGAACCAGACTCCACAATGGAATCAGGAATCTAGACAACAAGCAAAAGAAATATTAAATATCTGCAGTCCTCTACAATTGCAATACACAAAATTTAATAAGGTTACATTAAGTTAACACATTTCAGTGACCAATACATTTGAAAAAAGTCATCCGACTGAATGAATCAAAATATATGTTATGACCACTTGTGTCACCACTTATAAATACATAAAATGCAAAGGAACAAAACTAGTCACCATCTGAAAAGCTACTAGGCAGTTTAATAAGAGAAGCTATTTTCATTTCCAAAATCTTTAAAAAAATCTAAATTATGCATGTAATAAAATTCAGAATACTCAGCAGTATAATTTGAGTATTAAGAGTTTGCTCATGAAATCAACAAGAAGTATTCTTCTATATTATTGAGATACTAAAGCTCTGTTATCTCTGATCTTTTTTTTTTCAGTTTCTTTAATATGAAATCCCCATAATTCGCTATAAAAATATATTGTTTTTTTCTCAAAAATATTATATCCAACTACCATTTAAACACAAAATACAAACACAACCTAAAACATACATCTTCATTTCATAATGTTAAGCAGACTAAATTATGCTCTAGTTTCTTACGATTTAAAAAACTTCATGCATCTGTTTTCTTTTCTTCAGACAATGATTATATCAATTGTGGTGAGTTTTTCTTTATTTAAATAAGCTATTCATTTCTCCTGTACCATATAGTTTTAGGTCCAAATGCAGTAGAGCTTCCACATAGAAATGGAATTAGTTTTATCATGATGCTAATATATTTCAAGCTTTAAAGCAACAAAGAGAAACTCTTCAAGGTTAAAATTTAAGGAGTTGCTTGCACCTGGACAAGCTTACAGAAAAATAGATCAATAAAATCTACAGCTAGTGCAGACAAGACATTAGATTAATCCGAGAACTACCAAAACTGACCTTAGATGGAGAGGATGATATAATTGCATCAGAATCCTGGTTCTTTGGTTTAGAAGTAAAAGTTCGCATAAACAAGTTGTCCATCATATTTCCCATGATTTTTTGTCCTAATGTTTGACTACGCTGATAGCCTCCATCAGGAGGTCTTGCAGTCTGACCAGATGGCGATGGGATGCCTGTAGAAAGATTAGTAAAAATTCGTTTTAGTTACCTATTTCTTTTGTGTTAACAAAGCAATAGTTAGCTAATCAACAACGTAACCTTCAGATCCCTCTGTATCCACTGGCCGGCCTATTTCTTGATTGTGATCATGTGCAATTTCATCAATGATGGGATCTTTTCCCACTGCATTCCCATTCGAATAGATAGAGTCGTGATGGTTAGACAATGAATCACCACTACCAGCTCCAGGTGAAGTAGGGTCAAAGTCTCTAGTCAATACTTTATGATGCTTAGTGCTCTCGAAACCTAAATTATTGAGAAGCTCAAGAGGTTGTGTAGTGTATGAAGCATCCCTGGATAGAATCAGCAAGCACAGTGAAACCAACTATACTACAATATATAAAGTTGATATATCTATTATATAATAACGTATATACTCATGAGTGCATGTGAGTGCACTCATGTGCAAAGCCTTTATATATTCAATGTGTGAAATGAGTGTTTTGTACCTAATACTCTTCAACAAAGTATCCCAGTCATCATCACTGAACTGGTGCCCTCCAACTTCTACGAGATGCACTAATGCACCCAAAGATATTGAAACTACTGACTGATCTGTTTTCTTGGCACAATCCAACAATAAGCTGAGAAGTGGCGACAACATAAAGCATACATCCTACATAAACGAGACACCAATGATCATATATTAATTTTAAATCCTGTCTCCAGTCTCAAATGCAAGAAGTTGATGGATGTACCTTATAAAAGGTGTTGAAAAGGTTGCATAATAACTGCAGTGAGTGGATGCTGCTTTCACGAAGCCACTCATCTCCAGAAGATGTGAAACTATCATTTCCAGCATGTCTAACATTATCGAAGATAGGAAACAGAACTTGTTGGAAAATATTCTCCCAAAATGAAGATGAGAATTTGCTGCCTCTTTCATTCAGCAAATCAAACAAGACCTCCAGTGCACAATTTCTGACTTCTGCTCTTGGGTCAGAAGTCAGATCAGAAAGTCCAGCCAGCATTGGGAACCAATAATGCTCAGTAACATCAGAAGCTTCATCAACAGTTGTGTTAATGGGCTTTAGAGCACCACCTGGTATAAGGCCCTGGAATGAGAAAAACAAAAGCAACTATTCAATGTATGCTTTGTAAAATACAAATTGTTTTATATGGCTAGGCAGGCAAAACAAGCGTTAGCAAATGCACCTACACCAAGTGGCTGCTCTAAAGTAACGGTCAAAGTTTATCAACAAGAACTGGATAAAGGAGAAGTTCATATGACAGAAATCAACAGCAGTTGATAAGTCGGGAGATGTAAATATTTGATGACATACCTCTGCAAGGCGATCCTCGCATATGCGAAGTAGTGCAATGGCTTTCAAACTAATGCGATGAGAACTTTTATTATTAGCAAATCCAATCAAGCAGTTCACACAATCCATAAAGCAATCCCCAACAACCTGATCGAAGTGCTCCAATACAACTGCAATCATTTCAGAGTCAAGTATGATTTCTAAGAAATTAACATGAAAATACAAATTAAAAGTGTCGGTTCCCAACCCTGTTCCACATTCTCAAATGCACTTTCAACTGTGGCTTCCAAGTCATCATCTGCAGCAGCAGTGAATATCATGAACACACTCCGCCAGCCAGACTTTATGTTTCCAACCTTAGATTTTGTCATCTGTCATTGAAACATGATTGGGTTGATATTTAATAAAAGTTTAGCTTGAAATTTTAACAACATAATAAAGGCTGACATACTTGAACAATGCAATCAACTATGAGTCTTCGAATGGATTCATTTCTGCTGCTCCGAATGAGAACAACAAATGGCTTTAAAATATCATTCTGGAAAGTGAAGTTTGCAAGTTCAGCACGCTCCAAATATTTCATAGAGAGCTGTCTCAGTGAATCGATGGCATACATAGCTACTTTTTCATCAGGATGGCTCCCAGCAAAGATAAAATGATGGGCCAAGACAGACCATATACGAGCCCAAACCTGAAAATATACCAAACAAAATTATAAATATCTAGAAGATATACATTCAGAAATTTCATCGATCCCAAGCTTACAACAACGTGGACAATTGTCAGCAAGGTAAGAGAAATCATCATAAACAGTAATGGGAGAATCCTGTGAAGGGTAATAAAGAACTGTAAAGTGTAAAGTAATCAATTTATAAATCAACTATAAAACGAAACATCACTCTTTAGTTTTACATTTTAAATGACGTGAACACTCACCCTATTCAAGAAGGTATTTAGCTAAAAGGTATGGAGTTTGAATTTTCACAAATACTCATTAAGAAACAAAATTTTCATTTGCCAAGTTATAAAAACTAAAAATAGTGTCATACAAGCGAACAATTAAAGCACTAATGTTTGTGAAATATTAGAATTATAGTTCTCTTCAAGTCTAAACTTTTAGATGAGGTGTCAATTCAATGACTTTAATACTCTGAAACATGTGTCCAGCTAAGATAGGTTAAGAGGCTTAGTGGCAATGTTAATTGGGAAAACCATGAAAAAACTTATAATCGACAATGCTGCTACAGCTGTAAGTTGGTAAGCAAACTGCAGTTCTCCCCTAATCAATCGCATTCTGATCAATATAAGTTATTAGTATGCAGTCTACTAATAAAGCAATGCATGTTGACATAGAGCATGCCAGTCTAGAAAATTATGATTGAACAAGAGGACTATAACCACAATCAACAAATTAGAGCCAAACCCCTGAAAGTAATAAGTCAAAAAAATGATCATGCAGAAGAACTAGGAAAAGAAAAAGATGAAGAAATTACCATGCGTATGCGAGCCATGTTATAGTAGCTAATCTCAACAACCTTTTGCAAACAAAAAACACGTGCAGGAACTTGTTTTAGTTCCTCCGCTGAGACACTGCATAAAGCAGTAAAAAACTCCACCACTGTTTCACTGGGCAGTTTAATGCTATTCACAAATATCTGCTCGGTTGGTTTGCCAGCCAGCTCCTTCAGAGATTGAAGAACCGCATCTCTAGAGATTTGGTTGGATCCTTGCATGATGATTGCAGCCATAGCAGGTGATGATACTGCATATTCAAGGCGTGAAACGCATTCCAGAACAGCAAACCAAGAGTCTTGAAAGGCATAAATTTCAGTGTCACATGAAGTAAGTAGCGTGCGTAATGCCTCCACATTCTTTCCACGCATATCTCTTGGTGCATGCAAAAAGTTGTACCTGAAAATAATTTCCAAAAAAATTTGCATCAAATTTAGCAAAAGTGTAAATGAATGAAACCGCATGCACAACTGTTCATTTGATTGATATGTCAGAACTCAAATTACTACTTATTGTATCTTTAGGATTTTATTGCAGGACAAATTTACAATTATATTCTGGAAATTTTGTATTGTTAGAATTGTAATTGGATTAACAGTAAAAACGAAAAGTCACACTTATTTGTCCAATCCAAAGTACAATTAAATCCACATTTCTAAGAAACTAGTAAGAAAACAAAAGAACCTCTCAATTAATATCAAGAAGAATATGAGCAAGTGAGCAACACATGATGCCAGAACTTTCTTGATATTCATTATTTTGAATGTAACTAATTGTATCCTGATTACATCAACTCATCTAGCATAAAAGGGAATATTCTCCTGCCATGAATGTTAAGCCAAGATTGGCTAAACAGAATAGAGGTTCAAGGAAAATATTCAAATGAAGAACAATGCTGCTAACATTATAAGGGAATAAAAGCTGGGTTTTACCCTTGAAAAAGTACTTATAGTTTTCGCATCACTTAGAAAGCCATTGTTTGATAAGCAACAAGCTAACCTAGAACAGCCACCATCAAAGCTTACAAGCATCTAAGCAACATTTGCTTTATATCTAGAAACATAGAAGGAATTCCTGAAGCATGAATTCAATAGAGAGAATTTATTCTTTAAGATGCCTAATACCAACAGCATTCAGTACAAAAGATACTGCTTCAAACTGGGAAAAGAAACCACAGATACAACACTTAAAATATTTCTGAAACAACCATGAACATGGGGCTGTTTTTCATGCAAGTCAATATTAACTGTTTCATACACTAACGTGTAAACTGCATAATTCATACCAGTCTCAACAAGAACAGTTTTGGATCATTTGAAAACATTCACAAGGAGCCAAAAACTTTTAAGATGGACAAAAATCTAGTCTAGCTAACCAGCAGATACAAGAAAAGTCATACCCATTACAAATTCGGAATTACCTTATCAAGGATGTCAAGAAGGCATAACGCATGGTGTCCATTCCAAGAGCATAAGTTATGTGTATACCTTCCTTGAAACCTTCCATGCAAAGTGTAATTCTTGGTTTGTTATCTATTTCACCCATTGTAACAGCAAAAGTAGCAAGTAATGGCCATCCCACAGCTTCAACCATGAGCCGCACAAGTTCAATCCTGTTAGAAGTGTAAAAGACCCCCTTTTTCCCTCCACTGTCTTTGATTACAGCCTGAATTTGCTTGACAATTGCTTCATTTCCAGATTTGGAGTCAGCAGACATGTTTCGTTTGGGAAGGGCCAGATTGAGAATACTGATAAGACCTCTTTCCTCCATTTCTGGCTTATTAGTTTTCAAAATTCCAGCAGGATCATCTTTCATCTTTATCTCCTCTTTAACAATAGATTCATATATCTCCTCCAAGAGTTCCTGAGGAGCAGATTCTTCGGCATCATTCATGACATTCATGCGTACAAAATCACTTTTTGACATTTTTGGCCACACCATGGGATTATGAGCATCAGTATTCAGCATAATAACAGCATAAGCAAGAACATAAGCTGTGTCAGCATTCTTGAATAAACCAGGATTGTCTGCACAGTAGCTGCAATGGTAACACAACTTTCAAAATCTGGAAGCACTAGCATTTAGATAACTAATACTTACACGATTACACCACCTCAAATTAGCAAATGCAGCAGAGTATGGTTCATATTCATTCAATATCTAATTCTGCATTTAAGCCTCAAGCAAGATCCAATTAATGTAAAAGCATGCAATCTAAATTCTGCATTTATCATATATCGCTATATTTTCTTTTTTTGGTGGAACAGGATTACAAGCATTATGTTAGCCCAGCAGTAAAACTGCACAACACGAGTACATACCGCTCTGCAAACTTTTCCATAATGCGATCTATCTTCTGAGCTTCCCCTGGAAGTCGAAACCCTCTAAGGAATTCTCGAATTGAAACATCAAACTTCATTCCAGAAAAATTCATGGAATCCACATATGAGTGCATGACAGCAAGTGGAAACTCCTCATGCTGCCCCAAATAATCCCCAAGCATAGCCTGGATATCGAAATCAGTGAGACACCCGCTTGAAGAACCCATGGAAAAATAGATTCAGTAATTTCTACCTTGTCTAAAGTTGGTGTGTTTCGAAGAAATAGAGCTACAGCAGTTGGAGTTTTCTCCACCAAGCCACTGGATATTAATTGCTTTATGCCCTTTTCTGGTTTTCTATTAAACTGAGAATGCAAAAAACTTTAATTAATGAAATGAGTCCACTAAAAAAGCAGTAAATATATCAAAGAAATAAATAGCAAAGTGAGTAGAAGTTATGCAGTTCATTGAATCAAAACAACAAAATATATCAACACACCTCTGAAACAACAGCCTCTATGGTGGATTTATGAGCTTTTAGCTTCTCAAAGTTGCTCACTGAATCGTCCCTTATTTTAGGCTCGTCTGCTTCTCTAGATGAAACTTCCTTTTCAGAGGATTCATCAGCATTATTCTGTTTTTGTAATTCTCTATGTAACTTCTCCCAAGCTGATAGTGATTTAAGCACATTTACTAGACCCTGTATACCAATGGAGGTGTGAAGACGCCAAATTCATTCAATAGATTAAAATAAAGATGAAGTTTCTCGATTAATCAAACGAACAGGTTGAGTAAGGAGCTGAAAGAAGAGGCGATGTTGAAGAATACCTGCATAGATGTTGTTTTTATCATCCCAATCTGAGATGTAGTAGTAGGCTTTGAATCAACATTTTGAGTACCTTGTGCAATTTTGGATAATGTCGACACCTAACCATGAAAAAGATATGAATTGAGGAGGTTTGGAAATAAAATAATCGATATTGTTTATCAAAACACAAGCATACCATTCGCTCAAATAAATTTGGTGCTTCAAGATCACAATCGTAGTTCACATAGAGATCAACAAGCATTTGAGGATCCTTGCATGCTTTCTCGAGCATCCTATGAATTCAACAATTGAAAAACATCTTAGTTGCTACAAAATTTTGGAGACTTCAAGTTGGTATCGCATTAGATATTTTGTCAAGAACGCAGGCAAATCTCTTATACCCAGGGGCAACTGAGAATAATACTAACATTATGTTGCTTATAGTACAAGTAACACTTCTCTACTGGAAAGCAACATACCGAAGCACAGTTAACTTATGGTTCAGATCTGAGCTATCCAAAGGTCGTAGGACAATCACAGGAAAGAAGACTCCAATTTCAGCCTGAAAAAGACTTAAGAAGTGAGTTGGAACAGGAAAGAAAAGTTCAATTTTTCTACATGGCTGAAATCCATTTCTTCACCTATACAATCGCAATGATTAAAAACCTATTTGGTTACAGCCTAGGTGCATTTTTATTATGTATTTCTTCTTTCTTCTACTAAATTTTGGTAGCACTTTAGTATTTTCCTTTTTTATCTTTTCCTCGTGTATATTGTTTCTTCCCATTTTTATTTCACCTTCACTAAATACATTAGTTTTATAAACAAAATCAGTAGAAATATAATACTTTTCCATTATAATTAAGTTAATAATATGTGTTTTTAAAATGTCGTATGTACACCGCATGCAACTTTAACTGAATTAACTTCTTATGATGCAGATATAAATCAAACCTTCAGATATTCCCTAAACCGCAATAGGAAAACAGAAAATATTCCAGTCGCATACTGCAAAGGGATAAAATGAATACTATTAGCATAAGAAGTGCAACAAAGTATTAGAGAAAACAGAAGAAATGCATTTGAAGGGAGACCAACAAGATACCTGAAATATCACATGAGACTGTGACATTGATGCTCTTAGTAAGGTATATGAAATGTGAGCTTTAATTGAATCAATGAATTTAGAGTTCTTTGTAAATGCGAAGCTAACGCCTTCTAATAAACCCTGCAAAAAATAAACATTAATGATATAATGTGTTGTCACGCCTATTTATAAGCCCCTATTTTCATTATGGATAAAATGCAATTTTGAGTCGTCTACAAAATTTCTTCTCACATAGTATCAGAGCTTATGATTATTTTTCTTGCGGAGTAAACACAACCTACTAAACCACGGTTCTCTGAAAAAAAGCACAATAGACTTGACATTCAAATTCTAGGTTAAAAAAATAAATAAATAAATAATAGAAAAGAAAGTATGCCATTTGAAGTAATGATGTATCTACTCATCCAAATAAACATTTAATGTGGAAAAAAAAAAAGAGAGAGAGACCTTTTTTTCCTGCATACTCTACTCAGGAGTTTTGTGGGACAGAAATCCTAACGAGCATAACAACCCAGCATATTCTCATATAATGTAAACATTGGTGCATTCCCCAAACACACAGTGAAGGGAAGCTAAGAGGTATTTTCCATTTGCATATCCACCAAACAAGCTATATGCAACAAAATATCCAAGCCTCTAACCTGTAGAAGCTCCAGAGACAGAATGCGTGTCTTAGTAGTAACTTCATCATTATCCTCCTTCATTCCCATCTGCAAATGCATAAAAATAATGTCAGTCTACTGGAAGAGAGAAATCTGACCTAGAATGTAATGAAATGCTAAAAATACAAACCTTACAAAGAGTACGGAAAAGAAGTAAAGCATCCCGTTGGCCAGCACTTGTGCTGTCAGGGCTCATCCCTCTATCAGCAGTTTAAACTTTCAGTCAGATAAAAATCCATAATCCACCATGCATAATAAGAGAGTAAATAAGCAAATGTTTCAAAAACAAAGACTGCTCCTACTAGTTATCCATTTTAGCATATGGTTTAAGTTAACCAATCACAAATAACAGATTGTTTATTGTTCCTTGTACAAAGTATACATTTATAACTAGAGTACTCATAGCCATACTTTGTTACTTTTCCACCATCTTCAAGATCCACAGCTTTCTCAAGAACAGCCTCTAAACCCTGCAGAGGAACATATATTAATTAACAAAAATAATCACAGATCAAAAATAAAAATCAAAGAGAAGCTCGGGTACTGAAAACATATGAAAATTTGGTAAATGTGGGAAAGAAAGAAGAAATTATAAAGCTTTCACTGGTATAGTGACTAAACATGGAATTACCGCCGTACCTTAATATCAGTACCACTCACAAGACCCTGGATCTCATTAACATCATTTATTTGTTTCACAGATACTGCCTCACCAACAGTCACATTTGACTCATTATGATCGCTGGATGAAACTTCTTCAACTACTGGGCTTGACATATCTTCTGAATACGCTTTCTTGGAATCAAGAGAGCCAGAAGAGACTAGACTTGCCTGAGAGTGATCACCTTGTTAAACTCTCTATACATCTAATTACCATGCAAAAGACATAAAACTCAAAAAGAGATTTTAGGATACCACATCTGTTTCCATCCTTCTAAAAACGATACTCAGTATTTGGGTCAGCATGGCTTTTGCTGTAGCTTGGTTGATAGGACTCTTGCTGATCATTTAACAAATAGAAAACTTTAATCACTCAATAATGAAGTCAACAAAATGTTATAGCACATTTTCAAAGCATACCTATTAAGAGCTATATTATAGCACACCCTTATAACTCCCAGCAATGGTTCACCATGAACTGCACAAGAAAAGATCTGAGTTAATAGCACAAATCACCTGGACAGCTTATTTCATCCTAATAGTCAGCACTATATTAACAGTGTCAATGAGTTCTAAACTGAAAATAGCATCTGCACTAAAATTCGCAGTCACAGGAGATAAGCATGGCATTCACCAAATACAGATACCTAAAAGCTAATTCGAGATGACAGAGGCATAACTAACTTTTTCAATGCCTTGGTACACAATTTAGGCGAAACTGTCAACATAGATATGATATAATAATGTTCTATGAGAAAGTTGTGGAAAGAAAAGTTCATGACCTGGAAAACCACATAAGGTATGAATGAAATTCGATCATTGATGAGATTTTTTATTTTATTTTCATGGTGGGGAGGTAAATTTATTATATCATGATAAAAACAAAAAATACAATGATAGGTCGATAGATTCTCTAGGAACAATGCAGAATCTAGAAATAGGAGCACTATAAAATTAAAAACTATAGCCAGCAAGAGAGCTACGCATCGCCTCAAGCACCGCATTTAGCAAAATATATAAAAGAACATTTGCATTTCCTGGAGTATTGGAAAGAAACTAAAGGGCATCTGGAAATGGAGTGACGCAACCAATTTTATATTAAATGTCCACAGAACTGAAGCACTTTGGATCCAACCTTGCACTCAACAACCAATTTATGAAGAGGCCCTAATTGTCTAATTAATAAGCAATCAAAAACTTGGATAATGCCCAATCAATAAGCATTAAGGCCAGTTTTATTAGAGCTTACAAGAACTTGGTCTCTCCTGATAGAAAATGACAGAATTACTTATAAGCAGTGCACGTGGTAGATAGAGCATGGGTATCAAGAAGAAAGTGCGAAGAGATTGACCTAAGCCAACAAAAATTACTCTTCTGACCTTTCTATCTATAGGTTCTCCGAAAATTAAAACAGAAACATAAAAATTTTGATTGCAGTAGGAACTAGGAAGGCATGCTAATAACTAAAATTGGACGAACTGTAGATAGAAAATGCAACAGCATTATATTTGCTTGATGTCTGGTGATCTATAATAAAACAGAAAGAGTACAATTTCTGCATAAAAGTGATTGTGCTCAAGTAGATAAATTCTTTTAGCAACTGCCAGTAGTTAGCATCTTGCTATGTGAAGGTTCTATGGTATCTCTTTGTCATTCTAGCACACGAGAAAGCAACATTATGAAATTTTAAGAATGGAATTATGGTGGCAGACTTGATTCAGCATCTTTGTTGAAAGTGCCCTTTTTTTAGTCACATATGTTCAACTTGAGAGGGAATCTTGTTGAATATTAAATTTTATAATATATGATATATATCTAGAATATACGTACATTATTTGGCTACCAATATTCAAATATAGAACTATAACAGGAAAACATTTTGACTCATTTATTTTAATATCTTACAGATAGAGTACGCTCTAATTAGTTTTAACCCAAGAAAGTTCTTTCTTTATTTTATTTTTAAGCACATATAAAAGGTATCTAGGTAGGGAATTCAAGAAACAAACTCACTCCTTACAAATAACAAAATGTAAGGGTTTTGCTAGTAGATTTCATTTCTGACTTCATTTCCACATCACATCTATATTCCAACACTCACATATAAAAGAAAACTCCTTAACAGAAGTAATGAAATAAAGAGAAACAAACTATCACTAAGACCACACCACCTATGAAGCGAGCGCAAAAACAGTAGAATGAAGTTTCTAGACAAAACAAGTTGCAAATGCTAATCAAATGAAATAAAGAATATCAAAGTGTAACACCACATTATTCAGAAAGTTGGGCAGAAACAAGGCAGAAGACAAGGTAAGGGGGTGGGCAAAGAATAATTAAGGTGATACAAATTATTTCCATATAAATTGTTTACCTCGCAATTTTGTTGATGCTACAGCAGTAAGAAGCACCTTCAATACTTGAAGCGTAGTACTGCATTTTATTTCCACATAGGTTAAACTCAATGCAGAAAAGCATCAGTTATGAGATGACAACAAATTTACCTGTCAGGTGAGGAATTATCTACAGAACCACAAACCATGTTGAGGATGTCTGCAAACAGTTGGGCATCTTTTCCCCCATCAAGACCAGGATCACCTTCTAGATGATTGTATTCTATGAGTTTCTGCATCAGGGAGAACAAAATGGGAAAACATAAAGTTCAGTTGTATAAGAGCTTGAATCAGCGGCAGGCATATGAACTGAAAATGAGATTGCCATCTATTATTTTTAAATTCTGAAAGTAAGGTGCTCAATAACCTGCCTTAGAGACACAACAGAATACCACAAAATTCCATCATTATATTATATCATACATAAAAAGCCAGCCAAAATTATAAACAATATATCAATATTCCCGCTAAAAGAGACATTTCCCATCAGTAAAACATGTAACCAAATGCAACCATAATCATTTTCGGGTGGCAGTGTTAAATGAACCATTGTCCAACTGCAACAAGTTATTTTTAGATTCAGCAACTTTGAATAAAAATGACACTTACATGAAGACAATCCAACGCAAGCTCCACAACTTTTATGTTTTTTGTTTCAAATGCAAGCCTGAGTGGATTCAGAACAAGTTCAGTCTCAGCTCCCTTTAAAGTATAGCCTGCCTTTGCCAAGGCCACTGTGATCGGTTCTACCCCCTCAGAAGTTGTTGGAGCACTAGATGTATGATCGCCTTCAACCTCAGATTCACTATATTTTCCACAAACAAATAAGCATTTCGACTGAGAGAATCACTTTAGACACAGAAACTCATCCATCAGAAATATTGATTCTCTTTCATAAATAAATAAACCAGCACACTCCACGTTAAGACTTGCAGCCAAATATTGCAAATGTTGTCCACAGCAAAAGTTGCATCTATAAAACTAATGGACAATCTTATGTTTTAGACAAAACTAGGAGATCATCAAAGAGTACTTTTCCCTGGCACAGTGGAAAATATTTAATAATCCACTGTCGACATTGATGAAATCGCATCCAAAGGAAGATATGTGTCACAATGCTAAGTACAAATGTAACTATATCTAAATAATTATCTGAAAGTGCCAACATATTTTCCAGCAGATAGAGTAGCTATTGTATTTTCGAGTTTGTATTTTAGGTAATTAGGTCGCAGGTAATAGTATGGCTGCGTAAATTGTAATTAATAATATTTTTCTTCTGATTTATCAAGTTTTTTGCATTTGTAAAATTAGTGATATACAACGAATGACTAATTTGGTACTGTATGGGTGACAATAATTGGATGATGCCTGTGTCTGTGTATATATATAAATATTACTCCTTCCGTCCCACCTACCGTGTCCACATTACCGTTTTTGTCCGTCTCATATCTCATGTCACTTCTTTTAAAAAAAAAAATGATTACACACCTTAATCAAATTTTAAATTTTCTAATTTATAATTTTTTTTAATTTTAATTAGACTAAATAGTTATTTTAATCTTATCTAGAATTATTTATACTATACAATAATTATTTTCACTAATACATTCTTAATTGTTTACTAATTATATTTATCCTAAATTCCCGTGTCTACAGTAACCGGACACGCTAGGTCGGACTTAGGGAGTAATAAAGTGTTTATCATATAATAAAATATGTATTTAAGCAAATGCTTATATTTATGTGTGTAGATAGAATTCTGAATTTTGAATTTAGCCATTCATTGATGATTGAAATTTGAACATTTGCATAAAATTCTGACAAATATAATAATCGACACATCTCATGTTTGACAGTTACCAAGTGTGTAATTTTAATGGAAAATGGGTAGAAACAAGTTGTTGTTTTCTTGCCCTGTGGTAGGGAATAGTACAAACAAAAGCTATATATCACTAATTTTATAACTGGTGCATAGCTTAGTTGACAATCTTTCTTCAAGATTTAATTTCTAATTTAATTTTCACATAGTCAATTGATTCCTTGGTTCTTCAACACATATTCTTCCACTAATACAAAGCAATGTACATGTATTGATACAAGGAAATAGCATAAAAAATCATTAGTTCTCACAGTGGTTCAAACACCTTTGATTTGAAGCTTCTGTTGATGATTCCTTAGATTCACTAGTGTTGGGCAGCAGATTGGTGTCCTTCACCTTCCCACCATCTGAAACATTTAAGGACATTTACATCATACCCACTAGTTTACAGGGCACAGAACCAATTGACGTCAAAAAGAAAAGGCAACAAAGAGACTGAGTCATATCAAGCAACTAGATATATATTTTTGAAAAATAATTAAAAATGTCGATTAGGAACAAAGCGTTATTGTATTCTAGTCACTTTAACAAACACCCCCATGCATGCTATCAGCATCTTGACTCCTCACTATCGTCAACCACCTAAAACAAAAATGGCATTCATTCAAGGGAAAATGCACCAAAAATATATGATTCTTTCAACAAGCATATCCCTAGAAGATCTAGGGAGTTCACAGACAATTTTTTGCTAAAAGAGGTGCTAGAGGCAACACAGTTATCTGTCTGGCTGTAGTTACTCTTATCTCTCATCTGCCTGGTATTGCCCTTACGTATCTTCTCTTCTCTAAATAAATTTTCTTTTACTATCCATTCCACCATATACCAGCTTGTTCTTCGAATCTCACTTCTCAGAATCACAAAGGACACCTACCAGACCATCTCATGTTGTTCTCTGTCAACTCTTTTATCCCATATTATTAGAGAAAAATGTCCCTCTTTCTTTAATAATTGATACATGATTTCAATTTTGTAATTGCACCTTCACATGCTTCTTTACCATAATATTATATCCTACAGAAGGATTCAAGGCTCTTAAGGCATGGAGCACTACACGTAAGCATCTTTTGGTACTCCTTAGCATTATATTTTTTATATATTTTATTATTAAAAGCAGGGAAGGAAGGATTAATAAGATGGCCCTAGTTACAAGGTCATTTTATTTTGCCTCTCTTCAATATAACTAGTTCCTTCTCTCCAAGACTCATCTTTGCTCTCATAATCATTTTTATTTTATATTTTCTTCAATCCAATGTAGTTGTCCTTTCTTCTCCTCTCCTTCACTCACTTGTATCCTTTATTCTCTTTCTCATAACATCATATTTCCTTTCTCATCCTTCTTTTTCTATATCAATCACATGTTCCTTGTTAAAATTCCTGATTCAGAAATATTTAATTGCCTCAGTAGTTGCTTATGAAACTGATAATTACACAGATTGAGGTTTAAAATGCTAAAGGTGGAATAAAAATATAATTCATTTCCTGTAATCATTTTGATGCTTAATTTTTGCATGTACCATCCCATACCTGTTACACCATAGCAGGTCATTCATGATTAAAAGTTGTGCTCCTAGACACTAACTACGTCTTCATACCATAAACAATAAACCCAAATAAGCATTACAATCGAATACCCAATATAGCATAGATAGACAATTGACTTAAACAAGATTCAAATGGGGGGGGGGGGGGGGGGGGCTGAGTGACATGTTGACATAATTGCAAGCATAGCTACATTCGCGAATCTTATGAGGTTAGGCTCATCCCGCAATAAGCAATCTAATAAAACCAACCATCGGGCTTACAAACTATCAGCTATCCCAAATGATCATAAAGGCCTTGAAATAGAACTATAATCTACTAGATCAGTACCAAAATTATTAGTTCTGCAAGTACTAACTCCAATACAGCAGAAGTCAAAGGATTTGCAATTTTAGAACGTCAAGACATTTACAAGAATGAACAAAAACGCCACAGCACCTAGTTCACGTTGAATCTACTTTATTAACATCATTTAACTAAACGATAATCAATCTCAAAATAGATTTCAGGGAACGGGGCCCAAGCACTTATATAGAGCTCAAACGGCAGTTAAAACTAGAATCGGACTTCCAGACAGCGCTCTTAGATAAACAACAATGAATTCCCGAAATAATAGCATTGCATTGTCAATCCTTGAGCAAGAGATCGAAATTTCGCAAGGTACAGTACCTAAATAAGCCTGAATGCTAGACTGGAGAGCAGAGTATTTCTTGTTAGCGCACTCTCTGAGCATTGACTCAAATGCACGCGTCACGAACCCTCCTGCCGCCCCACCCGCCATTTCTTCCCCTCAGAATCAGAAAATTCAGCTCAACTCAAAATCCAGCCAAGGAAGAAGAATTGCGCAAAAATCCGAGGAGAATAGGACTAGATCGAGCCCTCCGTTACGCAATCGATTCGAGATCTCGGTTTGGCAGCAGCAAAATCGAAAATTGGAGAGAAGAATCGACCTTGCGATATACAGAATCAGAGATCTGCCCTGGGAAGTAGCGGGCCAGAGAACATTGATGCGCGTTTTGTGTTGGATTCACAATGAAACCAAAAAGTCGCATTTCTTTCACCGTTAAATAGAGCTTCAGTTCACTCTCCGCTGCGCTGTAGCTAATTTGAAAACACGATTTCTATTATTTTCATTTTTCTATCCTTTTTTTCACATTAATATATTTTCTGCCTATTAAGGGTGTGTTGGTTTGATGGATTTTGACAAAATTTCATTGTTCATCCAAAATTTTTCTTTCAAAAATATCAAATCAAATATCTATTTTTTATTTTTTATATTATACTGAAAATTAATTTTACATTCAAAACATCACATCATCACCTATTTATATCACATCATACAACTATTCAAATTCAAAATTTTTACTATTCAAATCCCAATTCAAAATTCAAAATCCAAACCCCAAACAAACACACCCTAAAAGTAAACATAGCCATTTGGTCCAGCGGTTTAAAAAAAATAAATATTTTTATTAAAATATATACAAATAGTTGATATTTTTGAAAATTTAATTATAAATAAAAGTAAATGAAGGACTATGTAATAAAATTAATGGTAATCGCTGTAAATAAATATTAAAAAAAGAGTAATAATCAAATGTTATCTATTGACTTTATCAAAATTAGTAATGATATAAATTCAACGAAATGACTAAAACAATATGAATAAATTTGGTGGACGGAGAGACTGTATGACTATTAATCCCACGATTTAAATTAAAGGTAAAGACATAATTGTAAATTTATAGTTTATGTACAATTGAATTAATTTAATATATTCAAAATTGGGTAACTTTTGTCCAACTTACGAATGAATTTCACAATTTTCATTTTTAAAGTTTTAAAATTACAAATATATTTATTCGTTTTATATTCGGTCTCAAAGAACAATAAATATATATATATAAACCAAATAAAAACAACTAATTTTTTAATATATTTATTATTCATTGGGGTTAAATCTAAACATAACTAGAGTATATTGTAAGTTTGTGCCGCATACAAGTCAAACCCCATTAAATAAATACCGTCAAGAGGTTAAACGCAAAGTTTATGAAACTATAGGGAGTCTGAAAACCGTTTTAAAAATATAAGAAAATTGACATAATTTCATAAAATCACATATGAGTTTTATACAATATTTTCATTGGTGGGTAATATACTAAAAATTTTAAACGGTTTGAGGGGAATTTTTATCAAAATCAACAAAAAATTTATAATAAGAGAAATTTTAAATAAGGCCATAATCATTTATTTTCCGATTAGTTTGTTGATAATTATGTATACATCGTTGTAGATATTAAATGATGAAGCATGTATTCATTTATATTGTCAATAATTTTAAAATGAGACTTGAAGATCAGTTGTTTGAGCTCGACTCGAACATGCTATCGGTACATCTTCGATTCGGCTCGTTTAAGGTTTCAACTAAAACTATTGTTTGAGTTTGGCCTTCAAAGCTTAAACTCGAGCTCGACTAGAATTTCATAAATATTATATATATATTTAATCTACAAATTAAATAGATATAATTTTATCCATGATGCATTATAATAAAAATATTCAAATTTTATTAATATACGTAAGTTTTGATATAAAAATATACTAATTATATTAATCGGTTAAAATAATAAAGGCATGTATATTAATTTATATTAAATAGTGGGTAAATAGATATATATATATACATTTAAGTATGAATAATAAAATTGTAAGTAACTAAAATTATTTATTATTAAATGAATGATGCATAATTTTAACTGATGACAAAAAAAATAAAAAATAATGATATAATTATTCTGGACGAATGAAGTAAATATATTTTATATATTGATATTATATTAAATAATAATAATAATAATAATAATAATAATTGGGTAATAATAATAAATATTCATTATTAATTTTAAAATAAACTATTAACTAAACAAGTTTTTAATAAAATTATATATTAAATAAAAAAGTTATTACTAATTAAGTTATTTTAATCACAAATAATTTAATAATGTGGATAAAATTTAAAATTAGTATAAATGAGTTATATATATAAAATGAAAGGTGGAGAAAAAAAGTATATAATGCTGAAAAAATACGAAAGAATTGTGAAGTTCAATTTAGGGTCCGTTAAGCAGTTTGATTTTGTGTTTGGATAAATTATTGTAAAAACAGTTTTTCATAAAAAAAAAAAAAAGAAAATTGTTATATAATTGAGTTGAAAATACTTTTAAACCGTTAAAATTATTCAAAATGACATGTTGAAAACATAATTGTATTTTTCTATAATTTTTTTTTAAAATTTTTTATTAATTATATTTAAATATTTAAAATAAAAGTATAGATATTTTTATTATTTAATACTCCTTTCATCTAAGTAATAAATATACATTTATTTTTTGCGCGGAGTTTAAGAAATAATAGTATTTCAATTATAGTGGATAGGTAAAAGTAATGTAATGACATTTTTGCTCTTACTTTTTGGCATAACAGTAATGATGTGAGGTAAAGAAAGAGTATTTGTGAAAGAAAGTAGGGTATTTAATAAAATAATTACTTTGTAATTGGACATTCCAAAATAAATATATATACTTTATAATTGGACGGTGATTATTAAATTACTATTATAAAAGCTGCACTCGAACAGAAAATCAACCGGCACAAAGTGTATTTTTTTAATAAATAGAAGTAAGAAAAATTGCTGCAAAAAACCAATTCGAACAAGAATTTAGATTTCCTCATGTAGATGGTCTAAGACATTTCAAATTCAATGTTAGATTTTAAAATATTGTTTAGGTAAATATTGTGAAGTTACTTTGGATTGCCCTTAAATTTGAGTTTTATTTATTTATTTTAAGGGTGTGTTTGTTTGGGGGTTTGGATTTTGAGTTGGGATTTGAATAGTAAAAATTTTGAATTTGAATAGTTGTATGATGTGATATAAATAGGTGTTGATGTGATGTTTTGAATGTAAAATTAATTTTTAGTATAATATAAAAAATAAAAAATAGGTATTTGATTTGATGTTTTTGGGGGGAAAAAATTGGATGAATAGTAGAATTTGGTTGAAATTCTACAAACGAACACACCCTAATTGTAATTAAATACTTCTTTAGTCATATAACAAAATATTCAGTCCATAGCAAAGTATCCGGTTTTTTTTTTTTTTTAAGTAAATGTACTATCTACCTAATATTATAAATACCTTTACAACTTCCAATATATTACACAAGTATCGTTACTTTTATATCACACAATACTAATAAGATCATTTTAGTCATTTCTACTTTATTCCTACTATATCCTAATATAATACTAATATTTTTAAAACTCGGTGTAAAAAACAAATGAATACATAGTTATGAAACGAAGAGAATATTATTTTGACATCATTCTATTTTATGATGGCAAAAATATATATATATTTTATTGAGATAGATTAGGCAGTAAAACATTTTAGTTTGAAAACACAAATCAATCTAACCATTTGAAAACTCATTTGTATTTCATTTCAAAATCATCTTAGAACCCAATCACTTCAATTTCGTTTCTATTCGGCTTAGATTTTTTTTTATTATTATTATTATTTTTTGTAATATTGATATGCTTATGTAATTTTTAAATATTATTTAAGTATATGTTTCACATATTTCCTACAAATATGGTAGAATTCAAACTATAACACGGCGGCCGCTACAATTCATCAATGTATTGAACACTGCATCACGTGTTATTACATAATATATAATATTACCACAAACAGTACAATATATAAGTTAATACAATACAAATACAATACATGAACAAAACATACATGTTATAGTCTCAACCAGGACCGTTCTTGACTTTCAAAGGGCCCGGGGTGAAATAAAAATTAGGGACCCTTAAATATATATATAATATTTTTTACCTATAATAAAATATAAATAAAAAAAAACATTTTTTCTAACATATATTTTAAAAATTGCTTAAGGCTCCCTTATATTTTAACAAACGCTATATAAAAACCCCTGATATAAAAAAAATTATAGATGAAAAGTCATCTTCTCATCACAAAAAAATATAAAAATGAGTTTAATGGAACATTCTTTAAAGTATAAGGGGTTCATATTATTTTTAAAGTATATAGATGATTTACACTAAGTTTTGAAATTATAAATGAATTATTGATAATTTTGCCTAATAATATTAATAATAATTTTGTCTAATATTTATTATCTTTTTAGTGCAAAAAAAATAATTAAAACAAAAATAAAAAATCCCTAAATATATATAAATGATCTACTCTTTTTTTTACCTATAATAGAATATAAATTATTAAAATAAAATAATTTTTTTAGAATTTTTACATAAAATAAAAATAATAGTATTAATATTAACAATTTTAAAACAAAAATTACGGGCCATAAATATGTATAAATAATATTTTTTTATTTATAATAAAATATAAATAATTAAATAAAATAAATTTCCTAATATTTTTATATGCAAAATATCAATAATTCTATTAATATTAACTTTCTAATTATTTTTAATGTATAAAAAAATATTTTTAAATTTTGAAGGTACTTAGATTTAAACTCAAAACCTACAAAATAATATAGATAAAATTTAACCACAAAGTCATACTCTTGTACTAATACATTAATGTAAAATAAGTTTTATATATAAATAATTTATACATAACATAAATAAATAATGACCCCAATTTAGATTGGGCCCTGGGCGGTCGCCCCTTTCGCCCAGGCCCAAGGACGGTTCTGGTCTCAACAATATACAATATTACTACAGACAACACATTGTATATGTTAATATAATACAAATACAACACATGAACATGAACTAACAACACATGCTATAGTCTGATACAACACACAACGATTGATTTTAACACATGACATACTTGTATACAACACACTTGTTATTATTAAAAAACAACACATACCTTTATTATGCACAACATGTGCGACGTGTAATACTGATATATGCTGTTTTTATATATAACACGTCTTGATATGAAAAATCAACATGCTACTGATTTGTTCAAATCAGTGCCATAATCATCATAAAATTATTTTTAATTGTGATTTTCAAAAATAATAATAGAAAACACAAAATATTTTATATAAAAATCAAAAGTATGAGTCAACATATATAAATCAATATATTTATAATATAATATATTATATTATAATTCAAGCTTTATTATATTACAACTATGTAAATATAGTCAAATATAATAATATTAAATATATTTTTTAATAAAATATTAATATCAACTATTAATTTTTTATTCTTTCTAATTATCTATTAGTATTATTTTTTTAATTCAAACCTTCAAAACTTCGTGGGTGTGTAATATTTATATTTTATTATAACACAATTTTTCAAAATAATTAATATATTTATTATTTTTATATTATTTACATAATTTTTTTATATTTTACATAAAATTTATTCTTTTAAAGTATTTTACAAAACAAATACACCATCTACTGAGTTAATTCTTAGACACCATTTACTGAGTTAATTCTTAGCAATAAAAATTCCTCTTTTCTACCACTCGACCAAATTAAATTTAACTGGAGGGCTTGGACATGGGCCGGGCCCAAATTTAAAAGAGGAAAAGTAATATTAAAGTAATATTGGGACAGGCTTACACGTGTGCAGAATCTCGTGGGGCAGCTCACCTGACTTACCCACCCCACCCCCCCACCTGATTTCCTCACCAACACACCGCAACGCGCCTTGTCCTTCGAAACCCATCTCTTTCGTTCATTCTCCTTCTTTTTCTTTTCTAAAATTTTCTTCCCAGAATCAAAAAAGGTCCCATCGAAGTAAAATAATTGAAGACATCACAGGAAAAGGAGAATCAGAATAACACTTGCTTCATAAACTACAATCTCAAATGGGTCTGATTCATTATTCTTGAAAACGAACCGAGGAGCAAATTTCCTTGTTCTAGAACCACCCCCTCCCCCCACCCCCGCCTTTATTTTCATGACCAAACGGCCTAAATCTGCGGGCATTCAGATTCTTCGCATTTGTCATGTTTCTTGAATTATTTGAAAAGAGGAAAAAGATAAAAAGGGTGTAGGGGCCGCTAGCATTTACTCTTTTTCTCCTTCAATTCTTTTCGGGAAATGGTTTTCATCTTAAAAATGGACATTTTTCGTGTGATTTAGTTGATTATTCGTAATGGCCGAGGTTCCCGTGGAGAAAATCGTGGAGATTAAGGGAGAAGATGGAGAGGGGAGGAGTGGCATTGTTTCTGGTGACGAATCCTCGAATTCTGACGTTACTGTCGAAATCTCAGATAAGAATACGAGTTCTAACTCCTCAGGTAATTTTCTTGGTTATCTTTTCTGGAGGAGATCAATGTTGGGGTTTTGTACATATGAATTATGATTGTTTCTTGGTGCTATAAGTCATCAATCTCTGATTATAGCTTGAGGGTATTGTGAGATTCATGCTTTTGTGTTTTCTGTGAAGTTGAAATTGTAAGAGAAATAGGAAAACTGTTTCATTGCCATTCACCGGTTTTAGGATATAGCATGGATGTGATTAGGATTAAAATTTGGTGTAGAAAATCACCAGTTCGAGTTTGAATGTTCGATGAGGATTAAAGATTGAAGTTTAATTTGAGATTGGTTTGGATTTAGGAGATTTAAGTCATCTATGATGATGGAATTGAGTGGCCAACTTGGTTTATAATTGGATGTGTTTCATTCCCTTCTGCTCGGTACTTTGCTTGATGTCGATTTGTTCATTGGAATAACAAGATTTGCAATGTTCCAAAAAAATTTGGTTAGTTGATCATGTCTTCATTTGATGTGTTTCATTCCCTTCCACTCAGTCCTGTCCTTGTTGTCAATTTGTTTCATGGGAATCATAAGATTTGAAACAGTGATCGGTTCCACAAAAATGTGGTTAGTTGATCTTGTCTTTACAGAGAAGCTGAGCGTGTTAAGTTTTCGAATTTGCGAACAATCAGAATCTCGAGTTATGAAGAAACTACATAGTCGATGCACTGCAGGGTGTGCTGACTATGATTTCATGTTAAAATTCAACTATGTGCTTTTGAAGGGATTCAATTGTTATTGTTTGGACACACAGTAAAAGTAGTTTTCATAGCTACGCTATATGCTGTATGCTGTTAATTTCAAACACCTAACCTCTAAAAGTGGTGTTATTACGTCTTGATGGGCAACTTCTTAAATTCATTAAATGTGTTGAAGACTTTTATTAGGTAACTGTCCAACCAACTGAGAGGATTCTCTCTTTAAAGCCACATGGCCTATGAAAGAACTTTATATAATTGCATATTTGCCAATTCCCAGCTACTGTTTCGAATACATGAAGACATAAGACTCTTTTTATGGTACCTGCAATGCTAGTCTTGACAATGGGTGTTGAATTCGGATTGAAGATGATATCTTTCCAAGTCGGTATCGGCTATGAAAATCTTAGGTTGTCCCTACAGTTGGTTTTGGATAACTTTATAATTTAGAGTATGAAATTATTCATGATTTGATTAATGTTTTGGGTTGGGAATGCAGCCTTTGCCCCTAGATAATTGATAAGGTTTCGATTTTTTATTTGTGTATTTCTGGCTTAATGATAAATGTTTTTGTTTACCTATTATAAAATGTTTAAATGTATCATTTTTGGTAATTCTAATTCATATTGCTTAGGATCTGCTGACAGGAATCTGTATTCACATAAAATCGAGTCCATGGAAAAATCACAAGGTAATTTGAATCCTTCCACCGGCGAGTGTACTGAGAATGAGAAGAACAAGCCACATCACTCCTTTACTTTGTGGGTGAAGAAGTTTTTAGATGAAAAAGCCTCCCCGAGGAAAAAGGTTAGCTGCATTGTTAGACTATTGTTCGTTAATGTTCATCTCGTGAAATGCAATCTTGTTCTGCATTTCCCTTCAGCTCTGTCATTGTGATTTGATCGTACTCCAAACCAGACTTATAATTAAAACATTTCAAAATGCTTTGAATCTTAAAGCTGATTGACAACAGAATGAAGCTGTTTCATGTTATTTATTTATTTATAGATCTGATACCGATCATATCTTATAGTAAATCGGTATGATAGGGAGTTTTCTGTCCTTATTTGTTGTCATATGCACTGATAAGTGATAACATATATCTTGCTTTTAAAGAAGAACAAATGTTAATCTGTTGTGTGTTCTCTTTATTTTTTTCTTTTACACTTTTTCCTAAAAATATTAATATATCACACACATTTATTATTTTTATATTACCTATACATTTTCCCATACTTCACACCAAAAAATACTCATTCAAATTATCTCACAAAACAAACACACTTAATGTTTTCGGTTTCTCAGTTCTACAATCATTTAGGGTGTATTTGGTTGTGGATGTGATTTTTTGGTTTAGATTTTTTGAATAGTAAAAGTTTTGTTTGAATAGTTGTTTGATGTGATTGGGGTTGTCCTTGACTTTCAAGGGCCTCAGGCGAAAAAATATTGGGTCCCCATTTACTGTTTTTTAAAAGAATAATTTTAAAATAATATATTTTTAAATATTTATAGTTTTTATTTATTTATAATTAATATATAATTAATAAGTGTATTAGTAAAAATAATTATTGTATAATATAAATAATTATATATTAAAATTAAAATAACTAATTAATTTAATTAAAATCAAGAAAATGATAGATTATGAAATTTAAAATGTGATAAAAGTATATAATTATTTTTTTGAAAAAAAGACAAATTATGTGGGACCGACGAAAATGAAAATATTAGAAAAATTATGTGGGACAGAGGGAATAAAATCTTAATCCTATATTTATTTATGAAAGGTCCCCCAAGGGGCCCACGATATAAATATTGATATGATATTTTGAATACACTGAATATGATATAAACCTATATTGATGTGATATTTTGAATGTAAAATTGATTTTTAGTATAATATAGAAAATGAAAAATAATTGTTTGATTTGATATTTTTTAAGGAAAAAAATAAATCGAGTAGTAAAAATCTTGTAAAAAAATATACAAAAGAACACAACCTAGTTTTTAAGGTTTTCATTTCACCCTGTACTGTTTCATATGTTCGTCCTACATTTTTCGGATATTCTTATTTCTTTGTTTTTATAAAAGATGATCTTGCAGTACATAAAACTAGTTATTCTAATAGGGTGAACTTGTCTTGCATCTTGGCAGCTTAAATGGTTGAAGCGGTTTGCAACAATTCAAAATGATGGCACTGTAAAATTTGATCTTCCAGGCGACATTGGACAACAGACCCTTGATTTTGGTACAGAAACCATATCCCATGATGATACAGATACTGAAAAAGATGCACAATTTCTGCGTCCACTTCAAATTGTCATGCTAATTGTTGGAACAAGGGGAGATGTACAACCATTTGTCGCCATTGGAAAACGTTTACAGGTTAGATCTCAACTACAACCATCATTGAAGCTTCTTTTTTCTTTAAAATATGCCTCTTCGATTACTTTGCAAAGTAGCATTGCCACATTGTATTTTCTTTTATGTATCTGATTGAACCCTTGTTTCCTGGAGCTCAATTACTCTCTCGTGTTTTGAGCAGCACTAATTTTTTATTGTGTTATCTTGAGATGGCATTTTTTCTTTACTACTGCTGATAGTGTTTTATTCAATAATTACCGCCAGATTTTTTTCTTTTTCGTCAACTTTGAAATACCAATCTGTCATGCCAATGCTTGTTGGGATGGATTTTAGGCTGCAAAGTTTTTTCGATGTAATTAATATATTTTTTTGCTACTATTCTTTTGGATGTTTCTAGGTTTTATTGTCTACCTTCATTTCCTATTTTTTGTGAAATAATCTGTTAACGGTTTCATGATGGTGTTGTTTGGCAGTCGGATGGTCATAGGGTGAGACTAGCCACTCACTCAAATTTCAAAGAATTTGTCAGGTCTGCTGGATTGGAATTTTACCCCCTTGGTGGAGATCCGAAAGTCCTTGCTGCATGTGAGTTCTTTATTACAACATAGTTATTTCTCTTCTGCTTCTTGCGTTATTTTCCGGCGGTGTGTTTTCTCACAATTAAGCATTATTTAACAAGTGTCCTGTGACTTGTTTGTATCTTCTCGTGAAAGCTAAAACGACATCACTAAAACTCTTTTAGTTGAACATTTTCCGGTTTTGTAAGGTTCTGGCCTTTTTATTTGTTGTAATTAACTAGCACCTTATGCTTAGCAGAATATTGAAAGAGCTGATAGTTTCATTACACTAAACTAATTTACATAATTTGTAATCTTCTACACTTCTGTTTTTCTGCAGACATGGTAAAAAATAAAGGGTTCTTGCCATCTGGACCTTCTGAAATACATATTCAACGGAACCAAATAAAAGATATCATCTTCTCCTTATTTCCTGCGTGTACAAATCCTGATCCCGAAACCGATATTCCATTCAAGGTGGATGCTATAATTGCCAATCCCCCTGCATATGGTGAGATATTCCCATCAGTCTATCAATATGTTTTTTATTTGGTTTTTGTTGTACTTCTTTTCTTAACTTTTTTTTTTATGCCAAAGCTCTTCATAATTAGCTATTGATAATGTGAATATGGTCTTAATGGATGAGATCGTTGTCACTTGACTCTCTCTCTCTCTCTTGCGCACACACACATATAGATTCATCCTCTTGTTTAGTTTACAAAATATTGCGAAGAAATATAGAAAACAACTGTGAGTTGTTGATATTGCACCCGATTGTGCTGTTGTATTCCCACCATTTTGATTAAAGTTTTATATTGATGTTTTTAACTGGAGAGAAAAGGTCATTGTGTCACCCTTGATTACTTACGGTGCTTATAAATTGTTTCCTCTACAACTTTTGGCTGATCTATCTTCCTTGTCTTGCTTCCGTTTTGTTACATTCCCATAATTTACTTTTTTATATTTTATCTCATGGAGATCAGCATTAGTTGTGCATTTTCTGACCTTATGGAGAATTTTGTATCGAGAGAGTTCAATTTCATTCATTTATAGTTTCTTTTGTGGTGCAAAGCGCACAAAAGTTTCATAGCCAAGAGATCTTTAGGACATTGTGATTCTTCGGAACTTTGATGACACTTTATTCTGATTGCTACTCCTACTTATTCAGGACACACACATGTTGCTGAGGCATTGAATGTTCCAATACACATAATTTTCACTATGCCGTGGACGTAAGTTTTTCATAATATTCGCTTGTAACTTTTTGACACCAGCCCTCAAAATTCCACCTTATTTACCTTGGGATATCTCTTTTAATTTCTTCAAGTTTGTTGCTTCACAAGGACATATTTTGTCTACTTATGCTATTTTTTTTTTCACTGTTCTTTTACCTGCCATTTGCAGACCCACAAGTGAATTTCCTCATCCTCTCTCTCGCGTTAAGCAATCAGTTGGATACCGAGTGAGTTTATGCACTAATGCCTACTCACACGGTTTGACTCAAACCATGATTAATTCAATCATGTTTATATTTTTATATTTTTTATTCTGCAGGTATCATATCAAATTGTTGATTCTCTAATATGGTTGGGAATACGTGACATGATAAATGAGTTCAGAAAGAAAAAACTAAAACTACGGCGCATAACTTATTTGAGCGGTTTCTATAGTTCTCATCCTTCAGTTCCTTATGCGTATATTTGGAGTCCTCACCTTGTTCCAAAACCAAAAGGTAAGTCCTCTATTCACGTGGTTACATAAGTTAAGCATTGAATTTACTCTGAATGCCATAAAACCCGCAGGGTTTCTGAATGATTGACTTTATTAATCTGTATCTACTTGTAAATCTCACCCTCATTTGCATGTGTAATCTCACGCTCATTGGCTTCAAACCTAACGTACTGCTCTAAATTTTTCTGTATGGCTTCTTGAACTGTTTGGTTAAATACACTTTACTGATATTTCTGAGACTGCAGATTGGGGAGCGAATATCGATGTGGTGGGGTTTTGCTTTTTGGACCTTGCTTCAAGCTATGTACCACCAGATTCACTTGTGGAATGGCTAAATAAGGGCCCGAAGCCAATTTACATTGGGTTTGGAAGTCTCGTAAGCACCGCTTCTTACTTCTCTATTTCAATTTCGTTGTTGTATTTATTTTACTCAATTCATTATCTGTAAGGTGGTTTGATATTAGATGCGACTGTTTCTTGATTCTTGTAATGTGAATTACAGAAATGTGTTTACTAATATTATTACCTATTAGTAGCGCCGGTTACACACATTCCTCTTCTGGATAACACTTGTGACAACCATTGACTTAAAATCTTTTCATCCAACGCAATGATCTGTATGTGTGCTTCTTTAGAATCTCCTGCTAGAATTGTTATATGATATTGCATTTCCTCTAAACATATCAAGAAAGTATGAGTCATGCGTACTTGTGGCTTATTGCCTGTAGTTTTTCTCCATACATACATCTATCCACCTCGGCCCTTTCTACAGTTTCTAAGAAACACTGAACTCCATTTAGATATAAGTTTTGGAGTTTTGGAACATTTTGAGAATAGTAAAAAGTTGAGTACTTGATGTGATGTTTTATGCGAGGAAAAATTATTGTTGATAAAGAATGCCAAAAGTTTCGAAAATGTTTATGTAAACAGAACGTCTTTCTATTGTCCGGAAATAGGGAAATAGCCTAAAGGCCCTATTCGGTCATCTACTAAATAGGAAAATAATTGTTCTATGTCATTGCCTAAAGACCCGAGGGGCTTCAGTGTTTCTACTTATATGCTGTTGTTTTGTGTCATAACATTGTATAAAAGAACAGGCTATTATAAGGTAATCGATTTTGGCGTTTTGATCGTTGATGCACTAACTGTATCATGTTTGCCTGTCCTCCAGCCTGTCGAAGAACCCGAAAAGATGACTGAAATAATCGTTCAAGCTCTTGAAATTACCGGGCAGCGTGGTATCATAAATAAAGGATGGGGCGGCTTGGGAAACTGTACGTCTTCTTTATATTTCATTTCATCTATAAAATTCAAATTTGATCCGAGCGATTCTTTCTCAGTGGCAGAGCCAAAAGATTTCGTCTACTTACTGGATAATTGTCCCCACGATTGGCTGTTTCCTCGATGCTCGGCTGTGGTAATGCAACTGTTCTATTTTCACAAATCGAAGAAATCCAAGTCCTCTTTATTTATGTCAAAGGGTTGCTATTTTGATCGATTCGTCTGGTCTCGATAAATATCTTCATTCGGAAATGCAACAGTTTTCTTTTTCACAAATCCGACTCGGATTTTTGTTACCTATTTCCAGGTCCACCATGGAGGTGCCGGAACTACAGCTGCCGGTCTTAAAGCTGCCGTAATTACTACTGCCTTTGGCTTAACTAAAACTTCTTGAAGATTAATATACATATATTTTTTTTTGTATTCGATATTTGTATTTATAGGTGTTATGCAATGCAGTGCCCGACTACGGTAGTTCCCTTTTTCGGAGACCAACCATTTTGGGGCGAGCGGGTACATGCCAGGGGAGTAGGCCCGGCACCTATCCCGATTGATGAGTTTTCGCTCGACAAACTGGTTTCCGCCGTTCGGTTCATGCTGGATGCTAAGGTAAGGTATCGATCAAATTATTTGTGGCGTTTCATCACAAGTTCTTCGATTATTCGGATTGAATTGGATCGGATTTGTGAGTGACAGGTGAAAGAACAAGCTGAAGAACTGGCGAAAGCGATGGAGAACGAAGACGGTGTTGTAGGGGCAGTGCAAGCCTTTTACAAACACTTTCCGGACAGGGAGAGGGAGGTCGGCCAGTGTCGAAAACTGCGGCCAGAGTCATCGTCGTCGGTTCATTTCTTTTCGATTAGACATTGGCTTGGCTGTTCGGGGTCGGGGATGGACCATAACCAGCATCACTGAGGCATCGATGATCTTCTTCTTCTTCTTAATATTCTTCTTTGTTGAGTTTAGTTTCTTCTAATCATTTATATGAAAATGTCAAAATGCATCAGTGGGACATGATAGATATCATATGATGGATGAACATGGGTACATTTCTTTTGCCCAAAATTCCAAATTTTTACTATTTGGACCTGTGTTTCTCTGTACAATTTGGGCTGATGGTATTTATTTATTTATTAATTTAGTTGGAGATCGAACAAGGCATGTGCCTAATGAGAATGTAGGTGTTTATTTGACATTGTATTTTGATTCACTTAAAGCAAATTTCAAAATAATATCGTGTGTGTTTGATCGGCTTTCAGCCAAAGTGGATACTATGTTTATTTTTATTTTTTAAAATAGTATATCATATGGGTCTACCCAATTTTATTCATTCCTAAATATCTAAAAACAACAAAACTCACCTATAAAAAAGCATATATGCTGATAAAACAAACTTACAAAATAATAAACTCAAAAAAATAAAATAAAATGAAAGATCCCCAAAAGAAAGTCCCAAGTAAGTAATAATCCGTCGTATAGTTTATTATCGCAGCAAACACGTTAAACCGAGCCGCCACCAGACCCGAACCAGCAACCAACCGGTCCAAACCGGCGGTCCGCAGGCCGGTCCGATCCGATTACAGCAAACACGTTAAAAACACAGGCAGACACTCATAATTCAGACACAACACACTTAACTAGTCAAATTATTCCAACCCCCCCCCCCACCCACCCCACCTCCTCTATAAATAGAAACTATCATCATCTTCATAACTAATAATAATCAAAAATAGAAAGTCTACAGTTACAGAGATCGTACCTGCTTCCAAAGCTTGATCCACTCCGCCATGGCATCCGCAGCTCTACCAAACATCTCATTCTCAGCCCCCAATCTCCCCTTCACCAGCACCGCAATTTCCGACACGCAGTCCTCCGCCGTCGCCGCCGTTTCCGACAACCTTATTGACTGAAAGAACGGGACAACATCTTCCATTACCCGCACCCCTTCCCACTCCTTCTTCAAGCTCGCCACCGCGCTGCCCCGCTCCTTCCTCCAGACATACGGCAGCCCGCTTTTCACGCCAAGCCTTAAATGATCGGAGACAACCTTAACGCACATTCCTGTCCATATATCTTCCATTGTCTCCCACCGCAGATTCCCTTCCTTCGCCAGCCTAAACGCCGGGACAAGAGCAGGCCCGATTAGCTCGTTGTTGAAACCTACGTTGATTCCGCTCACCGGCAGCATTGTCCTAGCGGGGACTGTAAGAACCGCGTCGACGTACCTTGAATTTTTCTGGTCCGGCTTCAGGACCTGCGTGGGCGCGTCGTAGTCGGCTAGGTTAAGCCACAGTCCACACGACAGCGCACATTCCACGCCAGTTCTAAGGCTGAACGGGTACCCTCGAACGAAATCGGATCCGTCGCAGAACGGGTCGTAGAGCGTGTTGAAGAAGAAGGGAGTGGCCGGGGTGCTTAGGTTGGTAAGATGCTGTGCCACGGCGTCGATTGGATAACCGTTTGGGTCTTTTGCCGGAACGCAGTCGTCGTCGATGGAGATGATGTACTTTTTCTTCGACATGAGGTAGCCGAAGTAGCGGCAAGAGAAGCCGGAGAAGGAAATTGAACTTGTCGAGCCGGCTACCTTTTCGATGTCGGATTTTTTGTAGAGTGTCAGGTTGAATCCTTCTGGAATTTTGACATCATCTTTGAGGTCGGGATCTTGAACGATGATTAGATGGAACTGGGAAAATACAGGCCGCCATGCTTCCATGAACGACGTAAGATCAGGTTGGAGGGCTCCGATGACAATGTCCACCTCTTCGTTCTTGATGACAGCTTCAGACATGGTTCTAGGTCTTCTGCAAGAATCGAATATTTAGAGATTCAGATTGAGTTTGTTTTATGGAGAGGCCTAGGATGTAGCTTTTCGTTATAGATGAACAATTGTTCGAAGTTAGGTATTAAGAATCGAAAACTCAATAAAAAGATCAAATTCATCCATACAATACAAATAGAGATGGGCAAATTATAGTTCAAACTGTAAATCAATCATACATTTACTGTTAGGTATATGATTTGAACATCAAACTATGATTTTCGAACTATAAGCCATAATATAACATCCATTAAAATAGAATAAGACATTAAGGTTGTGTACTTTTGTGGGTTTTATCGCATATTTTTACTATTCAGATTCTTTTTCCCTCAAAAAAAATATCATATCAAGCAATTACTTTTCTTTTTTATATTATACAACAAATTTGTTTTACATTCAAAACATCACATCACTTTTTATTTATATCACATCAAACAACTATTCAAATTCAACTTTTTACTATTCAAAAATCCAAACCCAAAAATTAAAACCCACAAACAAACACACCCTAATTTACTGAGATACAAATAATGTATACACACTTACATAAAAATCATGTTAATTTATTTAGCAAAATCTCAGTAAAATCATGTTAGTTAACAGATAAACATCAAAGTCGCTGTCTCGTAGGAGGAACATGAGGTTTTTCGTATATTTTCGATGACCAGCAAAAAAGATGTGGCCTCTGGTTTCTGTGAAAAAATTCGAGGGAAGAACAAATTTCCCCATCTTCATTATAGTGTCTTCTCAAGGTATAGAGAATATCAGACTAATGGAGATTTTAGTATCATGCAAATCTCTAGAATACACTAATATCTTATTATATAGTTATGACTTTGTGTATGTTATGGTTGACCGAAAAAACCACAGTTGTGATAGTTTTAGGCTCTAAGTAAGGTAGTGTTAAATTAACTTTCAGTTTTCTACCTAGCTATCTCAGCCTCAGTTTCTTGAATTTCTGTTGGTTTGCATTTTGCATTGCTTCATCGTTAACTAATCGTGGTTTGTCAACATGGCAAGTAATCACCAATCATATTCAGAAAATTTGGAGTTGGCACAAAGCCATATGAAGGCTGTGATCATAATGGGCAAAACAAAGTCTACCCCTGCTCGATGAGCATGAGTATCATATAATTTGAGATGCTAATGCCTTATTATCTTCAAAATTTTTGAAGATCTGTTTATAAACAGACAATTTTGGAACTTTTGGCAGTATTCAGCTATTGTAATTTTTTCAAAAACATCATATTAAACACATCTTTTCTATCAAAGAACCTCACGTCAAATACTAACTTTTTACTATTTAGGAATTTTTTTTTCAAAATCCCCAAACTCCAAAAGTCCCTAAGTAGCTAAAATATAGGGCTCTTTCATTACATTTATTTTATCTGATTCCATCATAAGTTGAAGTGCTAGATTATAGTTCATATAGGGCTCTTTTATTCAAATAAAAATTTAAATGAACATTGATGTCTGTCTGTGATATCTTTGTTCATGATTGAGAACCAAAAACATTGATTTAGTTATTATCCATTAACATCATAGCTTAAAGTAAATCCAATGCAGTAAAAATAACTACAACTCAAAAAAAGGCAGAGGTTGTGCTTAATTGACAAAAAATCCCTTATATCATGTAAAAATCTTTCTCATTTAACTGAATTTTTGAATTCCTATTGTCTTAGCCATAAACAGCCTGCCACATAGTTCTAATCACTACTTAGTTGAGAAATATAGGTATCACAGAAAAAGCATGCCCCAATTAACAGCAAACTTAAAAGTCTAGCCAGAGTAGACATAATACACAAGAAAAATGTCAACAGACAAGATGCAAATGCCAAAAATTGGTCTCTCTAAGTTCTTGGAGAAAGTTCTCACACATAAGAATTACACAATGGCCAAGAGAGTTTAAGTGAATAAGAAGACCTCAATATCAAGCATTCTGAGGCAATGACACAAATAATTTAATGCCATCCACACATATTCATTGAAACAATAAGGTCATTAAAAGAGTTTTCAACTAATCCATACTCTTCGTACCACGGATATCATGCTGCAAACAAATGTTTTATTTTGATTTTAAAACCCATTTTCGCACAATTCAATTTATCATTTTTACTTGAATAACATCACATTCACCCATTTTTCATTCAAAGGATTACATCCAAAAATTATTTTCACCCCAAAAACATAAAAATCCGAAACAACAAATTGAAACCAACACAAAGGTTGTCTATTTTGAAACATTATAGCTATTCCAAGTTTCATAAGATATTTCGAGTGATTTACAGAATTCAATCGTCGCAACTGGGCACAACAGTACTTGGATATATCATTCCAACAATACAGATTTGTAGACACATAGGATTTGTTAACATATTATATACAGTCATTCATAATTGAATTCTGACCAAATTTTGCCAGGACTTCCCATACGTGTCAGCATCTAGCTTGCTGAACATCAGGAATTATTTTAGTTTGGCCCGAAACCTCAAATCTTATAAAATAAAACAAAATAAAATAATCAATTACCAATATATATTAAGTTGAAAATATCGGGAAAAGTTACATTAGATTTAAAAAGATAGAAAAACATACTTACATCAAACAATGACCGATGCAGATTCAGCATAGATCACATCATGGTTTTGCATGTTCACTTTCAAATTATAGAACGCCGTTGAGCACAAGTGTTTCAACAAAGGAATCAAGGACAGTTAACCTCTATATTCCTCCAAAAACTGCACCAATGCAGTTCTTACCCTAGATTCTATTAGATTCGTGATCCAGCCAAACACAACAAGGTTCCAAACCGCAAATATATAAATTAATAAATATAATTCATATGTGCATAAAAATGCTTGTGTGTTCTTTATCACTCTCTCATTCTTGCATTCTCAGTTTCATGATTTCCATTTCAACGCCTAAGAGGATTGAATTTTACTATTTCAAATGCGTTAGATCAACTCATCGATCAAATTACCCGGCAAACAGATACAAAATCATAGCCATTATAGCTCAAATGAAAGATGCACAACAAAATCAGAAACAGGAAAATCTATTCACTCAAATCAAATCCACTCCAAACAGTGCGAAACAACACAATAAACCAAATAATAGCACAGCAAGGGAAACGTTTAATGCACAGAGAAATTTCATTACTAATTCCCATAATTTCACTTCCTTTTTCAAATTAAATCCACCAACGAATACAAGAAAGCCATCTACAAAACCTTCGAAAAATGGCTGGATCAAACACCGATCACAAAATCAAGACAAATTCATGTCGCAACAACCAAAAAGGGATCGTAAAAATGGCAAAAACTACAGCATCGACGAAATTCATATAGATCGACCTAAAACGGAAATTAAAACGAAACATACCAGGAAGAGCTGGAGAAGAATGTAGTCGGGGAGAAATGATAGATCGATGGAAGGATATGCGAGAGAAATCGATGAGAGGACAACACAGTCGATTCCGAATGGGCGAATTTCTCTTCTCATTCATACACTACTATACCTCCTTCCCCTCTGATCCCGCTATTTCCAAATCATGCGCTTTCGTTTTTTGCTCCCATTAGTATAAAATAATAATAATAATAATAATAATAATAATAATAATAATAATAGAATTCAGATCAGATCTATACGTAGTTGTTCTCCCCGTCAACTTTGCCTTCATTGCAATTAATTCCAATAAAGTTTTTTTTTTAAATTTAAATATAAAAAATAAAAAATAATTATAGGTAATTTTAAAAAATTAATTAGTACTTTAAAGAGAATGAGTCAAAATATAATAAAATTGTATTTTATTGTAAATAAATATTAAATTGAAGAATAATAATTAAATATTAATTTTAATATTTTTCCAAATATATAATGGGATAAATTTAAATGATGACGAAAAAAAAAGTGAAAATAAATTTGGCAGACCGAGTTATAATTTTATTTATATGAATATTTTTCGATTTTTTTATTCTATTAATTAACAATATATCTTTTTTTTTAAAAAATAAATCATCAAATATTTATTATTTTTTTTATAAAAAATTACATAAAATATTTAAATTTTTTTTAACTTCTAAATTTTTTCAAACCTATATTATTTGTTTCTATTTAAATTTTTTGTTTAATATTTATAATTTTAAGGTTTTTTTTTTTTTTTTTTTTTTTTTTTTTTTTTTTTTTTTTAAAGATATGAGAAATAGAAAAAATATTATACTCTTATTGACTTTTTCGTGCTTTCGTAATACAATATAACAGTCCCTTCGTCCCGCGAAAGATATCCTTTTGTTAGGGACAAGGTATTTTAGGTAGGGTAGGTTATTAAATTATTAATAATAAATTACGATAATATTTTATTATTTTCTATATGTATAGTGTTGTTTGTATTTTAAATATTTTTAAAATTATATCTCAATGCAATATAGATATTATTTTTGTAGACAATAAAATGTTCTATAATACAAATGAATACAAATATATATTTATTTATTTATTATTACCATAAATTAGTTTTATAAAAAATTAAGAAGTTTTAAAGATAGATAAAAATATTTGTTAATCGAACAGATAGATAGAAATAAAAGAGTTTTGAGTGAGTCCTAAGTGTAAAATATTAAAAATTTAATTAAATTAATTTATATTTGTTAAGTATATTTAAGAGTGATAAATTTATCAAAAATAAAAATAATCATCTTTTGTGCAACGTAAAATATATATATATATATATATAGAGTAATATATGGCGGGGCGGGACGAAGGGAGTATTATTTTATAATCAAACATAAACAAATACGCCCAAGGTGGCAATTAATAAATTATCAACAGGCAAATAGGTAATGGATACGCTGCTGCCGAATTGGCAAAATTCAGCAATGATAAATGTCCACTGCCAATGGACTGTGTGAAAATGGCCGTCAACTTATATAATATGAGTGTTTATTTTGCATAATAATAGTGAATAAAATTATTTTAATTATATAGTACTCGATCCGTCTCAAATATTGTGTCTGCTACACCATAGATACGGTATTTTAAGAGGGGTGTAATTAGTAGATAATTAATAATGTATTAGTAAAAATAATTATTTTATAATATAAATAATTATAAATTAAAATTGAGATAACTAATTAGTTTAATTAAAATTAAAAAAAGTTTAAAAATTTAAAATGAGATTAAAGCGTGTAATTATTTTTTTAAAAAAAGAAAGTGACATAAGTATGTGGAACGGACAGAAATGAGAACGTGAACATGGTATTTGGGACGAAGGGAGTATTTACTATCTATTATTATAATTCGTAATTAAGTAAAATTTGATATAATAGTAATATATTAAAGATTATTTATTCTTTTTCTTTTAGATAAGATTAAATAATAGTATTAATATTAAAAAGATTAGTTGATCTTTTATTAAGAGTAAACTTAAAATTATTTTATCATTAATTAAAGATATTTTAGAAAAAAAATTATAATTTTATACAATAATCTATTAAAATAAATATTTTATTATTTTATTGTATAATCATATTTTATTTTAAGTGTTTTTATTGTAAAATATAAAAATTTATAAAAAAAATACTATATTTTGTATATTTTATTAACTTTTATTTATTTATTTTTATTGACTGTTATAATATATATTGTATTATTTATAATTTTTTTTATTTTTTTAAATACTAAAATCTACATTAAATAATAGTATCACAATCTAAAAGTAACAAAATTAAAAATAAAACCACAACTTGTATTATACATAATCTCTTTTAATGGCCATTTCATTCTATTAATGACAATAGAATTACATGTTCATATCACCACAAAGATCCTAAAAAGATTATACTTGACTTGAAGAACCGCCGCCGTTGATGTCGCCACGCTCGCCATTTTCGATCATCTTACTTCTACGATCTTTCACTATAGTTAGAACATTCTCGAACCACACAATCCATTCGTTAATCTGATTACCATCTAAACTCTCGACAGGGATTTCTTCCCACCAACCTTTAGAACGAGTCGTATCCATCTCATCGAGCCGTTTTTCTGTTTCCATTAATTGATTTTTAGCATCCAAAATCTCATCAAGTTGTTGATTGAGTTGCTTGATCCGCTCTCGAGTATAAGCCTCGATCAGTCGAGTATAATCATCAACAGGGATATTCGGATTTCTGTATTTTTCCAGCACAGATTCCATGTTTGGATGAAAAAAAGAAAAAGGTTTGTTTGTCGGAGAAGATATAATTATTCCAATGTCAACACCACAAAGGGTGCTAAGTTCACTGGATTTTTTATACAGACCAAGACGACGCTTTGAAAATGTGGCATAGAGATCGTCCATATTTTCAATGCGCCTTATTGGAATTCTTTGCCGACCTCTAGTCTGTCTGCCAGCCATTTTATAAAATTGAAAAAGTAGAAAAATTAAATTTCAAATATACGTAAAGTTGCGATGATTATCGATGCTTTGGGATGGTTATTTATAGGAGAGTCTTTTTTCGATCGAGAAAATTAATGCTATTTAATAATATATTATATTTTAGTTTTGACGAATATGTGCATAATTTGTAAATGGATTTTATTTGCCATCGTCGGCAAATTATATTTATTTTCGTACGATTTTAATTATTTGTATTGTATATTATCTATTAGTCGGAAAATATAATTTAATGCTGTTACGATAATTTGTAAAATTTGGTATATGACTAATATATTTGTGGCAAATGAACCTTTGTTTGAAATATTGCATGCAACCATAAATTTTACGACAAGGAAAATATAGTTTTAAAATTATTATGAAAATTTTTAATATATAATCAATCATTTCTATTTTTCATAGCAAACTATATATGGTGTGAATAATTGATGAAATTCAAAACTTAATTCAACAGCACAAATTATATTATAATGTGATCATATCAACTATATGATATTTAATTTATATAAGTGCAATCATTTTGTATTTTTAGGTGAATATATATATATATTTATATTAGGTATGAGAAACATATAAATAATATTTTAGATTGAATTTTACGAGTGAATAAAATATATATTATATATACACTACAAGAAAATATTATTTTTGTAACAAGGTTTTTCGGTCTCTAAATCCAATTTTTCCGTTACTAATGACATTAGAGACGGAATCAGAGATGAAATTACGTTAGCTACGTGAACTTTAGGGACGAAATTCCGTTACAAATATACTATTATTTTGTAGTGATATAATGTTAATGTGTATAATAACACTAATTTACACAATTTATCCAATTTCAAAATAATAGATATTATAATTTACTTCAAATATGCATATTAAATTTCCTTGGAGATCTAATGAAAATTTCATAACATTTAAATAGCATAGATATATCTACCTAAATTTCACTGGATATCAATAACACAAAAGACAAAAAAATGGAAAAAAAATAAATTTATTTGCTAATTTTAAAAGTGATTATTTTGTATTGATGATTGAGATATTTTTGACACTATATATACACATCCTTGGTTAATTCTATAATATACTCAAATTATAGATACAAAAATACATATTCATACCAATATGTCGGGGCCACAGTCGGTTGCCCTCATATTGTTCAATAATATGTATGAAGAATACGATCCTATATACATTCAATTCTATCCCAGTAGATATAATGATAGTAAGATCGTTTATGAACTGACAAGAGGCGAGCGACTTGATCCAATAAAGCTAGATGAAATTGATACAAAATATTACATTAAAGTCTATAGTGATGTGAAGGGAGCGATATTCAACGCATATATACCCGACCAAGACAGTGACTATTCAGTCATTTTCTTACGTTTTACTGACAACGTAGTCGAGAAGAGCTATGACAACATTGACTTCAACGTTATGACAAATTGGGGTGATGAGTAAAGATATTGAAGTTGTGTATGAAAAAAATGTTGATTGAATAATATTCCCTTAAGGTGTTGCCAATAATGTTGCCCATTGTTGCTTTGGATTTATGATTCTATGCAATAAATAATATAGTATTTGAATAATATTACCTTAAGGTAATCTCAATGTTTCTATTTTTTTTTTTTTTTTTCGGATTTTATGATTCTATGCAATAAAATAATTTTTTTTCGATTATTTGAAGTATATTCTACATTGTTTAAATTAGGATGTTAGCATTGTAATATATATACATATATATATATATATATGGTTCATTACTCAATAAAATAAATAATTGATCATGATAAATCAATTTATATAGAACTTTATGAGGTACTCAAGCAATTGGAGATATGATTAATGAAAATTATCACTTGGTAAAATTAACAGCACATTTTACTTAGTACTGATTGTTTTTATAGCTTGGATTGGTATGAATTGGAGTTTCTTTTTGTATTATATATATATATATATAGATATATTGATTAATATTTTAGATAAACAAAAAAAGAAGATAGGGTTACATTTGTTTGTGATTTTATTTTACTTTTGTTTCAATTATTCAATTTGAATTTGAGTTCCTATCTTGATATATATATTTGAACACCATTTTTAATAAAAATAGGATAATCTCTTTTTTTTTTTATTATTATTATTATTTTTTAATAGTTTTGTAACTATATTTATTTATTATTTTAGTCTTTGTAATTGAAATATGTTTTAAAATAATTTTGTAAGTGAAATTTTTTCACATTTTTAGTCCTCTGGTGCCGGAGATGTCAGCATGACACCTGCGTAGCACGCCAGAGGACACATGTCCGCCAAGTAAGCGCCATCTGGCGAACACGTGGAATTATTTTTAATTATTATTTTAAAATTTAGATGTATTTTAAAAAAATTTTAAAATAAAAATAATTTTTTTTTTGTATATTAAAAAATGAAAAATATAATAAAACTATTTTTATATAAAAAAATAATTTTTTTTATAAATTTATAAAAAATATATTTATTTTTTTATAAAAACATCAAATTTTAAAATAAATAAAATTACATATCACTTTATCAAATATAAAATTATATAATATTTTTTAAAAAATAATAAAAAAATATACAATACACTCTAAAAATAATAAAATTATATAAAACATTTAACTCTAAAAATGGAATAGAGCTAAGTGTACTAAAGGGTGTGTTTGTTTGAAGGATTTTGGAGGATTTTCACTATTCATCCAATTTTTTCCCCCCAAAAACATCAAATCAAACACCTATTTTTCATTTTTTATATTATACTAAAAATCAATTTTACATTCAAAACATCACATCAAACCCTATTTATATCACATCATATAACTATTCAAATTCAAAATTTTTACTATTCAAATCCCAATCCAAAATCCAAACCCCCAAACAAACACACCCAAGGAATAACACTGTTTTTGGAATGAAAAATAAAAAAAAATGAGATTGGATTGGAGAGAGAAATATTATGAGTTAGTATTTTGATTTGAATTTTTTATTTTGATGTGAGGTAGAAAATCATGTTGATAATATATAAATAAAAATATTTTATATTAATATTAATTTTTATACGAAAAAAAATACTTACTCCGTCCATTTTCTATTGTTCTAAAGTATATTTATACGGTTTTTTAGGTGATTGTCTTTTTGTTATGAATGGACAAATTTGCCTTTAAGTGTATGGTAGATATTAAAAGTAATAAATGAATGAAGGGTAAAAATGTAAAATTTGTGTTTAAAAAATAAAATAGGACAATAATTATTGGACGTCTTAAATAGAAAAATAGGATATTAGTTTGTGGACGGTGGGAGTATATATATATTAGAAATTGTATTGGAAAAAAACTTTGAGAAAACAAATCCACAGTATATTTTTGCTTTAGTTTACCTATTTACATATAGGCAAAATAAAATTACATTTCTAAATAAAATAATACATATTGGAATTGATTGGGAAAAGTTTAATTATAGATTTGCACTAGCTATCATAATGCTAGTAGGATTTCATAATCTTCATCTGAAAGTAATTACTATATAATCTTAAATTTTTATTTTTATTTTTTTTAATGACGTGAAAACCGTAGCTGCTAACGAAGTGTACATAAAGTAACTTTCGATCGAATATAATACCATGCAAACTAGGCCCAACAAGACAATTCACACTAGACGAACCGTAAATTTATTTATTTTTTATTTCAAATATATATACTTATAAAAGTAAACTTATGTATATAATATATTATATTAAAATACTATTTAAATAAAAATTCAAACAAAAATCGAAACAAACCCAAGTGTGTTTTTTTTTTAATTTTTCTTTATATTTTTTAATTTAATTTTTTATTTAAATAATATTTTAATTTAATATATTATAAGAATAAATAATATATTTTAATTAAAAATTCTAATAGTTGAATAGTAAAAAACCAAAAAAATTAAAATAAAAAGAGCACTTTTTTTAATCACATGTTATCATTCCCAATGAAAATACATTAATTTTTTATACATGACATCTAACCACAGTTTCACGTAAATAATTAAAAAAGTAATAAAAAATTTAAATCAAAATTGTATTGTTGTCGCAAAAATACCAAAGCGTAATAGATCGAAGCTTATTCACGCCCACATACTTTCTCAACCAAAGAATCGAGTTTAGAGTTCAAACCCTCGATGCCTACAGGTTCATCTCACACATAGTTCGCTTAGTGTGACTTGCCTTGTCGGACCTAATTTGCAAGCTATTAGGTTCGGTAGGGATTTACCCAAAGCGCACTCGAAGCATACCGGCCGCAAATTTCCACGTTATAAAAAATAAAACATAATAAAAAAATCGAGTGATGAATAAATCGTTTTACAACAAGAACAAAAACCCACAGCTAGGGAGGATGCGAACAACGCGATTTTATTTATTTATTTTATGACGTGGGAATCTGCGTTTGTTACTTTTCGAATGCACTTTGGGTAAATTGCCATCCGAACTTAATATGGAGTTGTACCGTAAGGTATGGTTATTTTCTAAGAGGTAAGAATCGTGATTCTATGCCATCTAAAATGTGTTTCAATTTTTTTTTGTTTTATTTATTTGTTTTTAATATATGTTTATTTTTTTAAAATAAGTAATTAATTTTACTATTTGTTATTTTATTAATTATGTAATAATTATTTTTAGGGCAAAAATTGGTAGCTCTTTCTAATTGTTATAAATAAATAATAATTACAAATAAAATAAAAAAGGCTAAAAGCCTAATGCC